CGTCCTGGACTTAACATATCAACAAAACTAAGAGTAGGTCAGGATTTATTGTACAAAAAACGCATATAAAAATCAGTGGTGTGTCTAGGGCTGTGCCTGAGCCGTCCCTGCAAAAATTACCCCTTTAATTTATATTTTTGTAAAAAAGATATTTCTAATATTGAATTGGCGCCATAAAAATGGTGTGCTCAGGAGTTCACCATGCCACTGATAAAAATACACGTTAGTTTGGAAATGTATTTATTAAATTTAATAGTAATTAAAAAAATTATTTTTTTAATTGAACAATTAACAAAAAATTATTAAAAATAAACACTTGACAATAATTATTATACATATTTTATAAACTATTTAATTTAGTAAATGTTCACCATATCCTCCTCCTTCTTGAATACCAAAATATAAATAAAAGAGGTAGTTTTTGCAGTGGCAGCTCAAGCACAGCCCTAATAGTATGAGAGCCCACTGCAAATTTCGACCGTCATCTGATAACGAAATGAAATATGCTTCAGAGGCATGTAACAACTTTGTACTTTACCAAATTATACCTGTGCCAATCCCTATCCTGAGCAAAGTGGTTAAAAAAAAATATTTTATATTCAAAAAATCACATAAGACATGACAGCGACAATTGTGTTTTCCCTAAAAATTACAATCCTAATTCATTGTGAACCTAGCTTTTAAACCTGAATTACTAATGTATTTACCTACCTTTTAAACCATGTTTATGTATGAAAGGAAGAAGGATGGCATTGTATATACCATTTGCAGAGATAGTCAATAATAATTATAAACTCTTGTTAGACAATTATTTTAAACCATAATCATAGTAGCTTTTTTGTCATTTCTATAACAACCTGTAAAAATGAATCACAACAATAGGTATACAAATAAATTTTTAAATCAGCAAACATTGATTCATATTTTTAATGATTTTTATCTACTAATCGTGGATAGATGTTTTTGTGCGATGTTAAGAGGAAGAAAATGTTTCCCTTTAACGATATATATCAAGATATATTTGAATGTTACTTTCTAGAAAACTTTAAGGGCAAACAAAATTAGCGCTGTCATGCCTTATGTGATTTTTTTAATATAAAATAATTTTTTTAAGCAACTTTGCTCAGGATTGGGATTGGCACAGGTGCCATTTGGTAAAGTACAAGGTTTTTCCATGATATTGGGGTATATTTCATTTCGTTATCAGATGACGGTAAAAATTTGCAGTGGGCTCTTGGGCTATAAGCACACCACTGATTTTTATAATCGTTTTTTGTACAATAACTCCTGACCTACTCTTAGTTTTGTTGTTAAGTCCAGGACGGACGAATTGCTCTAGAAATTCAGTTAAAAAATTGTAAATAGCTCGTTAACTAAGAAAGATGCAAAGTTCATTTTGCTATAAAAAATGTTTAAATGCATAGTTCTTTTTGAATTTAAGATCGATAAAGCAAGTTTCTTTATGACGAAAAAAATACGGGGGGTTAAAAGGTACCCAACCCACCAACTTTTTTTAAGGGAGTCGCTTTAATTTTTTTTTCTCTTTAGAATATTGGGCCTTCAAATATACAGTACTGGCAAAAAATTCAAACAAAAAATCGCAACAGCAAAATTTTTATAAATAAAAAACGTTTTTTTGAATGTTAGTTTAACGCCCTGTAACTTTGTTAGGAGCAATTTTTTGATATATGTAAATATAGCCAAATCCACTTATTTTTTGGTAATCTATCTGAGGAAGAATTTATGATATACCTTTTTGAAACACCCTGTATATTTCAAAAAACAGTAGATTGTATATTATTTCAGAAAATAACAGGATTCATTTAAATATAAAAACGACCCTTTTTTACCAATCTTCAGTTTTTGATAATAGAAGTATTCAAATAAAATGTGGCCTATTCCCGCCTATCGCCTCGTAACTGAAAATGCAAAAACAATTTTTTTAAGGATTTTTTAACAATATTCGTCTTTATCAACTTCGGTTTTCGAGATATTTAAATAAAATAGTCCTTTCCGCACTTTCACCACCCTCGACTGGACTTTCGTAAAATGACCAAACGCGTATCTTTATTTTGACACAATCTAAATACCAATTGTGTTTGAGATATATTTTATAAATAATTGAACTTTTTTCCACAACTTTAGGCAGGATACGTTCTTTTAAGTCCATTCAACTCTTGATACTATAAAAAAATTATGTATTTAACCATTGTATTTAGATCTAAATACAATGATTCAACTATTGCCGCGTTTGAGAATCCACATCGGATGCATCTGAGATGTTGCGAATTTTTTATCACGTGATAGAGAATTAGATCTGAATGTAGATGTAATAAACAAACGCTCTAGACTTTATTTGGTCACGTGATAAAATGTCAATGACATGTTAGAAGTTTATACTTATTAAATTTGACTTTTGAAACTACAAATCAACCTAAATTTGAAATATAAACAAAAATTAAACAAACTAATCACTTTTATATTCATGCTAGCATAAACAAAGGATAAATTGACAAACAAGGCTTCACAAAACACTTACTTTCTGGCATGGAACGAACATCTCATTCACATCTCATTCCAAATCGAGATGTAAAAAATGTAATCTGAACAGGTACATCTGGGATAAACAAACGCAGATGTAGATGTAGTAGATGTGTCCGATGTGGATAAAAAAACGCTCGAGATGTAAAAAATGCATCCGATGTGGATTCTCAAACGCGGCATAAATAGTACTAGTAACTTCTATTATCAAGACAGCTAGTTTGTAAACGCTCAGCAATGTATGACGAAACTTACACATGACCCACACTGCATGTAAGGCTGTAGAAGTCGAAATCCAGAATGCACTTCCAAACAAAGAAACGGTCATATGTGTGCCTTCTTAGACACAGAAGGAGCGTTTATCAACACGCCACACGAATCTATCAAAAGAGAACTCTGATACAGACGAGTAGATAGCACCATATCCAGATGGACACAGACACAGCTATACTCACTAATGTGGAGCCTTCCTTACCGTAAACGAACTTCTATACACATTTACTCGGCTCGGCATATCCTGTCAAAGTTATGCTGACGACGCATATAGTTTGGCCGCAAGTTTGGAAATATTCTGTGTAATATAGTCCAGAGAGGATTAGAACAAACCAGAAGATGGTGGGACTTAAACCCCACCAAAACAACACTAGTAGGCATTTTCAAGGAAAAGAGAACTCGATCTCAAAACCATCAAATTAGATAGGATAGATATAGAATGGAAAAAAGAAGTCAAATATCTTAGCCTAACCCTGAACAACGAACTTCTCTGGAACATAGATGAGAAAGGAAGTAGTAAATAAGGCTACAAAAGCTCTAATGGTATACAGGAAATTTGCGGGAAAAAGATGGAGATGTAACCCGAACACTCTTTGATGGATATGTATACATAGCAATAGTTACACAGACCAATCATCACTTACCGATTCCGCGCGTTTACTAAAATTGTCTACGCTTACCCAGGAAATTCGAAAATTTGATATCTCAAATAAAATGAACGAATCGGGTTAGTTAATTTTCAATAACTATCATCTATACATTAACCCAAATTCACAAAGTTTTATTCCTACAAAAAAATTATTATCTAGTTAAAATGAAAGAATTTTCTAATATTAATAAATTACCCAACGCGAAAAAGAATAACCTCGGTAGTACGCAATAATCATGACACGGCTCTTTAAAAGAAATTAAATCCTACAACTTGCTCAACTTCAAGAAACGCTTACAAGATTATTTATTATGGAGCTGTAGCCTGGAATAACACAATTAGTTTAGCTACTACGAGATCTAATATCTCAAAAGTACAAAGATTATAGCCTGTGTTTGCATCACTGGTACAGTAAGAACCTATCCTACGGCCGCAATGGAGGTAATCTTAAACATCGCCCCTCCACACTTAGTGATAGAAAACATGGGAAAAGATATCGAATGATGTGGAACGGAGTAATCAGACGAAAGTGTATTAACTCCAGAACCGAAGATATTTGGGTTGTCTATGGACGAAATGAGAAAGAAGTAGTTTTGTGAAAATCTTCAAAACTACAGAGCTGGTCCGGAAGAAAGAATGGAGCCAAGAATCAATTGTGCTTACAACCGTAAGGTATGCAATTCAATGGTATACGAATAGTTCCAAAACCACAGAGCGTATATATAGACCGAGAACCAGGTACTCTGAAAGTTTGGACAAATATCCAAGCATCTTCTAGGCAAAAATTTACGCCATTAGAAGTGTATCCATTTTAATATTGAGAAAAACTATCGAAGACAAGAGATTGTCCATAGCTAATAAAAGCATGCCGTCAAAGCGCTGAGATCTTACGCAATCAATCAGCTTAAAAATGATTGGAGATGCCTAAAAACTAATAAAACTAAATGAACTAGACGAGGAAAGTACAGTTACTCTCACTTGGGTCCAATGAGATAGCATATAGTCTTGCAAGGAAAGAAAAAACACTATGTAAAACCTGAGTCGTTTTACGGTATTAGCAGGAGAGATTAAAAAAAAGAATTGGGCAGTAGAAGAACCAATAATTGGAGCAATCTCTCGAGGCTAGGACAGGCTAAGATACTTCTGGGTTTTGGGTGACGGTAACCAGAAAAAGTCGGAAGCCTGTATTTGTCTAAGCAAGAACAGGGTAACATTACCGAGAATTGGCGACTCAAAGGATACCTTAGTAAACTGAGATTAGAGTACAGATTCTGTGAGGACGACGATGAAAACACCTTTCACGTTCTGACTGAATGAATAGCATTCTAGTATCTAAAAGCACCTATACTTAGAAGCAAACCAAAGAGGACGATCTAACCTTGAAGCCACTCATGTCCTTGAGAAGATTGGAAATGTCGTTATAGGCATAGAGATTATTCCCTTGCTGCATTAGCGCAGTAAAAGTTAAAACAAATCAATTAAACCAAAATTTAATCCAAAATCCCTGAAAGAAAGCGATAAGTAAAAAAATTCCAGGTTTTATTACATATCGGTTTATTTATATTTTAAGATAAAACAAAAATTTTGTATGTAACAATTTTATAACCAATTTGTAACAGGAATAAATTAAAAAACAAATATAACTCAAAGTTTATTTTGTTTTCTCAATAAAGTTGTTACCTCATATATTTTAAACACTAATCGCACCAAGTAACAAAACTACTGGGAGATTTGAAAATGTATAGATAAAAATTAGTTTTCGCCCTCATCACCTTCCTCTTCCTCGTCGAATTCGCCCTCTTCTTCTGCTGTTGCGTCCTGGTATTGCTGATATTCAGAGACTAGGTCATTCATATTACTTTCAGCTTCAGTAAATTCCATTTCATCCATTCCTTCTCCGGTGTACCAATGTAAGAAAGCTTTCCTCCTGAACATTGCAGTAAATTGTTCAGAAATTCTTTTAAATAATTCCTGAATACAGGTAGAGTTTCCTATGAAAGTTGATGACATTTTAAGACCTCTAGGAGGAATATCACAAACTGCCGTTTTTACATTGTTTGGAATCCACTCCACAAAATAACTACTATTTTTATTCTGGATATTCAACATCTGTTCGTCAACTTCTTTCATGGACATTCTACCTCTAAAGATGGCAGCCACAGTTAGATATCTTCCATGTCGGGGATCACAAGCTGCCATCATATTTTTAGCATCAAACATTTGTAAAACCAATTCAGGAACGGTGAGAGCTCTGTATTGCTGACTGCCTCGAGATGTTAAAGGAGCAAAACCAGGCATAAAGAAGTGCAGTCGGGGAAAAGGTACCATGTTTACTGCTAACTTTCTTAGATCTGAATTTAGCTGACCAGGAAAGCGGAGACAGGTAGTAACTCCGGACATTGTAGCTGACACTAAGTGATTTAAATCGCCGTAAGTAGGTGTTGTAAGTTTTAAAGTCCTAAAGCAGATATCATATAGGGCTTCATTATCTATACAATAAGTTTCATCAGTGTTTTCTACCAACTGATGAACAGATAATGTTGCATTGTATGGTTCCACAACAGTGTCAGATACTTTGGGTGATGGTACAACTGAGAAAGTGTTCATAATTCGATCTGGGTACTCTTCTCTTATCTTTGAGATAAGTAATGTTCCTAGTCCGGATCCTGTTCCACCTCCTAATGAGTGAGTTAGCTGGAATCCTTGCATGCAGTCACATCCTTCTGCTTCTTTTCTTACCACATCCAGAACTGAATCTACTAATTCAGCACCTTCTGTATAATGTCCTTTGGCCCAATTGTTTCCAGCTCCACTCTGGCCAAAGACAAAATTGTCAGGTCTAAAAATTTGACCAAATGGTCCAGACCTAACGGAGTCCATGGTGCCAGGTTCCAAGTCAACAAGGACTGCTCTAGGTACATACTTGCCCCCGGTGGCTTCATTGTAATATACATTTATACGTTCTAATTGTAGATCAGAGTCCCCATGATAGGTTCCTGTGGGGTCAATTCCATGTTCATCTGATATGACTTCCCAAAACTGAAAATAAACATATTTGATTAAAAAACAATATTTTTTACTAAAAAGCTTTACTTACTTTAGCTCCTATTTGATTTCCACATTGCCCCGCTTGAATATGAACAATTTCTCTCATTTTATGTTATTTTGATGATCTTAATTTAAACAAATACCAACTTATGGCAGATGTTTATTTTTGTTACTAGGAAACCTAAATTGTTTCAAACGCCGCCCCTGCATATTTGTATTTTAGTTTGTTATAACACTAAAAATGCCAAATGTCTGATGAGAAATTCCCTAGATGACCATATACAATGTGTTCAACATTTATTTTAGTCCATATTGACTTTTATGGTAAATGGTGAGCAATAAACGCTTTATTATTATATGATTTTAATCATTTTTTAATGACATGTAATTAGGTATTAAATGAAATAAACGATTTATATGTATATAGACATTCAAATTTCCTAATATGCCAATATTTTAAATTTCATTGTTATTTAAATATGAATTTTAAAAACAGACCCAGGACTTGTGAATGCATGGGTCCCAGATTCAAATGTCACCAGTATCAAGATTTTTTTTAATTGAAATGTGTAATTGAATAATAATATTGATCCTAATATAATATAGGGTGACCTTTTTACTCCCCAACCCAAATATAAACGCAAAAACAAAAGACAGAGAAGAAGTCATGTAGAGATTAGAGGACTCTCCCCAAGTCTTATTTATTACGTTTCAGTAAATTAGGTAACATTTGCTGACAATAATGGAGTTTGCTGGACTTTTGTGTACAGACTGAAAATGTTATATCAATGGTTAATAAGAGCACAAATATTGTATGTCCATTTTTGTCAAAAATGGGATTCTATATCCTTCATGATGAAATCTTTTTGGTTACCAAATATAGCACGTCAACTTAAATAGGTTTACCATTCAGTAAAGTAATACTAATAAATTATTATACAGCTCGTCATAGTCACCTCCAACTTTCAAATCGATTTTACTCAAAATGACATTTTTGGACACATTTGTGCTCTAAGCCATCGATATGTATGATCATGCTATTCTAATAGGTTTCTCCACTGACTATTCTCAGTGCTGTTCAGTGGTGCTTTGAAACAGTATTTAACTATACTGAAACTTCATACAATGCCAAAACAGAACATGATACCTAAGCAGGATACTAATCTCCCGAGTTGTCAAAGTCAATGATGAAAAAAAATCCTTAACATTAAACACAATCCTAGTTCATCGTCGTTTTCCTTCCTCCATGGTTTACACACATACACTTAATTGTTTCTTTATTCACTTTCTATACCTATATTCATGAAGTTTCTACAACATAGGTCAAAGAATACTTATCCGAGAAGCAAATCTAAATAGAGGATTCATGGACTAATTTAGTTTTTTTGTGACTATTTAAGTAGTTTAATATATTTTCAAGTTTATGGTTGTAATATCAAACCAAATTTTCGTTTGTCTGTCATTGTAAGTTTAGTAGGCGTTTAATTCTTATAAACCAAACACAAATTGTATAAATGAGAATAAAAATATTTAATCAATACATAAAGTATTCTAGAGTAAAGAAAATGAGTACAATCTGTTTTATTTAAATCCCAAAAATTATATGTATGGAATTATTTATTGAATAAGTTTATATAAAAATATAGCTGCATATTTTTAGGTATTTTCTAAAGGTTAGGTGGTAGAAATAAGATTCACTTCTTTTCCAGTTTTCTTGATAATCTCTAAGATTTCTTCGGCAGACAGAGAAGATTTTACTTTCACATTTTGTTCTTCCAGACTTATAATAACTTCATCAACTCCTTTCCCTTTTAATTTTCCTAAAACTCTATCCACAGCTCCAGAACAGCCATCACAGGTCATTTTAACATTAAATTCATACACTTTCGACATCCTTTATAATTTAAAATAAAATTTATATGTATAAGAAACGACTCAAACAGACTGTAGATTGTAGAAAATAAATACAGAAATATTTATTTCTGCAAGTGTAAAAAAAATGTAACTTTAAACGTCACTTACGTAGCCGGTTCGCAGTCGGCAAAAAAGTTGAAAAAAAAACTAACACAGATTGACACGGAACTGACAGGACAGAACTGCAAAACGAAGAAGCAAATCTGTCAAAAATAGCAGGGTTTTTGGCTTTTGGACAGATTAAAGTAGGCATGCCAACATAAATTCTATAAACCGTCCGTCGAAAATCGGAATAACGTTAGTATTCGATTCGAATAATCGCTTATTTTTCATTCGATACTACTATAAAATTGATTTATTTTTTTAAAAAAGGTTTGTTCTGGTTCTCAAAATGAAAACTGTTTTGAAACTGCGCCGGACTGTATGCGTAAAGGCAAAAAATCCCCGACTGTTTGAAATTGTTGGAAAACCAGAACACATAAAGGTGTTTTGTTTATTGTTTATTATAATAATGAAGTTCCTTTTGAAAGCTCAGCTTCAAATAACATTTGCATGTATGTTTACCATTATCATCACATTTCAATGGAATAAATAAAAACAGAATAATATTAAAAAATTAATAATTCTAAAATTGCTTTAATTTACAAATAAAACAAGAACAAGAGACATTCGTCCACATATAAATAAACAATTTGGGATTGTATACGTTTCGTATAGTCTAAAAAGCCAATACAATATTCATAACACTTCAAAAACGCATGCGCGGTCAAAACAGTCCGAGTCGATCCACACTCCCAAGCATGAACACTTTTTGACTGTTTACAACAATCACGGATTATTTCGGATACGAAACCAGAACACTGGACTGAGAGATCTGAAGTAGTCCCAGAAAAACCAGAACACTTTTTATCTACTGCGCATGAGCCCGACAGTTGTGGATCGTTATTTCTCAAAACCAGAACAGACCTAATATCGAAAATTCGTAATTCTAACCTCTTAAAAATGTTTGAAAAGCAGGAGGCGCGGGTATAATTTTTAAAAATAGTTTTTGTCAAAATTATGGCATTATTGTTATATTTAATAGTGAATTTAATATTTTTAAGTATTCCCGTTCAGTGTGCTAAATTAAACGTGCCACGAATTTTGCTACCTATTTTCAATGACTTTGCAACAAATTTTACCTTAGAAGCTACTGAAGGCGGTTGTTACAAATGGTAAGACAATTCCAGTGTAATTTTTTATTTCCTAAAATTTTTATATTATCTATTGATTTTGTTCTATATGGTTAGATATTCGACTTTCGCACTACATAATTTTTATAGTTAGTTTTGATTACTTTGGCCAAACAAGAATAATGTAAAAAGGGATTAAGTATTAATATCAGCAAAGAAAACTTGTATTTCGTACAATATTGTTTTATTCAAAAAATACAAAGTGCTTTCGGCATAATGCAATCTTCAGTGCCTAGTTATTGTCACAAAGACATCCAAAAAGTTTAAAGGTTATCCTATATCCGAACATTCAATGTTTGGAGTGTCCCACCTTGCTAAATATTTATTATTATTTTCTTTAAATTAATTTTTGGTTAACTAGTTAAAATTAAAAGTATTTCAACTGATTTAAAAAGCCATTTTATAACCAATGAACCTCTTTTGATTCTTTTAACTAACTAATAATAGTCCTACCTAGACTAAATATATGATTAATATGAAAACAACCTTTAGTCCAATTAAGTACTTCTTTCCCATGAAAAAACTGATTCTAAACATTGTGAAATATTTGTATAAAGCAATTTCAGCCAGTTTTTCGCTGAAATTGAAACTACAGACAAAACTTATTTTAGACTGAAACCGAACCTTTGGTCAGACACTAATATTTTCATATGAATATATAGAGTATCCTGATAATTTTTTACCTTCATTGCTTATATGTGACTCAGCTTTTTTAGTGACATGCAAATGTCGCTAATGGGCAAGGGTTAATATTTAAATCCATTTTGTTTAGTTTGCACCAGATATTAAGAGAGTTAAGGTCTGTTTGCAATTAAGTTATATCACAATATGAATTAATAGATTTTAATAACTTAAAATTATCTACAAAAAGTAGGTAGTGGTTATATTTTAATATATCACAAATATCATTAATAAACAGATTAAAAATAATTGGTCCACATTGAGAACCTTAAGGTACACCTGAAATAACTGCAGCTTTCTTTTAAATATTGTTGTGTTTGAAAAACAATAAGAGCATTTAATTATTAGCCTGAAAGCCTTTAATAAAACTTAATGTTGGGTACATTTTTTTGGTGGCCTTATGGACTCCAAAATGTTGCTTTGTTTCTTTTATTTGTGTTCATGAACATCTTGATTATAACTTCAAATATTTTGTAAATATCCTGGGAATATTTCTGATTTAATCTTAAATATAAATACTATGGAATAAAAACAGTAAGTATTTTTTAACAGGCAACCACTGAATCCCATTTAATATGGAATTGATTGGTTTCATTCATGAAAAGCCTTACCTGTATTCTGCAACTTTTGCAATCGCTGCAACTCATTTTGGTTGAACAAATGCAATACAGTCGCACAATAATTAAAATGAAGTAATACAAGATTATTATTATTATTTTTTTTTGTTTTATCGGCATCAACTGCTACAGTTATTAGCCTCATGTTCTGTGTAGAATTTGTTACTGTTTCCCAGCGCCACTTTAGAAACAGCACTGTTAATTAGTACCCAACAGTGAATGGTCGAGTGGGGAATCCTACCAAGGCATCAGAATTAATTTTAAATAATTACATTAAATGAAAAAATCCCGGCCTATGGAGGGATTCGAACCTGGGACCCTTAGATCCGCAGGCAGCGACTCTACCACTGAGCCACCCACCCCGTTATATTATTATTTTAGCACATTTTCTAAGATGTGGAGAACAGCATCTCAACTAATTAATTTTAAATGAAATGTTTTTGATGACGTTATTAACTGTAAATTTGTATCAACCAGAACCTCTAGATATTTAATTTTTTCATCTCTTTGAAGCTCCATTAACAAGCACATTTTGTCATTGGTTTAGGAACATCTCCTATGTGTAGACACAAAAACGTCCTAGAACTTCTTGTAGAAGTGCACACATACAAAGTATTAATTTATTATTGGGCGACAATGTATTTTAACAGCTTCCTACACATGGGAGATATATCTGATTCAGCAGTAGCAACATCAGCTCTATATTTTTTTATACTATAAATACAGTTTTTAATAATATGATTAAATTAAATTGGCTTTCTAGATTGAAATTCTGAAAATTACCATGGTAGTCAGTGTTAAAACAAGCTTCTGTGTTTTCATGGGTAAAGTAGAGCAGGATATCATCCACAAATAAGTGTATTGAGCCACTTTCGACTACACTATCTAAAATTGAAATTAAAATATTATTCTATTTGAAATATTTTTATCAATTTTGAAAATATGGTCTAAGATCCGAAGAGAGGTCAACCTTCACTTATCTGTTTAATGGATGAAAGTTTCTTTTTAATAAATAAAATATGTTTATAAATATACCACAAATGGGTTGCCTAAGAAAATACGGTCCACACTATGCCCAAACTTTAATCAGCTCACTGCAGGATGGATTAAAGCTTAAGTTTAAAATTTGGTGTTTTTATCTTAATCCGTTTTTGAGTTATTATCTGTACACAGAAAGGAAAGTAAAAAATGACTGTGACCATATTTTCTTAGGCAACCCATTTGCTGTATATTTATAAACATTATATTTATTAAAAAGGAACTTTCATTCATTAAACAGATGGGTGAAAGTTAACCTTACTTAAGGATCCTGGACTATTGAATTTTTCTAATTTATGTTTGTTAAAATTTTATTAAAAAATAGTAAACTTTTTTTTAATGGATAACACATCATTATGCATAGTCCTTTTCACGGAACAATTGTAATAATTTAAAATACATTTATAAATTAATATTGTAGGACAACAACAAGAAGTGATATAGTACAAATAACTCCTTTAGATGAACATTCTGGTGAAGAATGTTCCACAAAAGTACTTTTAAGTACTGTTACAAAGGAAAAAGCTAGAAATATAGCCGTTGTTTTGGCAGAAGATCCCAATACCAAAGAGACATTAAGATGTGACGTTATGGTAGATACTATACAAGAATTACGCATTACAACTACCACTAGAGAACTTTTTATGGAAGAAGCACCAGAAGATTTTCAAGTCAATGCATATGATGACCAAGGTAAAATATTATAACAATTACCAAGTATTGCTAAAATAAAAGTTTATATTGTGCAAATAACACTAAATCATGTAAATTACTATTTGTTTTCCAGGAAACGAATTTTCTACATTAGAAGGAGTTGAATTTGATTGGAATATAGTTACTTTGGGGTCCAACAAGCAAACAGTATTAAGATATATTGCTTACAGAGATTCACCATATGAAACTCCAAATGCAATTGAGGATCTTGAAAGCCAACAGAAAAAAGGGTATTCTATTTTACTTGAAGGAGTTAAAAGTGGTTCTGCAAAAGTAAATAAACATAAAATTTATATAAAAATGAAATACCTATTAAATTTTATTTTGTAGGTCACTGTTCGTTTACCATTTTCTGAGTACAAACATATTGAACAATGTGAGGTGCAGCTGATGGTTGTGGCAAATATTATAATTACACCCCCAGAGGTGTATGTAATGAAAGGAGATATAGTAACATTTAAAATATTTTTTGTAAGTTTTTTTTGCAATAGTTTTTAGCAGTATTATCATCACTAAATTTTTAATACAAATAAATTAGGACATTAAATAATAAAAAAATAAAACTTTTAACATTAACTCCGAGACTGATAAGTAATTTAGATATATTTTAAAATAGAAAGAATATTTCTGTTTCGGTAATTATTATTGAAATACTTTATTTTGAATACATTTTATTCTTTAAATTTTAGTTGAAAAATGGTAGAATGGAAGAAATTCCATTGCCGGATAATCAATACTTTCTTGAAACAGAACAACCAGAGATTGCATATACAAATAAAAAATCCTCCGAAATTGAAGCTGTGGCAGAGGGTCACACAAGAGTGGTATTACGTGACAAGAATGTTGACACAAACGATCCATTGATGAAATTACCTGCAGCTATGATTCATATTATGACACCTGATTATATGGTATTAAATATTTTGCCCTATAAAAATTGGGCTATTCTTCTTGCAGATCATCATGATATTGTTGCAGAGCTCTACACAAAGTAATTTTTTTTTATTTATTTAAATTTAAATTCGTACATAAATTTATCAGGCAATTATTTTTACTTAATTTTACTCTAATGTTCCTTAAAAATTATTTTTTGAAATTTAACAAAAAATTGGGGTTCAATGAATGATTAAGTTGAGAACATAATGGAAAATATTCTATTATGATTATAGGAAAAATTAACATATATATATTTAATTAAATTAATAACTTATGAATTTGATAATTTAATTGCAGTCATAATTAGCACTTCCTTCTACATTCAAATAATCCAATTCATAATCCATTAAACACGTTATTGTATGAAAGAATAAAAATGGAACCAATAGCCAAATGACTTAGAAGACGATGATATCCATAATATTCCATCTATGATATCAAAGACAGAAACTTTATATATAAAATGTTAAGATATTGTGTCTTAAATTAAATCTATAATTGTCTGTTATATAAAGACGGGGTAGCCTACAGATTTCTGAACCAATTTACATCAAGTTGAATTTTATCCAGAAGGTGCTGGTATCTACTGGATAAGAGATATAATTAGTGCAAAGAATTACAGAAATAAACAATAAATTATCATTTTACGATGTTCTTCAACATCCCTTTAATCTTAAATGTTTAACAAGAACTAGATCTTCTGCCTTTGATTGTGGCTGGAATACAATTTTGTGACTTACTGATAGGAAACCAGTTTTAATTATTCGTTCTATGTTTTCTTTGGAACAAAAATGAAAATATAAATACCAGTCCTTCTGTTTATACATTTTAACTTCACGTTATTATTTAATGGTATTTTTTTATTTTGACAGAATAAGTTCATTCTTCAAAGACAACTTACTAGACTTAGGCAACTTCTCATACATTTTCCCGTAAATACTGTTGCCTGCCTTTATTTTATTATTGATTTTTATTGAATATACTTATTTTTTTTAGTTTAAGCGATAAAAATGTATTATAATAATAATAATAATAATAATAATAAATTCATGTTTTACTTGTTTTACAAATCCATATACTTTTATTAAAACTAACATATACACTTTTTAATTACGAATTCTATTAAAAATTGTATTGTCAGTATAGACAAAAATAGTCCATTAGTACAAAAAAGAATTCGCGCTGCTGTCACGCACGGAGCGAATAAAGCGTGTGAGTGTCAAAATATGAAAATTATTTAAGAATGGTTGTATACCCATTGCAATGAAATTTCTGTTGCACGTCATCAATGATGAAAATTGTTTATCAAATTGAACATATAAATCATTGCTGTTAATCATATTTGTTGGTTTTCAAGATTGAAGTGAGCAATTGGTATACGTAACGGACAGTTGCCAAATTAATATTTCTTTTTATGACATGTATAATTGAATTGTCAACACTATTATTTTTGTGTTTAATAAACAAATATATTTTTTGACTTTTAAAATGCCTAAGCATTTAAATAGCCATGCAAAAGAATTAGTGATATTTTGAAAAAAAAGCGAGACAATGGTGGCCCTTTGTTATCAATAAATGCAGTTCGAAAGCGTTTAGCAGCGGTGTTAAATTTAAATATTTCGACAGTAAGCTCAATTTCCCAAGCATTAAAGAATAACCATCTGTTAAATTCTCAAAAAAAAAAAACAGTTTGGTGAAAAGAAGCAAGATCAGTTATAAGCTGTTCTACCTCTTGAACCTTAAAAGAAAATAACTAAAGTCAATAAGAAAAAAGAGACAAATCCATAAACAAATATGAAAATTAAAACAAATCTACGAAACTAGTGATTGTTAAAAAAAGATTGAAAATAATAATCGCTTGCTGATAACATATCTGTACCTCGGAGCCAGACTATGTTAAGTCCAAATTGGCCAAATTTTAGGTAAATATGTTAAGTGATTTAAAATTTTGCGGCGCATGGTTCGATATTTTCCATTTTGACGTATCTTTTAAAATAACAAAAACAGCTCATTTTTTAACTACGCTAAGCCCACACTCCACAGTCTAAAATGAATATATAAAAAATGCTCTCCTGAAAAACTAAGTTTTTGGACTTAACATACTCTGGCTCTGGGGTACAGATATATTATTTTATAGTAATTTATTAAGAACAAATCTACGAAACTGGTGATTTTTTAAAACAAAGAGGAAATGACAATTGATTAACATTATTATATTGATTTACGATAATTTGTTATGAATTCTGGCATTGGCGTGAAAATAAAAGTTCTTTAAGGTGCTTTTTAAAATTTTGAAAACAAATAGTTTTTAAGTGTACGGGCAAGTCATTGTAAATAACAAGTAACTCTTGCAAAATTACATGAAACTTTAATGCAAAGAGAAATGTATACAGTATTAACCAATATAGGATTTAAATGGAAGAAAGATCACCGGCGGGGTCTTATGGAACTTCCTCATGTTGCCAGTAAACGATTTAGTTTTTTAAAGTTATACACAAGTACAAAAAATCTCTCTATTTGCATAAATTTGTTTATCTGGATGAAACATGGATTGTTCCAAATGGCACAGTAAACCGCTCTTGGCAAAATAACTACAAAAGAAGCGTAAAAACTACAGGAGTTGATGGAAAAAGATTCATTGTTCTTTATTCTGGTAACGAAAATTGTTCTATTGATGGAGCAAAATTGGCATCAAATAGTAACAATCCTTACCTAATTTGTAAATTAGTATTTAGATAGACAATAAATAAAAATATCGTTGATTCAGAGCACCATCTTCATTACAGTGTGATGAACTAACTGAAGAAAAAGATCAGTCTTTTTTATTCAAAATGACACTTTTATGAGATTTCACATGGCATTCCAAAGAAGTTAGGTCGTCTACTATTTATTTTTCTTGTTTATTTGAAATCTAGGACAAAATACTGTTAAACGGCACTTTTGAGATGAAATAAAATGAGGTTATTTTAAATGATTGGTCTTTATTGAAAATAATACATTTATCAATTTTAAATAGTATGCCGACCTAAGTTAGACATCTATCTTTAATTTGGTAGAAAATTAGATTTTATAATCAGTCAATTTTACTTTTGGTCTACACATATGTTTTTTATACATAGGGATACCCCGTCCTTTGAAAGTCTTAGTTCCTCCTGACATTACATAGTTGCACAGATTGTTTTATACCTTATCCTATTAATTAAATAGGTTAGGTTTTATACCTTATTCTATTAATTAAATAGGTTGCCTGTAAGTGTAAATTGATCAAAGAAAAAAGTCACTGGACCTCAAAAGTAGTTTTAAATTATTTATATTCATCATCTTATTAATTTTATCTAAAAAAAGTTTGTTATGATGAAAAATGTACTTCAACTGAATTTGCTTTTACGTTATATGTATTTTTTAGAGATGATCACAAATTATTTATTGGTGAAAATACTAGAATAGAAATGGAAGTTTCGACTGAATTTGCAGTTGTCAGCAGATCTCCCAATGGTAGTTGGATATCAGGTTACGGTGTAAGGCCAAGTGTGGCCAGCGTGCAGGCTTATTTACAAGGAGTTAACAGCCAAACAAATGGAAAAATTACTTTTAAACCAATCAGTGCTAAGAATGAGATCATGATTTATCCAAGAATGACAGTCATACCATCTGAAGTTATCCTTCCTTGGGACCCAATCACACGACCAAAGTATGTTATATTACAAAGCATCTTTAAAAATTTATTTAGCTATTATTATTTTACATAATTTTATTATCAGGTTTGAAGTGCCACTAACGGTTAAAGGAGGCGATGGTAGATACTTGTGGGTCAGTACAGACAATTCCATAGGCATGGTCAGCCAAACAGGCGTTGTAAGAACTCTAACAAGTGGTTTTTTCGAAGTCGCAGCTCTTATGTTACGCAATCACAACAATAGAGCCAGTGCTAAATTCATAATAATACCGCCGACCCGTCTTGAGATTGTCGAATTCGTCATGGAAGCTGAAATTGGAACTCCTGTATATCTACACATTGCTCTTTACGCTGAACAGGAAAGAAATGGCCAAACTATTAATCTGCCATTTACAAGATGCCAAGAGTTGCCTTTTCAAATAAAAATGACAGACCAGAAGTTCAGGCAAAACAAGACTGCAGCTCTGCCACCAATTGGAGTCTCTTGTGGTAATATAGCAATGACTGCACTTGAAATTGGTACAAGCAAGGTAATGCAACATTATAAATGAATATTGGTACTTTTTAAAATTAGACCTCCTTTTCTAAAGTTTTTTTTTTCTTACACCTTTATTTATATTTTTTCTTGTAGTTCTTGGGTTTTAGGTGTTGGTTGAGGAATGAAATTCGTGTTAAGGTAAAGCTTTCGGCACTGCTCAGTGCCTTCTTCAGTAGTTTTTTTTAAATTTTTTAATATTTGTACATTATTAACAGTTAATTGTTCTTTAGTACATTATGGGGTGTGTAATTATATATACTATCGAGACTGACAACGGATATCACAACATCAAAACCGGACACGACAATGATAAAAATCAATTACATAATAATATAAAAGGATTTAAAACATTTAACTATAATTACACACCCCATAATGTACTAAAGAACAATTAACTGTTAATAATGTACAAATATTAAAAAATTAAAAAAATACTGAAGAAGGCACTGAGCAATGCCAAAAGCTTTACCTTAACACGAATTTCATTCCTCAACCAACACCTAAAACCCAAGAACTGCAATAAAAAAATTTAAATGGATATCTATGAAAAATCCGTAATAAAAGAATATGAATAAATAATAACTTTGATCATTTTGTAGGTAACCATTTCTTACTTCCAAGAGGGTAAATCTCTGGAAGATTCAGTGACAGTGAGTGCCTTTAAAAAATTAACACTGATAGAACCGAAACGTGAAGTAGTTTTGGCAATAGGAACTACACTTAATTTAGTGTATGCTGGAGGGCCTCGTCCTATGCTAGGTCGCTCATCTGAATTTTCACGAACTGTTGTCAGTGAGGATGAAAATATTGCTCAAGTAAAGGATATGACTGGATTATATCAATCACCAAGAGAAGATATCACTGTTGTTCAGGTGATTAATTTATGTATTATTTTCTATTAGTGCCATTATAATTTTATTTGATAACTGATAATGGTTTCATGTTACTCTATGATTTTATTTATTTCAGGTACTCTGTGCCAAATTAGGAGAAACTAATATCAAATTAATGATAAGTAACACTCCATCAGTTTCAAATTGTAGGGCGCACACTCATGCCATTAGTACTAGAGTAATCTGTGGCAAACCCAGAAAAATTGTCCTTCAACCTGAATTACAAATAGCCGACCGTGATGCATGTCCTATGGACATAGGTTCTGGCAATGTTGTAGTACAAAGTATTGGATGTGTTGACATAGACGTCTCGGTATATGATGAGTCCGGTAACAAATTCTTAAATGTTACAAGCTTGCAATTTGATTGGCTAGTTGATCCTTATAAAAGTGCCAAAATTCTAAGCAAGGATTCTGTTTATCCTAGAAATTTAACTGTTGGAAACATTCCAATCGGTCATAGCCACTACCAGACTATAGAACCAACTGTTGATAAAGGAGTTGTTGTTCTTAATGTGACGTTATCAGGATATAGATCATCAGTAAGTTTCTTTAATAATATATATAAAATACTTTTCTATATAATTGAAATTGTGATCCAAAGCTAACCGTACTTCTCTTTAACAGATTTTGAGAAGTTCCTATGTCAAATCAGAATGGCCTCCATTTGTATCTGAAGAAGACCAAGGTCAAACTGTAGCACCAATAAAGCATTCTCTTTCATTATTTCTAGTTGAAAATCCCATTATTTCCGATAGTTTAATAACTGCCTATAATCACCCTGGAAACAAAATAATTGTTCCCATTAAGCAAGGCTCAGGGTTCTTTGAACTGCTTCTTAGTAATGATGAAATAGCTGTTGTCAGATATATTGAATCTACAAGGGAGATTGAAATTACACCCATGAAATCCGGAGAGTTGACCATCCAAGTAATAGATTTGTGTTTGGTTGCAAGGCCTGCTAGTTTGGTGGTCAATATAATATCTGTTGGAATTATAAGAGTCGAAATGGTGGATAAAGTCGAAATAGGGAAATGTATAACAGCAATAGTGAGGTTGTATGATGAAAATGATAATTTAATGGAAATTCCTAATCCAGATATGATAGACTTACGGCCGGAATTTGAAGATAGCATTGCTAATATATATTTAGCAGAAAAAAATACAGATTGGGGTCGGGGAGAAATACGTTTTATTGTAACAGGTATTTTTAAATGGTGTTAAATCATTGCAAAAAGTTGGTAATTCATTATTTATTTACAATCTTTTAGGTATGGAAAGTGGAGATACAAAGTTGGTATTTACAGTCACAGGAAGTGACGAAGAACTAAACAGTGCTCCTCTAAAATTGCAGGTTTTTGAACCTCTTAAATTATCACCCAAAAATGGTTCGATCATTGTCAATTCAAAAATGCAAATAAATTCCAAAGGGGGGCCATCACCTGATATTAAAATTATTTTCCACTCACAAACTGCGTTTGTTGGTATGATATTACATTGAGATACATTTTTACTGTTTATATTATTTTTTTAAAAGTTATTTCTATGGTTATCTTTTGTAGATGTGTCTGAAAAAGGGGTAATCATTGGTAAGCAACTGGGACATGCCAGAGTTTATGGAAAAGCAGTTGGAGTACATCCCTTTACTGGACAGACTATTATTTATGCAGAGGTAATGCATTTTTTAATGAAGCAAATGAGTAAATTTTAACATTTTTTATTTTAAGGATTTTGTAGACATACAGGTTGTCAAACTGCAAGGTCTAAAACTATTGTCGCCTATATTAAGGTTTAAAATTGGTTCAATGGTTCCTTTCTGGGTATGGGGCCTACCAAATATTTCACCCATGGTGCTTGGTGCTTTTGATGATCCACCCATTCGTTTCAAATGGAATGTGGATGACAAACTGTTGGTAGATCTGAGTGGAATTTTCCACCCCATTGGTGTATTTAAAAAGAAACTTGACAGGGTATCTGCTAAGGTTAGTTTTATATTATTTAGAATTAGAACGTTTTTTAAAGTTTTAATTGCAGATACATGGTTTGCAATTAGGAAAAACTCGACTGTTTGTGAACGCAACTATCCCCGGTAAAACAGTGAATATTCATAATTTGGAGTTTGTGCCACTGTCCGCTTGGGTCGACATTGAGGTAATTGGGGAATTTATGCTGACTCAGCCAAAAAATTTCCCTGGACGTTCTCTACTTATGGCTCCATTCAGTGAAATTCAATTGACTACCAATATGGATAGTGCCTCGGGACAAAAAATATATTTTTCGTAAGTTTTTTTTTACTAAAAACAAAGTCTTGCTTTTCCGTAAATTATCAAGTTTTGAAATAATAAATAATAATTTATTAGGCTACCAGGAGATCAAACTTTCTCAACTGAACTGTTAGCAGACAGATCTGTCCGTGATGATGTGATTGTAACAATCAGTTCCACTGGTCTGGTCCAATCTTATGGAGTTCTAGGACAAACCTTATTGATAATTACAGCCACAGATGAAATGGGTTTAAAACAACGTCTTTCGTATGTTGTGGAAGTGAAAACTATACAATTTATGAACTTAATTGTTCTTGCCAACTGGCGCATCCACTCTGATACTCAACTCCGCACAGTACCCTTGGGTACTGAGTTCAGGTTAGTCCTCAATTTATGATAAAGATTTTTCAAAAACAGCAAATAATATATTTTTTTCTAATTTTATTAAATGTGCTGTGACCAAGATGCTCTACTGAGCACGTCTTTGAACTTAAATCGAGTTCCAGAGGGTTCCAGCATTGCACTGTAATATAAAGGTGGACAATGATAAATCTAAATTCCGGAGATATATTTGAACTCTGATTTTCGTCAAGAACGCGCTCAGTCAAGCATCTTGGCTACATTTTTATTTCGCTGTTAGCTTAAAATATTGGTTTCCTGAACATTTAAAAGGAAACGCGAGTTCACTAATTCAATGACTATAGTTAATATCCAAAGATGAAGTGTTTAATATAAATGGGTCAATACAAATCTTGCAACTTTAGTTTTTGATAGACTGTTTTTGTCAACAGATCTAAGGTTTTTATGTATATTTTTGTTACATTCTTCTTTAGGTTGAAAGCTACATTTCATGACAATATTGGTAACGAGTTCCATGCTGGTCCAAAGAAATTACAGATAAGAACCAGTCGTTGTGATTTGTTGAAAGTGGCAGAGAGTGATGAAGATGCGACTATTTGGATTTATACCAAAGCCATTGGGTCTACTGTGATTAAGGGTTGGGCAGAAGGTAATTATTGTTAAAAAAGATAATGTTTAACTTATGGTAATTTTTCTTCAAGCTTGTTGGTTATTTATTTTCTTTTTCACTTCTGTTTTCCTTACTTCTTTATTTAACATATCAAATCCATTTAGTAATCAAAATGAATGGATAATTAATCAAAAAGAAACAATAGTTTGAACTTAATTTAATTAATTTTTGCCTACTTTTTAACTAATTATGAAACATAAACGAGGTCTACCTCATATAAAAACTGTTTTCTATGAATAAAATGACATAAGATTGTATGACTTGAATATTACAGACTGCAGACTTATGAAACAAAAATCTATTGAAATATAAGCTTTCAGATTTTATTATTTGCTGTAATGGTTGTTGTTTGTGTTATGTTTTTGCACTGCCTTCCTGATAAAATGCAGTTTCATTTTGACTACGTTGGTCATTGTTGGATTTTGAAATTATAGCTATATACAGGTTTACTCACAGGTTAAGTGGAAAAATATTTGTTTGTATTTTCTTTATCATATTGGAAATAAAAATGATAATTATTATTAAAGAGTTAAGAAGCTGTTTTGATAAAAATAACATTTTTTTGCTATTTCTGTTAATTAAATTCGGAAACGGCACTAGCTTATTTCTAAACCTCCATTCAGTCGACATTTATGAAAAGATAAATTTTATTAATAAAGTGTTTGATATAATTTTTGTCAGGTATTCAGTCAACTGCAGATTACTTAAAAGTACATGTAGAACAATCTGTCAAACCCGAACTTGAGAGTCTGACAACCGGCGACGTAATTTGTCTATGGACTCCCGTGGTGAGCGAATATAACGTTCCTGGCACATGGAGAAGCAGCGACGATTCATTGCTTCACATCAATCCGGCGTTAGATGTCGGTTTCGTTGGAAACAAAGAAGGCGTAGTCATTTTAACTCATTCCCTATTGAGAAGCGCTCCAATTTCAATAGAAATCAATATGGTCAGCCAAATTGAATTTTTGGAAACTTCAATGATTTTAACGAACAAAGAACTCAATCATGTTGAAAGAGTCATACTCGTACTACAAAGTGATAAAAGTTTTGGCGTGAAGACAAACAATTTGGTAAGTTCTACTATTTTTTTTAATCACATAAAGTGAAGAGCTGGTGACCTTATTGTTTCACTTATTTCGAACCTAACATTATGTTGTTTAAACTATTTTTTTATTGTTTTTTGTATTCACAAGTAATCGGGTCGGTAGTGTAGCGGTCTAACGCGCTTATATTCATTTATAGGCAAGTTTATGAGTCCGAGACTTCGAATCCCAGACCATGTGGATTTTTAATTAAATTGCATGGTTCGGTTTAGGATTTGATGTGTGCCGTATTAATATAAATTCAATTTCTGTTGATATGACATGCAGATTAAAAAAAAATCGCCATGCATTACCGTCTCGATGATGGTGGGTAAGGTTTTCCGGGTTTTCCTCACCTGTAAGTCAAATGGCACCATCAATCATCTTTAAGTCGCCCCGGAGCGCCACGGCAAATAATAATAATAATAATAATAGCCGTCCCTTCCCCTACACAAGTCATTCAGTCGACTTCAGGGGTTGAAATTCACTCTTAAGGGGGTGAATTAGGGAGAGTATTATTATTATTATTATTATTATTATTATAAATGCGTTCATAGACTGCGTGGAATATTGAAATGCTAAAGTTCGAGGAAAATGTAATAAAATATAAATTACGTTATCTAAATCACTATATTGCTTCTCAAAATATTCCCTTTTAAAGTTTGCACACTTTGATGAAACCAATATTCAAAACACTTTTTTCCCTCGGCAGGGTGGCTTCTAAATAAGTAATTTAAATTTTATTTTTGATGTGTCGAAATAAGAAATAATTTTGCGGTAAATCAGGGAAACAAATCCATTAATAATTGGATGTTGTTACTGATAAAAAAAAAACTCAACAATTCATCGTGCTCGTAATAAAAAATGATTTGCGATAACTTCCAGCAAACAAATTGGAGTATACCAGGTCAACATTAACATTGCCCGGTTTTCCCAAGGAACAAGCAATACTTTTTTCTAAACGCTTCGAGAACGCACCACTTTTCTTAGTTTAATTTAATTTTAGTCAATTGCTGTTTATTTTCAGGCTCATATAAATATATCCAATATTCGTCACCTGTTACGATTCTATTTCTTTGTGTTGGTCCGGTATGCAAAGTTTATAAACAACAACCGTGATTGCGAAAAATTATGTTCTAGACTTAAAAGTTTATTAAAATATCGAAATTGTTCTTTACTTGTCATAAAATTCCTTAAGAACAACTAAATTTTTTTCTTATAATAAATTAAAGTTATGTTCCTTTCACAATGATAGAAATACATCGATAACTGAATGTAAAAAGTTATTTAAATGAGCGATTGCGTTTGAGAGCATACCAATACTAGTAAAGTTATTGAAAATTTTGAAAAACCAACATTTTGAACATGTGTTGTTTTTGGGTGGCACAAAATTGATCGAAAATATTTGATTGAATACATTTTATCAAAAACATTTGATCGAAAATAGATTTGATAGAAAAGGCACTTGATCGAAAAGACAAATATATATAAAATGAGAAAAATAAAAAACAACTAATTTATCTAACCTGTGCGGCCTAGAGCCAAATTGACACTTAAAAGTAAGAAGAATAATGGACCTTTTTCATTATTGATGATCTCTATTACTCATGCGCAAATTCTACTTCCGCTTAAAATCATTAAAATTTATTGTTCTTATGTTTCCTTTACACATTCACAAATGTCATTTTGTTTTTTAGTTTGATGGTAGGAGATCCAGTGATACTTTTAGGTGTGTTATTTATGTGTCATTATTCAGTCATGCTCTAATCCTCCAAGTCCCTCTCTGTCTTATTTGGCCTTTGAGGATCAACTTGTCCGCTTTCGAGTACATTCCAGGTAGAACTTGATAATGTTTCTTTTTTTGGCGAGAACATTCTAGACCACCACCACAATTTTGAATGTCTACATAAATATTGGTGGAGGAACACTGAGCAGTCAGTCGTATACAAACAGTTGTGAAGATAAATAGTGAACAATTTAGACATACATAATATATATAAATTAGAATAGTATTGTTTTAAAATAAATAAGTGTTCAAATAAATTATTAACAAATAAACTGTTCCTTAAAATAAAAAAACTATCGTAACAGTACAAGTTATAAAAAAATTAATTTTACAATAATTCGAGAGGGAAACCAATAAGGTCAAAACGTACCGGTATTTCGGAAATCACCTAAAAAAATTATGTGATTTCGCTGAAAATCCACCCTAATTTTATAAGCTGACCTTTTTTTAATATTCCCTTGTCTGTTGATCCACAAGCTACTGAATTTACGTTATTGAATGACAAATTGATTTCAAAGTGATTTATTTCGCAAATGATTTCGACCAGAATTTTGATGATGCTTTCGGAATTTTCATAGTGATTTCGTTGTTTTCGAGTGAAAACGTACCAGTATTTCGGGAGTGGTTTACCCCTCGCAATAATTTTATTTATTTTTAGATCCAAGGCTGGAGATGCAGGACAGACGTTAGAAAAATTGTCAGGCCAACAGGCTTTAAATGCTTTGGTACTTTTGCAAACCATACTTTACCACTTACTTTTGATGATCTTTATAACATCACTCCAAGTTGGGTACCAGACACAGGACAGTATGCTTGCAAACTAATTAATCTGGGAGTAAATGGAACAATCATTTCCATGTTAAGAACTGATGTAATCGTTTGGGCTACCACTCTAGATGAATATGTCACGTCTGAAAAACAGATTATCAAATTTTTACCTGGTAATAACAGACTCCTACTATTAAAGAAAGAGATACAATAATTATTTAACAGACCTTGAAAAGGCTTTTGGTAGAAGGAAAGGTAGTAAAAACGAATACCGTCGGTCGACTTTAAAATATTTTGGCGCAGTTTACTCGCCAGTGTTGAATCGTAGAATAAAAATAATTCCAAACATTTTAAATAGTTACCGTCGGAATCGGGCTCTCGTATGTATATACGGGCTAGAAATTATTCTTTAAACAACTATTAATATCCCAAATCATAATTCTACAAAATTTCAACAGCTATTCGCAATTTATTAATCTATTTACGCGGAATTATTATTAGCATCTATAAAATAATTTTCTAGGGCAACGTATCGCGTTCACTTCGGTTAGCTCTGCGACAAAACTGTCAAATTTGGTGTATAAAGTGGGAGAACTGGCAAAAGCCTTTACAACTTGTCTCTGCTTTACATGAAACTGAAATGAAAAAATTAGAAAATAAAATCATTCTTCTTGCCTTTATTTACTTATAAAAAACATGAAGTGGTTTTTCAGTTCATTAATATTCTATTATTTAAAATTTTCGAAGATTTTAGATACAGAGAGGTTTATAAGAAGAAGTAGATAATATTTTCATAGAAGTGTGACTTGAATAAATATCGAGGTTTAAAAGTTGCTTGTTAACATAAAATTTATCTATAGAACTAACGTTTTTAAATAATAGGCTATTGTGTTGTCTCACTTTGACTTATTAAAATAATTTAATTTTCAGGTGCTTACACTGTGAAACAAATCGACTTAGAAAACACTTTTGAGGGAGAATTCGCTATATCTGGTTTACCTGAGGTATTAGCACAAATAGACGTTTCTCCTGCTGATAGCAGCATATTATATGTTGACAGTGGTAGTGCATTTGGTGAATATCAAATAAAATATAAGATTCAATTAATCGATTATCACTGGAGATTAGCAAATCTTGAAGAAGCAATGGGAATTGTGGTAACTTCGCCAATAACTCAACAGAATTTGAAGATACTTGTAAAAGTACATGGCACTACAGACAAAACAGTTTGTGGTACAGGTCGATCACCAGTAATGCTGTTTTTGCAGAATTACAAATATGCAATAATGTCAGCCATAACGATGTTAATCATATTTTTCATAACTTTTTATTGTAAGTATATTTTTTTAATTATCTAATTGCTAATTAAGTTTTATATCCCTAAGTTTTCCACTGAAGCATATACATTAAATGCGGGATTTCTCTCTGTATAGACCCCGTAATTTTATCTAATACCAAAGAGAATTGGACTTAATCCAGATCTACCTTCACCTCAAATTGTATGTGTAGTGGCTCTCCCACTTTGGTATTTTCATCTACGAACATATTCCATTTGCAAATATTATTTCGCTGAAATTACCTTTTTATTCAAAGAGCACCAAATCATTATACTCCAATTTCACATCTATTTGGAGCTGTGTGTATTGTTACACTTTTGAAGGTAGATTTCCAAATACTAGCTCAAAAAGCTTTGAGAGCAACAGGATTAAATATTGGGAGTTCTGGAGACAGACCAAAGTGATAGCAAAAAGAGACCGAAGACTTACAAAATGTAAAATCAATGTTACAGAATTTTTCAGCATGAATCCAAACTGATTATCTCATATTCTACTCTAACTTCATTTGTCTTCTAATTATCCTCTCGTATACCTTCATTGTATGACTCTGTAACATTATTTCTCTATAGTTGGTACATTGCTTTATGTACTCTATGTTTTTGTAGATTGATATAAGACTTATGCTTCTTCTTGGAAATCCATAGAAAAATCAATTCTTTAGGAAATACATTCACTTTCTTAAGCCCCTGCCTTGTTTTTCTAGCACATGAAGTAAACTAGAATGAAGATATGTAATACTTGGTATTCTATATTATATTCTTCACAGTTTAAAAGACTCTCCCCTAACCCCCATTTTCAATCAGATTTTTTCAGAATCGGTAGGCTTCGTTCTCTTGATTTTTCCTAAAGATTTCAATTTGATATCGTTTTTTGTTTCTATAGACGACAGTTAAACCCCAGGGGGAATTAGAATTTTAATAGGAGAAATTAACAGGCTTAAACGAATAGAGGAAATTGCCGACCAACTTCCGATGAATTACAGCGGATTTACCAAGTAATTCAAAGATAATTTTAAAAGAATTGTTAAAATTGGATAATAAAAGAGATTTAGGTGTATTAATTTCCCCCAAAATAGGCGTCAGTTTTCTTCCCGAAAGGGTTTAACACAATGTTTTGACAAACCATTTCAGTTAATTATATTTTATTACAGTGTATTCCAAGTACATGCAGCCTGTGGTTAATGTTAACCTCCATTCTCCTCGTGGACCTCCACCACCACCATCAAGCCTTAATAGATCGCAGCAGTATTCTCCGGACGTCTCCAACAGAAATAAATATATAAAGGATAGAAACACTTTGAGTCCAAGAATGACAGGCACAGGAACGTGGCCGAAAAATCTGTGTTCTTGTTGTCAATCTCCACAATGTGTGAATAGAGAGCCTATTTATGGAGAAGCTAGTACGTTTTATACTAGCCCCGATCACAGAACCACCAGAAGAATGATGTGAATTAATTTTACCTGTTAGTCAATATTTTCCTTTTCAACTATTTTTTATCTTTAGAAGACTGTTTGATGACCTCAGGATTTGTACATAATTTTTGATAACAATCTTTGTAAATGTGATTTTTCAATAAAAATAAAGCGAAAACATTCTTTTATTCTAAGGGTTGACCAAAGAGTTCTTTTTTAATATTGTTTACAGAGATAAGTAACCAAATTATTTTTATTATAATTAATGCAGTTGTATGCTTTTAAATCTTAGTGAAATTATAGATTGTTTGCCCGTTTATATTTTGAAACATTTTGGGATTTGTTTCAGTGGCGGCTCGTGAGGTAGTACCACTGTGCCATGGCACTACCTTATTTTTGATGCAAAAATATATTTTTTCTTTTTAAAACGTCTTATCATATTTTTATTTTATGCATTTCTTTTTATATTCAAAAATTATTTGAAATGTAGCAACCTCGCGCTGCATAAATCTCCAAGCTCGTGCCGCGTACCAGAGCCAGTTCTCAGCTGGCACTAGGGGGATATTTACCAGCAGCCTATGTGAGCAACAGAGATGGGGACATTTTACATGTATTTAAACGGTAAAATCAAGGAATATTTGTGCCGGGCACATCGGCGATAGCTGTTCAGATAATCGCGGTTTCTCGATAATGTCGATTGTTTACTGAACCGAATTTCTTTACGCGCTTTTAAGTTTTTCGTTACTTTACGAAGTATTATTAGTGACGTTAATGTGTGTCTTTTTGTTTTCGATAAACTTGTTTAAATATCTTATTTCGTAGTTTTTAATTTATTGTGACAATGAATAAAATTTGCGTTTTAAAAAACTCTTTTAGTGGTTTTTCGCTAGAAGAAAAACTACAAATTAAAGAATTAGGCCGGCCAATTCCCGATTTAAAAATTGAAAAACAAAGTGGAAGTGGGCAAAAATCGCGGTGTAGTAAATTTAATAAAACTATTTATTGTGTGGTTGCAAAAAAGTAATAAACTGTTTTGTTTGGAGGTGACGAGACTTGGTCAAAAAAAGGCACAGACGATCTTGTCCATATATGGGATAAAATGAAATCCAATGAAAAATCTAAACTGTACATGAATGTTTTTAGCTTTTCCATGCTTGGTAAGTTAAATATAAAAACCCAGGTAAATTCGGCTTATTGTGATGCTCTAATTAAACAATCAACAAGTGGATAAGAATCGATATTTTAAATCAAATTATAAATTGTATAAAGTTTTGTGGAGCCTTTCGAGTTAGTTTTAAGGGGTCACGATGAGAAAGATAATTCGGAAAATAGAGGCATATTTAAGGAGTTGGTGAATTTTAGCGCCGAATTAGACAACGACTTAAAGGTTCATATTCAAAGTTCAAAAGCTTTTAAAGGTACCTCAAAAACAACCCAAAATGAACTTATTGAGTGCATGTTAGATGTTTATCACGAAGAAGTTAGGAAAGAAATAGAAAATTCTCCTTTTGTTGCAGTGATTGCCGATGAAACGACGGACGTTGCTTGTGAATTTCAATTAGTTATAGTTTTCAGATATTTGTGTAAAGGACCACCAGTTGAGAGATTTTGGAGGTTTTACATGCTCGATGGACACGACGCCAAATCAATCGCTGAATGCATTTTAAATGTTTTACATCCATTATTAAAACAGTCCAAATAAATTAATTGCTCAAAGCTATGACGGCGCGTCTGTAATAAGTGGCGGATTAAATGGTGTGCAAAAATTATTAAACAAACATATCCTCTTGCAAATTACGTTCATTGCTATGCACACCAGATGAATTTAATTATGACAAGTGCATGTTCTGTCAATAAGCAGGCTAGAATATTTTTTTCTAATTTATCTGGTTTGTGCTCTTTCTATTCTACGTCTCGTCAAAGAATAAAAATTTTGGATGAAGTAGTTAATCGCAGGTTGCCAAAATCTTCCCAAACACGTTGGAATTTTCAATCGCGAGGTGTTCCTACTGTTTATGAGAATAGAAAAGATCTCATTACAGTTGTGGACATTATAGAAAGTACTTCACGCGATTCGTCGTCTATTAATCAAGCAAGTGGGTACAAATTAAAACTTCAGGATAATAATTGTATATTATGGTTAATAATCGAATTAAATTACGGGTTTTGAGCTTACATTAAATTGTAATTAGATGAAACAAAATGGATTCTATGTATTTTGAGGTGATCTTTTCGAAAAAAGGCAAAACAAAATGTAGCAGTTTTTCGAAAGTGCCGAAACGCAGTTTACGACATTTGAATGCTTAGAAAAAATGCTAATTTTTATGTCTCTTGAGAAATTTTGATCCGATGCACCGTTTTCGCGGTATGGACGATTGAAATTTGTTTAGTATTTTGAGGCGACGAAGGTCGAAAAATTGAATTTGTTAAATGTTCAAACACTAAATTCTTTATAACATTGGTAAAAATTAAGATATTTGAAAAAACAAAAATGCGTTTTGAACTTAAGGGATGTGACTAGTGATTCCCAGAAGGGGGCAAAAGAAATCCCAAAATTGGGCATATGGCGGAAGGGCAAATGCACCGCCGTCCTAATTTCATTGTTTGCCTATAACGGCCAAACTATTTGAATTTTTTTAATGCCACTTACAAAGCTTACTCTTAAATGTGAAATCTTATGTGTGTGTGAATTTCACCGACATCGGACCATAATTGGCTAAGATATCAAACAAATTTTTTTTTCCAAAAAAAAAATTTTTTTTTTTCGAAAGTTTGAAGTGGCACAAAAATGCCAAAAATGCACGATTACATTCTGGAAAATTCTTTTTTTTTTTGAGTACTCTATTGTGTCTAGAATACGATTACATTACGGAAAATTCTGCAAATATATTTTATCTATTTTTTTGACCACTGTTCATTGAGTGACGACCAAAAAACACGGTTTTTGAGAAAAGTTGCCTAAAATTGACAATTTTTAGTTTTTTTGTCTGAAAATTAAACAAACCCAAATTTCATGTCTTCTAAATGTGAATACAAAGTTCAAAGTGTGTATGTTTCTTCTAAGTTGTAGAATTCTCCCGACAAAAGTCCCATTACACGCGCTCCGCGGGATCCAAAACTCGTGTATACACTACATTACTGTAATTTGATTTTTTTGCGATTTCCAGTTTTAAATTTCTTGCATATCTAAATTTATTAGGCTTAAAATGTATTAAATTGTATTTTACTGACTTGTTATAAGACGTTTCTTGAGTTTTGTGCAAAATATAGAATTACCAGATATTAGCGAACAAAAAGCAAGCTTATCACCAAGTTGGAACTTACACTCAGGCTTAGGATTAATTTCCTAACATTTTTAAAGTATACCTTTTTGTGTATTTTTTTTGTGCTCTTTTCGATGGCGAAGTTAGTTTTTTCAAATATATTTATTTTGTTAATGTTTTCGGAAAACCCGGAAAAAATCACATGGGAAAAAAATTAAAAAAAAACTATTTTATTTGAGAGCCAACAAAAAAATACGCAACTTCTCTCATGGGCACATATGTCTAACATTTATAATTTCGCCACAAATTCATCGCAAAACTGATTTGAATAAAGGTATAGGGTTCTTTAAACAATCAAAATACCTTAAAACATTTATACGTTTTTATTTTTTAATTAAAGCATACTTTAATAAATATAATAAAAAAATTATTAAAAAAGTTTTAATAAATCACTGGTTTTTCTAAACATATAAATGCAATTTGTTAATTATCCACATTATTCTTCTCCACTTCCTTTTTTCATGCCATCTTTCTGTTTTTTCACTTTCTTCGAGTCCTTTTCCAAATCTATTGGAGCAGGTTTTACAAATGGAATTTCTTCTTGATATTCTTCAGGCATGAAGTTCTTCAAAACAGCTGGAACCTTAATACCTGTTTCAGTTTGATTATTTTCCAAAATGGCGCAAATAACTCTAGTAACGGCGCACATTGTTGCATTCAGCATGTGGACATAGTCAGTAGTTGCATTCATTTTTTTTGTTTGACCATAACGAACCATTAACCGGCGTGCTTGATACTCTAGGCAATTGCTGCATGATACTAACTCTCTAAAGGCTCCTGAACCTGGAAACCAGGCTTCCAAATCTAGTTTTTTAGCTGCAGCATTGTTCAGAGCTCCAGACACTATATTTACAATCCTGTATGGTATTTCTAAAGATTTGTAAAATTCTTCAGCATTTCCTATCATTTCATCCATCATCTCCCATGATTTATTGTCAAAAGGAGATGTAAGACAAAACTGTTCAACCTAAAAAAGTCAAATATATCAGATAAATGCCTACATCTTAAATTTTATATGAACTGTTATATCAAATTTAAAAAAAATGGTTTTCAATTGTTTACAGGCAATCTAATTATATTTATGTAAAGAAAAACTTTGTTAGCATACATTTATTTAATTTTCTTACTTTTTCAAATTGATGGACCCTGAATATCCCTCTAGTATCTCGTCCATGAGAACCAACTTCTTGTCTAAAGCAAGTAGAAAGTCCTGCGTATTTAATTGGTAGTGAGCCTTCTGCTATCCATTCATCTCTATGGAATGCAGCAATTGGTTGTTCTGAGGTTGCTATTAAATATTTTTCTTCTACATCTTTATCTTCCGCTTTTTCACTTCCCTTTCCTATTACCTTGTACAATTCGTCATCAAATTGAGATAGCTGAGCAACTTCTTGCATAACCTTAAAAAAAATTATTTTCATATTCAATTTTAGAAATGCAACTGCATTCTAATGAAAGAAGGTTGAAGTGCTAAGCACCGTCCCTAAACTAACTGCAATTATTAAGATTTGTCAAATTTTAGGGGTTCTGCTAGTTCGGATAAACGCCTGGGGTTAGTGATAACTGAAGCAATTAAATCCAGTATAATCTATCTTTTATTAAAAAAATCCATAACTACGGTCAATTAATAATAATAAAAAACGTGTTAATTTTCATTGTATTTTCCATCTCGTATTAAATATTGAAAAAAAAAATATATATTAAAATTAATTTTTCTTAAAACTACATATTTGGACTTTGGATTTTCCTTGTACGCCCATGATATTATACAAACAATTTTTTAAACCAATAATTTATTTTTGCTATTGTTCTATCTGGCCTAGATATTTACATTTACCAGCCATTAGATTTATATTCTGTGGTAGAATTTTGTTAAAAAAAAATTGTGACTTTATGGTTTCAGATTTTCCTTATTTGAAAATGTACAAATTGGCTGTCTTAGACAATTGTTGGAGCAGTAATGTAATTTTTAATTTCAAGACAGATATTGTTTTGACTAGAGATTCTAGACTTTTTAGTATTTTATTCATGATGCATGGGTGAAGATTGCTTGTTCCAACTTTAGGTTAAAAGAGCAAATTACTTAAATTAAAAATGAAATAATTTAAAATTTTTATAATTTTATTGAAAATAGGAGCATTATAGCAGGACAGAAGTTGTAAAGGCTTTTCTCAGTTCTCCCACTTCATACACAGAAATTGAAAGTTTTGTGGCAGAGCTAATCAAAGTAGATGCGATACATTGGTGTACAAAATTATTTTATAGATGTTAATAACAATTTCGGGTAAATAGTTTTAAAAATTGTGAATAGCTGTTGAAATTTAGAATTGTGTTTTGGGAAATTATAATACTTGTTTAATAATTATTTCTAGTCCATAAATATATGCGATTGTCCAGTTCCGCCAGTAATAGTTTAAAATTACTTATTCTGTGAAACACCACTGGCAGTTAAACATTACCGCGAAATTCTCGGAGACGTCCGACCCCCTCTCACCTACCCAAAGCCTCTCCAACTTCTGCCCCTGCTATACCTCTTAAAAAAAAAAAAAATTTTACTTAATCCAAAATTACCTCTTTTCTCATAAAAAATGGAGTGTAAAGTGGCTTATATCCTTTTTTATTTAATATTCTCAATGCCAATTGAATTAAAGCCTGCTCTAAGAACACTGCTGCACCCATTAAATAATAACCCCTTCCTCCAGAGATTACAGCTCCTCTATCACCATCCATACCATCAATCATTACTATTAAATCTACATGAGAGTATTTTTTTCTTCCAGTACAATCTCCAAAAGTTCTTTCAACTTTGTTCCTGTCTTCATCATCATCAACTGGCACTGACTCATGCAAATGGTTGCCTACTTCTCTTAAAGCATCATTTCTCTCCTTTACTATCTTTATTAACTCATTATCATTATTTACTATAGCTTCATCTATTAAAGTTCTTACCTATAAAAACAATATAAATAAATTAGACTGTTTTTCATAATGGTTTGTCTAATTTTAATTCTCTTGACTAGGAAGCTTAAAACTGGAAGAATGTAATAAAGACATGTTTTTTAATGATTTTTAGTGTTATAGTTTATGTTGAGTTGTTTTAAGTCTTAAAATTTATATGTTAATGTTGAAATTGATAACTTTTTTTTTAATAATTATGTTTGTACATTAGGTTTACTTATTTGAACAAAGATTTTCAACAACTTTTTTAAATAATGCAGTCAATAGACATGCCTGAAATGTGATGTAAATGGATGCAGTGCATGTTTCTAATGTCTTTTGTTTCCTGTATATTTAATTTCCTCCCCAATAATTTTATTTATTGCATTATAACTAAATGCATTTAATAATTATAATTAAAAATAAAATTGTAGAAGACTGTAAAAACAATTTTTGAATATTGAGCCAAACCTTAAAATAATAAGTTTTTAAAAATCTAGTATATCACTCATGGTTATATAGACTTTTCACTTAAAATGGAGCTGCTTGGCAATGTCAAATCTGACAGGATACACATACTAAAGGTATGCTGACTTTTGATTCAAAACAAGCCTAAGGACCCAGTAATTTTTTAGATTAGACAATAGAATGACTATGAAGGTGGGTACTAAGCACCAAGATTAGGTAAAACAATAAGCCAATAGGCTGCAGACTACATTAAATAAATTTAACTAACTTTTTTTATTTGATTTACTGTTAGAGGCTGAAGGAGATCCTGAGTTAAATTTTCTATATTAGAAACTACGTTTTCCGGTACATTTTCCGTAGCATCTCCTTGGGCTTCTTTTTTCTTCATTTTCTCACCAATTGCTTTGCTACAAACATTTTTCAGCTTATTCCAATTATCAGCTTTGTGTCTCAGTTGTCTCCATGTGGAATCTCTTTCCACAACTTTGTCAACTAAGCCTACATCTTTGTATCGCTTTTTTTGATTTTCTCTTATTAGGTCTGGATTACCACCCTTGTCTGTGCGAAATAAATCTAGATCTAATACCATTTTCCTTATTAATTATTATCAAAAAATGATGCAATATTTTAAGATTTATTTCACTATTAACCGCATACGTCAACGAAAAGAAAGATGTAGGTTATGTTTTAACTTTTCAAACGTCACACAACTATCATCTTCTCTTTTTAAGGTATATATTATGAGCGTTGTCTATATAAAGATGCAGACAAGAATTTTAAAATAAAAACTTCCATTAAAAAAAAATTTGAAAGTACAAAAGTCCAAAAGTTCGAAAATCGCACATTGTTTAAAACTACTAACAATCGAAATGATATATAATCGAAAGGTTTATTTTTATATTTTTTGCGATGCACCCGCGACGACTCCAGGTCGCACAGGTTAGGTAAATGCTATTCGTTTTCAAACCCGAAAGCTTAAAACTAACAAATGGGGGTACTCTAATCCCACACATGAACTCTGAATGTTGAATGTATTTTTTCAAAATTTTTTCATTCAAAATTTTTCAATTTATTATTTTACCAATTCATACAATTTCATATTTCTAACATACATCGTTTTTTGAGGTGTCTTATAAAAAATTCAACCTCTTTAAATAAGGATATTACGTCGTTGTCGCGGTGAAACCTCCTATGTACATTTCATCAAAATTTTCAGTAGATATAAAAACGTAACAATTTTGTTCTGATGCCTTATACGTATTACGCACAAGGGAGGTCTAAAATCACAATATTTTAAAAGAAAATTACATGGGAGGTTTCGCTAAACTGTACAGAATGTTAGTTTCTATAAACTGGTACAAAAATCTAAAAATGTGATAAAATATCACATAGGAGGTTTCGCGGCAACGACGATTAGGTAAATAAAAAGCGTAGTTTTGCCTATTTTTTTTTTTTTTGTAAGAACTAATGCCGCATTTGAGGATCCACATCGGATGCATCTGAGATGTAGTAAATCTTTGATCAAGCGCGTGATTCAGTATAAGTAAATGTAATGGGACAGATGTGTCCGATGTGGATAAAAAACGCTCGAGATGTAAAAAATGCATCCGATGTGGATTCTCAAACGCGACAAAAGTACATATTAAGTTAAAATATGGGTTTATATGAACAAAAATTTAAAACAATACAAAGAAACTGCTTAATTATGTACAAACGGTTCAATTATATAAAAAAGAATATATGTGTTGAAAGGAAAAATATTTAAAATGCAAATACTTGGCAACATTATTTTTAAATATTTTTAGTGAATGACACACTGCCTATTGTGTGTACACCATTATAACTGTTATTATCGTTAGTGAAATACATAAATAAAAAAAGTGCAGAGTATTTTAGAACAAATAACTAAGGAACTGGTTACTTTTCCATGAAAATATCTTCTGCTCTTATAAGCTCCTAATAAATTAGATGTGATTAAGGGTCGATTCCACCGTTGTGTTAAACGGAGATTAAAATGACATTGTTAATGTAAAAATGTCACAACGGTGGAATCGGTCCTAAGTATTTTAAGCATAAGACGAACTAGACCATTGAACTACTTCAGTAGGTAATCCTGGAGTTTTCTTTATAGCTTCATTAACTTGTGAAGGCATCACAAGCAAATTAAAAAATTGATATTCTTTTTGAGTTTTTGCTCCACCACCAACATTGATCATGGCAATTAATTCTAAACTCTAAAAATTATAATAATCATGAGCTGCAGATAATTACAAATCGTACTCTCATAAAATGTTAATCAAATTCTGAATTAAAAGGGTTAAAGATAGGGTAAAATGTATTTCATATTTTTCTATATTTTTTTTTTTTCTTTATTGGTCTCAACTTATACAAGTTATTTAACCAGCACTAACATTAGTTACATGAAAATAAATACAATAAAATTTAAAATACTATTTGGCTCTGTAAAATTAAAAAAAAAAATAAGGTGAACAATATTTTTTATAAATTAATGTTAGAAGATTTTAAAAATGACATGATTATGGCTGTACTGCAAATTGGTTTTCGTAAATAATCATTTAGACATAAAGGGGAATACTGGGGTCGAAAAGCTAAAACCATTTTTTGGTATAAGAATTTTAAATTATCTGTATTATTACTGCATTCCATCAAGATATGACCTAAACTTCCAATTTCACCACAGCTGCAACTTGGGGAGTCAAGGATACCAATTCGGAACAAATGAGCAGAACTATAGCAGTGACCAATTCTCATTCTGCACATTGTACCGATTTGTCCCTTTGTTAATTTAATTTTAAAAAACCAGGGTGTTCTAGGCAGTTTGTTTAATATATTAAAAAGTTGCTTTCCCTTAGTTTGACTCAGTTCTCGCCATTCTTCACTCCAATCATCCCAAATTTTATTTTTAACTCTGGGTAGCATATTTCTATAATCCATTATCATTACGTCAGAATAATGTTTGTTAAGTCCTAATTTAGCAAGTTTATCAGCTATGACATTTCCCTTTATATTCGTATGACTAGGTATCCACGCAAAAGTAATATTTATATTCTTAAGTTTTGCATCGTAAATCTGACTTTTAACATTTAAACTGCAGCTATCTGAACAGGATAGTATACCTAATCTTTGTATTCTCTGAATAGCACTAGAAGAGTCCATACATATAAGCACATTTTTGCAGTCAGATTTATTAATTTGAATGAAGTTACTGCCCTTTCGTAATTACAAAATATGAAATGAATAATTACCTGTAAATGCTCTAACGCTTTCATAACAACACTCCTTGGAACACTCTGTATATTAGAATTTGTTTTAACAAATTTTATATATCTAGAGAATACCATTTCAAAATTCATTGACTGGCCCTCATAAATCTCAGAATGGTGTTTCATTGCTATTAAAAGACAAAGTTCAAGTACATTAAGGTCCTGAAGTGTAACTAAAATATCATCTCTTTCTAATGTGTTTATTTCTTCTTGAAACATATCTACTGTAAGACATTCTTCTTTCAATTTGTAAATAATATTAATCTGAAATAAATATTTAACCATTATAAACTCTATATGGATTTTTACCTAACATTTCCAAGTTCTGGGTTTATATATGTATAGCTTAGTAAAGACTATATAATTTAGTTGTAAATTTAACGATTATTTACCAATATATTTTTTAAAGTCCTTTCACTTGTATCAATTTCCACCAGTCTTTGAATAATATTTTTAAATTTTTTATCTTTTAGAATATTATGTACATTTGAATTCCATTTATTCTTTACTTCTGGATTTATTTTATAACCAAAATTTTCACTTATTATTAAATAATATTCTAATTTTTCCAGTGCATAATCCAATGATTTTTCACTATCAGTTGGAAATAAAAATATTTGTCTGTGTGAAAACCTAGATTTTACACGTTTTTCCAAGAGTTCTATTACATCAAGGCGACAAGTAATACCTAAAACATATTAAAACTAATTTACCAACAATTATACATAAACCATAAATATTATGTATAATGATATTATACTACATTAGTCATAGAAACTGTGGTACATATATATAAATAATAATTCCTTAACTCTTTCTATGCGGTGTGTTTTGGCAATCGGCGGACATCACAGTGCTGTGCTAGAGGTCGTAATCAGCAATGAGGTGACAAAATACATATTTTAGTAATAATTAATTTTTTTATAATTAAATTTGATTTCATTTTTCTATTTTATTTTTTGTATAATTCTATTAATTTATTAATCCATTTTTTACCTCTAGTTAGATTGGGATATGTTATATTAAAAATAAATTAATAAATAAATCTTTTATTTTGTATAATGGTTTCGGTGGTATCCACCAAATTAGCCAGTGTCAGTTTGTGATAGATTTATTTTATTAAGGTGTGTTCAGTGCAGGCTTTGTTACCGTTTTTCTGTGCCACTTTAGGGAAAGCACTGTTAATTGGAACCTGAGAAATCCTACCTAGAGGTATCAACATTAGTTTTAAATAAAATAAAAATCTTGGTCAACAGAGGCAATTTGAACCACGCACCCTTTAATTTTGCAAGTCCAAATTCTAACCACTGAACCACCCACCCCCTTGAACTTTTTTTACATATATATACTCAAAACTCCTTATGACAAAAAACGAGCAAAACATTGTTGTATAAAATCTACCAGAATAAAAAATAAGATACCTAGTTTTTTAAATTCGTAATTTTACAAAGATGTAGGTACTTCACTCGTACACTCCTGCTAAGATTGATGTACTAAGTGAAAAATGAAGCCATTAAGCAGACTCATTTACGTTGCAAATAAATAGGGGTATACCGTTTTGGTTACACACAAAAATCTGGCTATGACAGGGAAGCAGAAATGTGTAAAATTGTGATTTTAATGTGATATGTTCTCTGATCTCTTTACTGAGTTTTAATTAACTGTATTATCTTTGTCTTACTTCCAATTATATCTTAAGTTCGTGCCACACACAGATTTTCTTAGGCAGTAAAAATATTAAATCAAATAGAAAATGAATTTTAGGTATATTTTGTCCTTTTATTTTTCTCACCGATAATTATTTAAACTTACCCAAAATACAAATAGGAGCTTGTGCCGATTGTGAAATATCAAATAAATTATAAAGAAGGGTTTGATTGTGATGAAAACAAAATAGATCAAATTCTTCTAAAATAAACACAACACTTCTTGATGTGTGTTTTTCTCCAGTACGGAGGCAAGCTAAGAGAAAAGATAAATTTTCAGCAAAGGTTCCAAAAACTTTTCCATCTACCACGTTTTCCAGATTCATTTGTGATGTAATACTTTTCAATGATAACCTATCATCAGTGTGTATCATTCCATTCAATTTTACTAATATAGAATCCTTTTTAAATGATGATTTACTCTGTAATTCATTAATGACATCATTGATCAACTAAAAAAATATATATATTTCTTTATTGAATTTACTAGGGAACAAACCCGTATTAAGTATTAAATTATAATGCTAGAAAATCTACAAATCTCAGTAACTACATTACTTTTATTACATTTAAAATTTGTTTCGCTAAGGAACCATTTAAAATATTTATAATCTTGGAATTTGTAGTATATAAATAATGACATTTATAGGGGAATAATGTTCATGATTTGTATTGCTAGATAGTAATTTATTTGCAATAATAAATAAGTGGAAGAGTCCCTTATTTCTCAAATTGCTAATATGTAAATTTTATTGCATACTTTAGTTTTTCCAGAACTTTTTGGACCTATTAGTAATGCTGAATTTGATTCACCAAATTTAACTGTTCTTTGCAACAAATCTTGGACTTGATTTCTCTCCTTAATATTTCCAACAAACTTGGATTGGGAATAAAGATTGTTTTTCAAACATATTCTAATATCTTGTAAATTATTTTGTCGATTTCCTCCCATGATCTTTTTTGTTGTATTGTTTATTGTTCACAGGTATTTTGTTATAAAAAATGAACCATGATAACCTTTATATATTTTTATAAATTTATATTGGCATTGGCGGGAAGAAGCAGGAGTGCGTTTAGAAACCACGCACGGCGCACGGCGCGTCTGGACCCTATTCTAATGTATGTTAGAGATGGGTTGCTTTTTAGTAAACTGCTATTTGACAACTGTTATTTGAACTAAGCAGCTTTCAACTGCTATCAGCTATTACAAATCGCTGCTTCTTAAATAGCAGTTTACCATTTTCACTAATATTTCGATTTCAGATACGCCGATCTTTGTGACTATGTTGTGAGTGCATGGTGCGCGTGATGCGACGATGACAATGGCAAGTTGCTGATGCGAATGTCGTATTTTATACGTGCACTACGGATGTTTGTTTTTCTGTACAATAACAGTTATGGTTAGACCAAAAATGATGTGCCCTGTTACAAATATTTTCAGCAAATAAATTTGTTTTAAGAAAATAACTCACAATACAAAACTTACGTCAGAGAGGACGTGATGGCATACAAAGACTAATTTTTTAATTGTTACCATTCCCGTTGTCGTCGATTTATTCTGACAATTTGGGGAACCACCCGCACAGGTTGATATTTAACTCGACATTATAAGACAGCTTAACAGATTTGAACGCGATCACCGATCGACTAGTAAATAATGAAATACCGGTAAACACTTAAGCAGAGTAGTCGAACTACATGTTGCGATGATTTAATAAACTGCTATTAAAAAGCAGCTATTTGAAAGCTGCTTTTTAGAAAAAGCAGTTACTGTTATAACTGTTATTTAAAAATAGCAGTTTTGCCCATCCATGTAGTGAGACGCGCCGTGCGGGGTTTCTAAACGCACTCCTTATGGTTGAATTTGAGCATAGGGGATTAGTCCCAAAAAAGAAGAATTTAAATGGCATTTCAACGACCTCAAAATGGGAATTGACAGTTTAGATATGGCAACAGTCATTGCGTTCGGTCTGCCAAGTTCCTTTAACTCCTTTAACACTTTTAACTCCAAACGACCCTTTTAGCGTTAGGTTTAGTCCAATGAACTGGAGTGGGGTAGAATGCTTGTCAATAGGCTTCAGATGCGACTCTATGGGCGAAGACAGGTTATTTTTCATCTCACTCGGGAGTATTTATAACAACCATTTTCTATTTCACTTTGTTATTGTCTGATCCACCAGCTTGTGGATTGAACAATAACAATGTGAAACAGAAAATGGTTATTATAAATACTCCCGAGTGAGATGAGAAATAAAAATGGCTGCGCCCATAGAGTCGCACCTTGTTCTACTGATACAATATGCACGTTGGCTTTCTACCCCACTCCAGTTCATTGGTTTAGTCCGATTAGTGACACTTTAACACGCTTAAATGTCATTTACAAGCACCCTAAAATTTGTCCCGCTCCAGCCCCTGACTGACCGAACTCGCCTCCTGTGGGCCTGTTGTCATTGACAGGGTCATTGATACATAAAATTACCCGATCAAACGAACTTGTGAAGTTCGATCGTAATTATATGAGGCGCTTCGTTCGAATAGATTACTTTATAATAACTTAGTAGTACCGGTTTTCGGTGCTAGATGGCACAACGTTCAAAGATAAAAAAACTTCTTTATCGGTTAAGTATGCTTACCTACTTTACCGATCCCTTTCACACGTCATAAAGTTTAAAGCAAATTCAAAATTTGTTTTTCGATTTGGATTTATTCGCGATTCAAGCTAAGTGATACGCCCTCTGGAGGAAATTTGTAGAAGGTCCGAATAAGTAGGATATCGTTCAGTGTTGCCAGAAGTAGCAAAACTTCGCTACGTCGTCGGATTTTAGCTCTGGAAGAAGTGGATAAAACCTTTTATTTAAGAATCAAAATTTGTGTATGTTATGATAATCTATATTTATTTAAGGATTTTTTTCTAAAACCGATTTATTATATTGATTTTTTTTAAATTTCAGTTCATTTATTAATTTTGTTTTAAAATCAGTTCATCATTTGGCAACATTGGCGTTCATGTTCATTGTTTACATGTTAATTTGTATCAATTACAAATAGAGTTTTTTTTTACTTTTTAGCTTTAAATTTGTTTTTTTCTTATAGCATGTGATAGTGTTTATATTAAAAATGAAATCTGTGACGAAGTCCCCAGAAAATTGCAATCTATATGGTGTTAATGTCAAAATCAAAACTGAAGATTCATTATTTTCCAAGTACAAGTCGTAAAATTTTGTTTTTTACGATAAATGGATATCTACAAATTCACAATATTGAAATTTTACGAAACTTTGTTTAGAATCAAACTGAAATCTTATTTTTTGACGGTTTTATTACCATTTACATGTATACAAAGTACTACGTGATTCACTTCATAATATAAGAATAAGTCTAGTAAGATTTTTAAATAAGTTCATCAATAATAAACGTGTGGTACCTGAAATGTCCTTTAAACCACATAATACAACATGTCGTGGGTTTAGTGAATACATATTTCTAGATGTTCTTGTAGTAACCAATAGGTAAATATTTCCAACAAATTAAGTCATACACATGATAAATATTATATTTATGACGAAAGCACGAGACTTAAACTTAAATTAACACTAAATGAAACTCAAAAACACTATTACAATGAGAATATTATCTAAAAACAGTTAAAAAAATCACAAATACAAAATCCGTCCAAAACAAAAACATGTAAATAAACAAACATCCTACTTATAGATGACAAATGACAGGCGCGCGAAAATTAATTTGAAACTACCTGAAACAAATACAAATGGGTTGGGTAAAAATGGGATGGGATCGTTCCATTTATACAAATTGTATGGATGGAACGGTATTTTCAGAAGTGGCGTAGCTCAGTGCTACACTTCCGATGCAAAGGAAAAGACCTATGTATTGTAAGATAATAAAAATATTTTAAACAATATTACTTCTCATTTATTCAATAAAAAAAAATTGTTTTCTTATCGGTCACCACGCTCAAAAAGTGTAACTTAATTAATATCAAAGAAAAAACTTGAATTAATATCAAAGAAAAAAAATACTGCATAAATAAAATAAATAAATAATTATAATTGTATAAGTTGATAAAAAATAAAAATGCTATGCAATAGCTTTACCGCGGCAGTCCCTGAGTGTCACACGTATTTTTTTAGAATATTTTTTTGAATAAAAGGCTCATAAATCGTAAGAATTTTCATTTCGGGGAAGGTTAGTGCGAAATATGTTATTTTAAAATAAATACTGGCAATTTAGCTCTAACCTGAAACTTCTGTTAATATAATGCACAATGTTTTTTGGAAATCATCGAAAAAATACATAAAACATATTTTTTTCAAAAAGATATGACAACGTCGGAATGAATCCTGTAGAGATATGTTCGTCTTTTTTGAGCGTCAGTCACTATTTCTATTTAAGTTTACAGCTACCTGTTTTTAGCCATTTTGATTTAGAAATTAGGCATTCCAAACAAATGAATTACCAGTGGGCAGGTTTGGTATATCTAAGGGTGGCGACATATGGTGTATTCTATCTACTTTACGTAAAATCATGAATAATGGATTACATTTAAATATTTTATGTCAAACACAATAAAAATAATATTTAAAAAACCCACCTATACATTTCTTTATAAATTGGCAGGCTTGGCGAGTACTACTTTGAATAAAAATAGCGTCCAAGTTGCAAGACTATGTCGCTACCCCCTTAAATATACAAGAATTTCCCACTGGCACCTATTGTTTGACAGGTCGTTGGAATGCCTAATTAGGCATTCCAAACAAATGAATTACCAGTGGGCAGGTTTGGTATATCTAAGGGTGGCGACATATGGTGTATTCTATCTACTTTACGTAAAATCATGAATAATGGATTACATTTAAATATTTTATGTCAAACACAATAAAAATAATATTTAAAAAACCCACCTATACATTTCTTCATAAATTGGCAGGCTTGGCGAGTACTACTTCGAATAAAAATAGCGTCCAAGTTGCAAGACTATGTCGCTACCCCCTTAAATATACAAGAATTTCCCACTGGCACCTATTGTTTGACAGGTCGTTGGAATGCCTAATAAATAATAAACATAACCTAAAAATAACAATCTGTCAATGTTACAGTTTTAGTCCGTGGTTGTAGTCTGTATCCTATTTTAAAATGAATTAATTTGGGTTTTTATGTCTGGGGAATCATGGTAAATAATGGCCCCAGTTGATGTTAAACCAAAATATTTAAATTTTAGGAATATAAATGGAAACGAAGTTAGACTGTACATAAATGAGGCTCCTTCATGCTTACAAGTAACAATTTTCAGTTGCCAAAAAAATTTATACCAAAAGTGCATTTGTCTATTTATTACAGCTATTTTGAATTCAGTACTTCTTCTTTATAACATAGTTACGATAAATGTGATACTAGGAATATTGATCATTATATTGTTACTTTTGTATACAGTGTGTGTAACTACAGTTGAAGGTATAGTCACATTAATTTATTACATATTTATAAATATGTCTTAAAAATTAAGGGACTTTGCAAGCTAACCAATAATCTGTTTTCAATTTTCTCTTCAAACAATTTGTTACCTGGATATCTATAACAATATTACTGATTTATTAGGATCAAATAATTTTATAATAAAATTTCATAAATATTTTAAGAATACCAAAGAAATGTAAACTTGTGCCAAAAATTGGGAAAACAAAATTATTTTTTATTTTCAGAAAATTTAGTTATCATAAAAGACTTTGGAATTGAAATTAGCAAAAGGAATGTGATTTCAACAAAAAAAGTATTTTACCCCCAAGAGCAAGTTAAAAGGGTTTTTATTAATGAAGTTATATTCAGAGTAAGTAAATGATTTATTTTTTAAGAAATTCAAATCAATGCCTACAAAATTTTTACTACCATTGTAAATCAATGTCAATTTTCCTGGTATAATGTATTAATATGAAATAAAGAGATCAGACAAGTATATATGATGAAACAGATTAATCACTGCACTCCTAAATTTTGCAAAAATGTTTTTTGAAAGAAAATTGGATTCAATACTTTATTTATTTGGCTTTAAGATTGGAATAGCTAATACAAAATGTAATTTACTTTTATTATCTGGTACTTACTAACCAATTTCTAAATAAAATTGTAATCATTTTTAAGGTTCTATATTTTATATTGGAAGTAAAAGATATTTATTTGATAATCCAAAAGGTCTATTGAGTGATGTCTTCCTTTAACAATTGTTACATAAATTTTTAATAAGTTTAAATAATATACATACAATGGTTGGCAATAGGTGCAATTTTATTGAATTAAAAAACATCAAAGTGGTTCTTAATTTCTGTATTTTCCTCCAAAATGTAATCCTAAATCATTTACACAGTGTATACAGTGCTTGAACCCATGGAATAAAAGGTTAATAAACAATATCTTCAACGAAAAAAACAGGAATTTAAAACATAATTAGTCTTTACAAAATATAAACTAAGAATATATTAATTGGTAACAAAAAAAAAAAGAAAAAACGTCTTAGCTTATTTTAACTGTCTAGATACAGTAGTGGGATTCGCTCTTTCGATATGGCACGTATTGAGATGTCTACCTTCGTTCGACAGACTGCAATTCTTATCTAATGACACTCTCTATTCAATACTTATCAAGTTCACACACAAGAATTCATGTGCAGTGTGCAAGTCATAATATTCAATGGCTATGTCACTAGCTTCTATGGAAGGTTCAGAAAGTGCCTTTATCATTATTGGATAAAGGTTGATTGTGATAATAATGGTGAAATTCATGATTTGAAAAGTTTTAGTAAACTTCTTGGCATTACTAATGTGCACTTTTTTGTATTTACAATGCTTTTTTCCACTCTTTCAGGCCGGCATGGCTTGGGTTTTTCAAGCAATGCGAAAAGCTGTTGTTTCGCTGTTGTTTTGGTGATTTAACAAGTGCTTTCGGTCGTTTTAGCAAGCAAACAATATGGAGAGGAGCGTCAGCATCTCTTTTCGTTATGGCTTGACCAATCACTCGTTACAGCTTGATTAATCAGTCATTCACCGCTGCGATTAGGGCATCACGTGTTATCATGGAAATAAAGGGTGACGTAATCACCTTATTGATTTCGGACTAATCGAGAAAGACCAGAGACGGCTCTGATTGAAGTATTTCAACAAATACATTCAACAAAAATAAATGTTCTGGCTTTAAAAAAAATGAAATTGTATTTTACCTACTAGCTGATTACAAATTTTTGTATATGTTGTTCCACTTAGTCTACATAATGTATGTGTTCTTTTATTCCTGCTCTGTAATTGGGATTGCCTGTAGAGCATTGTAAAAAATAAAAAACTTGGATGTTGATTCCCTCTTTTTAGAAGTTAAAGCTCTGAAGTGCTCTTGTGCTGTTTTTTTGTTTGCAAATTTTTTAAATTGGTTTTGTGATTTAGTCTATTCATAAATATTTGCATGTCGGGTAGGTTTTAGTGTATGGTTTTCAAAGGGTACCTGTTGAGGTGTTGTAAAATATGACAAATTTAGTCTTGGGAGGATTTGTCTTCATTTTATATTTATGGAAAAAGAAAAGTGTGCTATTTATTAGTTTATTTTTGAAATTCATTGGTGACATTGTTAAGAATTTTTTTGTAAGCTACATATTACGAAATATTTAATAATCATATAAAAATACAGAATAGAAATTTGAGCATCTTAATATCAATAATATTTTATGTTTTAGAGAAAAGTGTTATTTGTAATGACACTACTTTTGAATGATTTAGAAAATGATAAATTGGTTCCTTTATTTGTAGTAAGTATCTTCCGGTTTGCAGAAAAGCTTAGGTCACTATATAGAAATATGCAATAACAAGCCACGGTTTTGTTACTTAGCAGGATACCCAGACAGCACACCAAATCCTTTGGATATCTACTGAACATCCCAATATCCACTGAATGTCCAGTCCATGGTAGATATCTATTTTATATCCATGAAATGTAATTTATAGACATGCAAATGTCCATAAATAATACTAATTATATAGCAAATTATTAAAAAATTACACCATTGTGGCTAATAGTACCGTTCAGATATTTAAAATTAATTTTTTTAAGGTGTATTCAATATCCCATGAACATCCACTAAATATATCAAAGTCTAAGCGCGGACGCAAACCATCGTGGATATCCACTAGATGTTATTTGATTCTGCTTACTAAGTATAGATGGCGATACCACTATCGCATCTACTCATGCTCGACCCGCCGTAATTGAGTTCGATCGAAATTTGTGTCGTAATCACTCCATTAGAGACTGGAGTCGAGAATTTTCATTTATTGCTGAAGAGTCCTAATAAGGATGACTTTCTCCTTAGTGGGCAAAATCAAAGGCAGAGTGTTGAAAATATTTTGAGTGTTGAAAATATGTTTTATCTCTGCTATTTTCTTTCGACGTTATTCAATAATCATTGGTTACTTATGAACCTCTACTAAAGTTACCCATAAAATATTTTGCTGAATATCCGAATATCTTCTATATCCTGGGATATAGACGGACATTTGGTTGGATATCCATATTGGATATGTTGAATATCCACAAAATATATTCTGTGGATATCTCTGGGATTTCTTGTATTTTCTGGAAGATACCCATTAGATATTTTGCTGAATATCCATTAGGATATCTTCTATATTCTGGATATAGACGGACATTTGGATATCCATATTAGATCCACAGAATATTTCTGATATCCTGTGGATATATTGGATATCCACAAAAAATATTCTGTGGATATCTCTGGGATTTGGTGTGCTGTCTGGGTAGTGGGGGTATGCTAAATTTATGTGTCTAGTGACTTGAACTTATAGAATATATTTATGACCAGGTGAATTAAATAAATTAAAAACTTTCCTATGAGCAATAAATATTTTAGTTTAACAATTTCAAATTGTTGAAAGGTTAGCAACATTTATCAAATTTGCTCTAATTTTAGTTTTTAAAATAATCTAAGGACATGAATATTTTTTAATATATAAATATTACTTTTAGGACACTCTACCTCAATTGGAATTGTTGAAAGTAACTTATAGTCATATAAAACACCAGTTTCATTCTAAAATTGGATGATCAGAGGATATCAGTCCAGTTTAAAGCAATGAAATAAAGAAACATTGTTTGTGATATGTACATCATAAATATAAGATGTAACTTTGAAGAAAACTATGAAGAGTTCAAGGTTTTAACATGTATTTTAAAATTTCCTCTTTTGCCTCATGAACATTACTAGTAAAAATACAAATATCAAAGTTTGTTTGTTTTTGAAATTACTATTATTTTTCATTTATTTGAAATGCTACATCAAAAATGAAAAAAAATTAAATGATCTGATGTAGGGTTGCCAGACATATCCTCCTTTTTTGGCAATTTGTTAATGTCCGGCTTTCTCCAATTGTTAAATAATTTCGATTTTTATAGGTAATGCAAAATTCAACCATAGGAGTATAACCAATACCACGTGAAAACGTCTTTCTTTTCTTTGTTTAGGTGAGTCCTTTTTTTGGAGCTCGAAATTTTATATATAAATGTATTATGTAACGAAATGTAATTTTTGTGAAAAAACAGGCTTTTTTGTTCAATTGTCCTACTTTTACACATTGTCCATATGGCAACCCTAATCTGATGGCATGAATAACAGATCTGCAATATGTATGAACCAACAATGAATAACTGCTAAACCAGTTTTGTTTACAAAAAACGAATTGCAAGCATTTATAGTGTTATCCATGCATTGGCCAAATTAATGTAACAAAGGATTGTTTATAGTTATAATTTCGAATAAGGCTTTAAAAATTACATTACTTAAGGAAGTATATTTGCATTTTTGTCAGTTATTATTTGTTTAATGTCTTTTTGGTTGCAAGTATTATTGTAGCTAAAAGTGGTTTACAGGAAAATGCACTAATTATTTTACGATGTGATAATGGTGTAAAGCAGGAATTATAATTGTACAAGCTGGTTTTCATTCATAAAATGCATTCTTGCACCTCAGATAAGCAAACTTACACAAACCATCCCCACACAATTTAGCCAATGTAGGCGTCTAGCTTTTTTAATGCAGCAGCTCTGTCTGCCTAACATAAAAAATAAACTAAATACAGGAATCTATAATCTGAATTGTGACCGGACCCTGTCCGAATTTTCAAAAAACCGTTAATAATTCATTTTTGTAGTTAAATAATTGAGCAGATAAAACCATTAATTAACATGAACTTATAAAGTATTTTAATAAAAGAATATTCATACATATGTACAGAATACTGTAGGTACAGTTTATACATTTTGTAGTGGTTGATGACCCCGCCTAGTCTATAACATCAATGCTTTTGTTTGACAAATATTCATGTAAGCTTTTTTTTACCAGAATTGAATCCAGATTAACGACATTCCAGATTATGTACCCTCTACTGTACTTGCAATAAATAAGGGCTTAATATGAACCTACTGGTAAATCCAATTTCATCACAAATAAATAAAGCTTGCATTGTTTGAAAATTTGTTTCCACCAAACAAACAGTATTCTCAGATGTAATATATTTAACTACATTTTAAAAGATTGTACAAAAATAACTTTATTAAAATTTAATTCAAATACAAAGGAAAAAAAGTTTTACATTATCAAATCTCATCAATAATTTTTTGAATAGGAGAAATTTTGGAATTAAGAATATCTAATATTTTCATAAGATCATATAATTTATTTTGGTACTCATAGTCCTAGAAAATAAAAAAAAAATTAAAAATTTGCCAATAAAATATAAACTTAGTTTATTTTAAACTAGTTGAACAGTTTAAAATAACCTAATGATACTATAGGCGAGTTCGGATAGTCAGGGGCTGGACCGTGACCAAAGTGGAGTTTTTTAGGGTGCTTTTAAATGTGTTAAACTGTCACTAATCGGACTAAACCGAACGCTAAAAGGGTCGTTTGGAGTAAAAATTGTTAAAGGGAGTTAAAGGAACTTGGCAGACCGAATGCAATGTATGTTGTCAGCAAAATGAATGTTGAGCACTGTATAATATTTGGTGTTTAATTAACTTTAGTTAAACATGCCACCCCTTAACAAATTTATATTTTAGACTAAAACTATGAATGCTCAATCCAACAAACACTAAACTAAAGACCTTCATTGACTAATAAAAAGACTTACTTCTTTACTTTCCGTCTTAAACTTTTCAATTACATCATCAAATATTTCGCACTGATTGTCTACATTTTTCAGATTGATCTTTATATTCTTTATGTTCTTTATTAGTAAATTAGTTATTTCTTTGTGAATTTTATATATTCCATTACCTACGTCTTTTCTATAGGAAACTACATCTTCAATAAGACACATCACATCTTCGTTTTTATCTAAAATAATTTTTGTTGATGTATTTTTAAAAAAGAAATCACAAATGAATTAGATACCCATTTTTATTTGTTTATTTTCTTTAATCTGGACAGATCTGGACCAAGGAGGGAGACTGACAGAAAAAACGGTTTGTGAAGTTTTGAGTTTTGACAACCGTTTAAACCATAGAAAAACTAAAACCGAACTTGAACACAGAACCATGAAGGGAAGGATCACAGAACGCTCTTTTTTGAACAAAACATCATTGGTCTACCCTACATGGTCGAAGGCCTGGTTGCGAGACTGGAGGCATTAATTATCCTTCCTCCATGCATTGCGTTCGGTTTGCCACGTTCCTTTAACACTTTTAACTCCAAACGACTCTTTTAGCGTTCGGTTTAGTCCAATTAGTGACAGTTTAACACGCTTAAATGTCATTTAAAAGCACCCTAAAATTTGTCCCGCTCCAGCCCCTGACTGACCGAACTCGCCTATGGGAGGCATATGCAGTTTGCAGACTGACAAAAAAAAAGAAGAATGCCAACAGCTAGTTCAAATTAGAGGTTATTTTTCTTGTCTAGGTCTAGATTTTTAATTTAAAAATGAAACTAGTTTTTGTGTTAACTGTTTTGTTACAAATTTTATTGGTACATTCTAATCTAGAAGTTATTCAAGATGAAGAATTAATGAATCTGATTAGAACAGAAAAATATGTTATAGTTTTATTTTCAAGAAAGTACTGTGAATCATGTGATAATTACGAAAATGAATTAACATCGCTTAGAGAAGATTTAGTAGAAACATTAAATGCATGGGTGGTAAAGGTAGAAGATAGCCAAATGACAAGGTTATATAGTCCAGAGAAAGAACCTCAACTTGTATTCTTCCGACATGGTATTCCACTGCTTTATAATGGTCCTTTAAATGATGAATTAATACTTCATACATTAACAACCAACAAGGAACCTGTTTCCAAAGAATTAACAGACAATACATTTGAACATTTAACTCAAGCAGCTACAGGGGCTACAACAGGTGACTGGTTTGTTTTGTTTTATACCCCAGATTGTGTAGACTGTACCCGTTTGCAAGCAAGGTGGGAAGCTGTAGGAGCTAAAATAAAATCGAGAGTAAATATTGCTCGTGTGAATAAAGCAGGAAATGGAGCAGTAACAGCGAGAAGATTTGATGTAACAGGTGTACCATCCTTTATTTTATTCCGACAAGGAAAAATGTATCGTTACAACCTACAGAAATTTGATATCAATTCGCTTTCGGACTTTGCACAAAGTTGGTATAAAAATATTACTCCTGAAAAGGTGCCGGTGCCTAAATCTCCATTTGATGACTTTGTAGCAATGGTAGTGATGTATATGAAAGAAAATCCATGGTTATGGCAACTGGGATTCGGAACATTTTTACTAGGGTTAATTGCATCACTCATAACAAAGTTTACAAGAAAGACTGTACCAGAAAAGAAAAAATCTGATAAGAAAGATAAAAAGGAAAAGTCAAAAAATAAATAATATAAAATTGTTATTAAATTATTTTTATAAATAAATAATTAGAAAACAATGTGTACTGATTCCAAAACAATCCAGATTTAAACAAAAAGTAAATTCAAATTTATTAAGTCCCCTTAAATTCAAGCATATCCAAAACATTTGGTTGAAATAATTATTCATTAGCAATTACTACATTTTATTGTGTAACCTACCGCACCCAGGTACCATAATCATTTATTAATTCCATTTTATTAAAAAAGTTGCATTCTTATTAAATACCAAATTCTGCATTTAACAAAAATCTCCCAGATAATTAAATCTTATTTACGACACCTAATAAATAACATCTATAACCCAGCCCGTAAGAGATCCAATTTCTTAAAAGTGTCTGGGAACGCAATCTAAAACCACCATACAACATGAAGTAATAATCATTAAAACTCTTAACGCACTTATCTTAAGTCAGTTTTGAATAGGAATGTTGTTTTCTATACACAAACTTTCCAAGGCAAGTAATAAATCAGCCACCCCCTATCCACCTAAATTCGTATTTTCTATGAGAAACAAAACGATAGAGACGTCACAAAAACGATTAAACTGTGTATAAAAACCAGAGTTAAATGAGCTCAGGGGCATTCAATTTTTGTGATTTGATGTGCAAACATACATTTGTTATTTTACATTCAAAGCAATCACCTTACTGTCAGTACCCAGTTATACAGTCTGTAACTTTCCTAAACGACGTATATCCCACAATACCTCCTATTTCCCAAAGGTGTCAACGTCTCGACGCCCAACGCCTCTCCGTTCTACTTCCCTACCTTTCGACGTCCCAACGATATCACTTCTAATACCACTTAGTATGTCCTACCATTATATTCATCCCGACGTCATCTCTTTATCCGACGTCCCCATCCGTCGCTCAACGTCCCTGCTAATTATCCAGAATACAAAAATATAAAATGTCTGAAATAGAAACAGACGCTAATATAAACCCAACGGTCTGTTTATCCGATGGTGAGTTAATAACAACCAAATTAAATTTGTAAAAATAGGAATTTATTGTTGAATAATAATGAGTATTATTGTGTAACTCATTATTCAATAATGGTAAATCTTTACCTTTGAGGAATTTATTGCTAGCCGACGTCGCATTTAGCTCGTCCAGATGTGTATGCTATGGGCCATATTGCCTTCAAATTAATATATCACCGTAAAAGATAATAAGAGTCTGGTTACCGAACTGTCAATGAACCCTCGCAAATAACAGCTCAGCTGATTGGGGTAAATGACATATCGGACGACTAGACTCACATTTATCCGAATATGCTTGATGTTACTACAGGGTTGGACTATCTTAGATAATTATCTCTCAATCTTTGCACCGTAGGTAGATCTGAACATAAGGGGTAGTTCGCTAGTATTGATCTGGCTCTATTCTAGTAAGACTACATCTACATAAAACCCCACTAGGTGAGGCTGAAACATAAGGGATATCCGCCTGTTATTGCAACGACGGTATCTCAGTAAGCGCACCTATATAAAAAAGAAAACAACGAAACAAAGAATTATTAAAGATAGTGCAATTCTGAGGACGTCTGCTGTCTATTCTCAAGAATTGTTTAATTACAAATATTTGATGGCCTGTGGCCTGTTGTTTGGGCGAGACACATGTGAGGTCTACCTTATATTAAAATAATCTGTACATATTTATTTTATTGGAGATCAAGAAAATAAATTAAGTTAAATATACTTTGAGCATTATTTCAATCACAAATTTGTACCAAACTTTGCATTGAATCCTGGTTTATTTTAATTAACATTATCACAACGTGGGTATATAAATTATTAATTAATTAACTAGACGATCACTACACTACTAGAGGAAAAGGCCATATACAGTAAGTATGAATTTCTTTGAATTTCACAAGGGGAGGGAGGTAGTTAAATTAAAATACGGGCTTTTAATAATTATCTACAAGACCAGGGGGTGGGAGGTCACAATTGTTTAGGTACAATTTGGTATTTAAAAAATATATTATTAATTTCGAAAAGAAAGAGGTGAATTTACGCTTTCAAATGACTTAAGAAAAATTCACAATTGATTTTCGAATGGACAGGAATACATTTTTTAAATTCATGATTTAAAAAAGAAGAATACAAAACTGCGAGAAAGCATTAGTTTGTTACAGAGTTGGGTAGTAACAGAATTTGTAAGTATCCAGATAAGTTTGAAATTTTATTCCACAAATCGTATGGATGTAGATACAGTGTCGGCTATTGGACACTTTCCAATATGCTTTGCAGAGAGTTAGCATTAGGGCGAAAAAGAAACAAATAATATATGCATGGTCCCCTCCCTGATGCCGCACTTGATTTTTGTAACATGTATTGTGACATGTCTTCTAGTTTCACCTGTTGTGAAGTGGAAGTCATGGGTAGTTCTAGGCTGCCCAGGTGCCAGTTTTGATAATGCAATTTGTTCTGCGACCCTTAACTACACTTAAAGCACACTCAAAAGTAGACTCAGTGGAGTAAATTAAATTCCAGGCGGTATTTGGGGTATTAACGGAAAGAAACACCTTACCCAACCTAAGTGGTGCAATCACCTTGCATTTTCTACCCTAAAGGCAACCCTGGAAGAACTAGGTAAAGTGCGGGTATAATTAACAAAAATACAGGAAGTTTATAAAAAAAATATATATTTTTACGAAGCCCAAGTAATTATGAGTCTTTATTTACAATCAGTTGTACAAAAATAAATATAATTCAATTAATACGGATATTCTCCTCCCCCCGGTATTTTTAATAAGCGGTAAAGATCCCAAAATTAATTAGCAGTATAATTAACACAATGAAAATATTTGCAAAATTACAGTTTAGTGGAAACAAAAAAAGTAAATCAATCAATACGGATATCCCCACGGTATTTCTAATACTCGGTGAACACCTCAAAGTTAATTAGCAGTATAACTAACAATCATAGCTAACAATGAAATATTTACAAAGTTAGGTACTATTAGCGAAACTAAAAAAAAATAAATCAATAAATACAGATATACACACGGTATTCCTAATAAGCGGCATAAACCTCGAAGTTAGTTAACAGTATGAGATATTTACAAAATTAAAATTTAGTGGAAATAATATTAAAAAAATAAGTCAATCAAAACCGATATGTCCACGGTATTCCTAATAAGCAGTTTAAACCTCAAAGTTAGTTAACTAAGGAGCGATTCGACCATTGTGTTAAACGGAGATTAAAATGACATTGGTAATGTAAAAATGTCATTTTAAACTTCGTTTAACACAACGGTGGAATCGGACAGAATTAAATATTAACGAAGTTATAGTTCAGTGTAGATAAAACCATAAATCAATAGATGCGGATATACCACATCCCCAACTATAGTCTATTTTTATGTATGAGAGAGTAATAAAACAGCATTTCTAATGCAAAACTTAGTACGGTCATTTTAAATATTTTTACAGAATAATCTAAATATTTCCTAAAATTGTAATAAATGTACCTGAGCTATTACAAGTTTTGGGTCTTTTATTGGTCCTTTATAAACATAAGCTGCACAGAACAATAGAAAAAGGTTTTGACAGGCCAAAAGCCCTGTGTATTAAAGATTACATAGCCGTATCTTAAGATTATTTTCAATAAGTACCTATTTGCCAATTTTGTTTTATTTTAATTCCAAGAATTTCTTACAGTAATCGAATTATAAGTAGATAAATACTTTCCCAACAAATTTCACCGAAAATGCGATTATAGGTTTTCCATTTAGTAAGGAGGTCCAAGTTGTGTATTCTTGAAAGTTTACTAAATGTCGTTTAGTTGCAACTTGCAAGGTGCAGTGTGAATTCTAGTGTGATAATGGAAAATTTGGAAGGGCCGCGTAAACGACAAAAAATCGGTCCTTTAACAGTTAATGAAAAAACATTAATATTTAATTGTTTTAAATCATTTACAGACAAACATTTATGTAAAAGTGTTGATGACACAGTGGAATTAGTTAGTAGTACGCTTGGTGTTGGGAAATCTACGATTTACAGAGTTGTTAAAGAAGAGAAATGTGGCCAGTTTCAAACCAGCACGTAAAGCTCCAGGAAAACCAAAATTTCAATTAGAAAATCTTTTGAAAGAAAGACTTCGAAGGAAAGTGCATGCGTTCTTCTTTAGAAAAGAATTTCCGACAGTAGACAAAGTTCTTGCCACGGTTCGAGATGATAAGGATTACCCTGAAATGAGTCGAAGCACACTATGGAAACTTTTAAAAGAAATAGGTTTTCTATGGAAAAAGCATTCCAGAAAGTCTATTTTAATAGAAAGAAGCGATATTGTAGTATGGATAAGAAATTACCTAAGGACTATAAAAGAAATGAGAAACCAAAGAAGAAATATATTTTATTTAGATGAAACATGGATCAACGAGGGAGATAAACCAAATACATTTTGGCAAGATGAAACTGTTACAAGTCGAAGACAGGCTTTTTTAAATAATTTATCTACTGGTTTAAATCCACCATCAGGAAAGGGGCGCAGACTAATAATAGTACACATCGGTAGTTCAAACGGTTTTGTTAAAGGTGGTTTATTGACTTTTGAATCTACTCGTACCGGTGACTACCATGAGGACATGAATGCTGATGTCTTTAAAGAGTGGTTCGAACAAATTATAGATCTTCTTCCTCAGAACTGTATAATAGTAATGGATTATGCAAGTTATCACTCGAGACTTATAGAAAAAATGCCCACAACCAACTGGTTAAAAAAAGATTTACAGAATTGGCTAAATTCAAAGAATATTAAGTTCCATCCCGGTTCTGTGAGAAAAGAACTGTATCATTTGTGTTCCCTTCATAAAGAGAAATTCAAAAAATATGAAATTGCAAAAAATCGTGGGATGACGGTGGTTAGATCCCCACCATATCATTGCGAAGTAAACCCGATTGAACTGATATGGGCACAGATAAAGGGAGAAGTTTCAAGAAAAAATAATTCTTTTAAAATGAGTTATGTTAAACAGTTGTTTTTGGAGGCTGTAAATAATGTGAAGCCTGAAAATTGGGAAAAGGCAGTAAATCATCCGATTAAAGAAGAAGAGAAAATGTGGAAGTTGGACAATATTACTGATGAAATGATCGAGCCACTCATTGTAAATATTGGTTGCGACAGTTCATCTCCTGATTTCGATTCTGATTTGGATTTATTTAGAATTCACGAAACACTTATTACTGTTTAGTTTTAAAATTTCTTTAGAGTTTTGACGCAAGCCTACTCTACATTAATTATAATTATTTGCCGCGTTTGAGAATCCACATCGGATGAATCTTTGATCACGTGATTCAGTATACGTAAATGTAATGGGACAGATGTGTCCGATATGTGGATAAAAAAACGCTCGAGATGTAAAAAATGCATCCGATGTGGATTCTCAAACGCAGCAATTGTTAGTTTCGCTATGTCAAATCATTTATGCTAGAGGTGTGAAAAAAAGACAGTGAACTGTGGAACACCAAATATTGATGTAATCTCATGATTTTACAGTACTAGTTTTTACAATTTTGAGTGTGATTTTAAGGTTATTACGATCATTCGTTTTGTTTGGTTGTGATCTTTTGCGCTTTTAGAGTATCTGTCATTTATAGTTTATAATTTTAATTGTGTGGTCTATTTATATTTGATTGCTGCTTTTCGATTAGTGCTTTGTTCTTTTTGTTTTAAAATAAGCTTCATGACCATTAAGTACCTGCTTCTGGTTGATATCTACCCACAGACCTTATCTACCTATAATCTTCATCGGGTTCTTGCAACAATGGAAAAAGTGTATGTTTTTTTGGTGTAAAAGTCAGACGCCTTCAATTTTTAGATAAGGATGACTAGTTATTTTTTACTTAAAAGGATAGCAATACGTCTTGGTTCGGGGTGCAACTGTTGGGTTTTAGCTATCTGAGCCAAATTGTCGGCTAAGTGTCCTCTTTTGGGGCACCCAGAACCGAAAACTATATAGTTATATATCTTGTTTTTTTTTAATTAACTTTTAATAGGTATGCAGCTTGGATGAGAGCTTTAGGAAGAGATCTTAAGACTGAAACGCTGACTGTCATAAATGCACATTTCATAGAAAGTGACTTCATTCTAGCAGGAACTAGGAAACGTTTAAAAAACATGCTGTACCAGCTTCATTCTAAAGCATATATTAATGGTTTTTAACTGTGCTCTCATGATTAAAAGATGTAGGTATTTTAGTTATGTTATAATAGAAATATATGATACATTGTATTGACCTGCTGGCCACTGGCAATTCCACTTTTACTCCCTTTTTTCATTAATTGTCAAATTATTTAAAAACCAATACATACCTAGTTATTTTCTGTAAATGACATTAAAAACGTAAAAAACGTATTTCTCATCTATTAAATTGTTATTAACGATAAAGAATACTTTTAATTTATTAAAACAAAAATAAAACCTGAATCGATAACTTAAATCACTGAAAATAAGTTGCTTGAGATGGGGTAGTTGTTATGGAAAATTTTAATGTTACTACTTTACTAATAAAACTACAGTTAATTTATCTTAGTGCGTTTTATTTAATTGTAAATATATAACCCCAACATAATTAATGCCGCTAATCAAGGTTTTAGGCCTCGTCACTTTAACATTTTTATGCTCCCAGTTGATGTGTGTGTAAAGAGATCTATTGTTTCTATCAGGCTTAACACTCTCCATTAGATCCTTCTTGAAAAATGCCTCGAGACTATCTAAAGGTAAATTTTACCAAATTTATATATTGGTTTATCTATTACAAATGACTTTCAAAACAAACGTTTGTTACTCAGAGTAAGAAATAATAAAATCTGTCGATATTTATTGCATATCAATTTTGTTTAATGTTTCCATATTTTTAAAAGTAACTGTCCTAATTTCTATTTTTTGACATTCCGGTATATGGTAAAAAATGTGAAATTTATTATTTAGTGGTAAGGACATACCTTTAGGAAAATATAACGGTTAATTGGATTTTCTTCTTGTTGAGTTTGCATTAGATTGTAGTTATAAGAGGTAAATTTTATATTAAACAAGTATAAGAAATTAAAAATTAAAAAAACCGACTTCAAAAACGTGCAGATGCCGTCACCACATATTAACCAAATTTATGTGGGACCACCCCTGAGGTATCCGCTATCCCCTTACTAACAAAAAAATAATCATATAAATCGGACAAGGTGGTAAAGCATTATCGCTAAACGTACATAAAAAATGAGAGTTTGAGGATTTTCTCACGGACCCAATTATTATATTTTGACCAAATTTATATGGGACCACCCTGAAGTACCCCCTTTCTAACAAAAAAAGAATTATTGAAATCGGACACCGTGTTGAAGAATTATCGCTGAACATACATAAAAAAAAATATCGCGACGAATTGAGAACCTCCTCCTTTTTTGAAGTCGGTTAAAAATTAATTTTGATAGAAATTTATATATTTATTTTCAAAAATGAGAATCGGACATGCCACGGTACTGACATTTCGAGTATATTTATATGCTGCTTAAAAAAAATTACGCAGGTTTATGATCTAATTCATAATGTCGATTGTAAAATACCTCTAAATTTATAATATTAATAACTTTTTGATGGGAAAAACTTATGCTAAACGATAAATAAAACACTGGACATAAAAAATCACAGTTATCCGAGAATCACCCAGATATCAGAGATTAGGGAATCTCTGATAGATATATTTGAATTACGGAAGTCCTCGCAAATGTTTAAAAACGGGAATTTTTAAGAAATAAAAATTAGGTGGGTTCTCGCAAATATTTACAGGCGGAAATCAACTCAAACTAAACATTCTTATAATGAAACTACAACAATTTAGTGACCTAGTCACATAAACAGTGTGTAACAAAAAGTTGTACAGTAAATTTAACCACAGCTTTTAAGGTCGAATATACGTCGATTTAAGCTAACTTGCTTATATGAAAAATGGAAAGTAAAAAAGTTACAGGCTGTTAAAGTAGACATTTTAGAAGTGATTTTATGCTCTTACTCTAAGACGGCTTAACATATTTTTTTTAATTTGGTGTCATCGGCGTCGACTACTACGGCCATTCGCCTCACATATTTTTATGAAAATATACTTGGGCTCTTGGTGTACAGTGACCAATAAAATGGAATTAGTGGCATTTAAAATTGTTTTAATTCTATGTTTTTAGAAGGGTTCGCACCCCTTTGGCACCCTATTTTTTTTAGACAATGAAATTCAGTTAAAAACAGGGATATCACTACAAACGACGTAGACCTGTAGTTAACATCTGAGACGCTAGATGACGCCATCGTTGCTGCGGTCGTTGCGTTTCCAATCTTTATGTCCCTAATCTCTGCTATTGGTCTAACATTGCCGTATCTTGCGGCTGTTGCTATTCCTGCCGATCTGTACTAATATCCTGTATACTACGCAATTAGGCAATTTTATTTGCTGTCAAAACTATAGTATGTCACTGTCACATTTTTAGCTATGCAGCATTTATAATATGGAAGTTTGTTATATAAAATTATCCTGACAAAATCTACAATAATTTAAAAGCGATATTTTTGAGCAATGTTTTTATGCATGTACTTTTTAACTCTTCACCTGATTGTTCTGAGTATCTGCGACTGGAAATTTAAAATGGAAGATTCTACTAATTTTATGTTAAAATATTCCATAGTCTCGACAAGAATTACAGAAGATAACGATCCAGTTGAATTAGCAAAAAAATTGAAAGACGGAGTATATTTTGATATCGAATTAAAACCTAACTTCTGTTACACAATATACATCAAGTACAAGTCTCCCGTAGTGATAAATCCAAAGACTGAATTAGTAATTTTTGAAAATGACGTCCCAAACCGTAATAGCTTTGAATATGAACTTGTGGAAGGATTTGTCATGGAAGAAAAATATTCGAGTTATGTCCTTGGTTATGTAGAGAACGTATATTTTTATGGAAAAATCGAATTTAATGATACGGTACATTACATTGAAGAACTATCAAACTATCCAGAAATTATTGCCAAATATAATTCCACCAAAAACGGAATATCTTTTAGAAGAACTTTTTCCACTGAAACAGAAATGTATTCTCATGGAATTAATTATATACCAGACCTTAATTTAAATAACTCTAAATTATCCAAAAGAATGGTTTCGGTAAGAGGGTAGGTATAAGCTTTGTAATTTCAAATAAATATAGACAAAATTAAAACGGAAGTAAATAATGCTAAAGTTGAAAAAGGTCTTGTATTAAATTTGTATATTGTCTGTACACAAAATAATAAAATGGGGCTTATTTGCACCCGCCATAGCTCGCTTGTTTATAATCTGTGGCCCTGGTCTAAGGTGACCATATTTCTTTTTTGTCTTATTTGTTACGTTTCGGAAAATTATGTATTACATTTCTGGACAATAATGGCGTTTTGCTGGACAATAATGACGTTTTGCTGGACAATAATGGCGTTTCGCTGGACAATAACGGCATTTTGCTGTACAATATCAAATACTGGTCAGACTTTGAAAAGCTGTACATTTGGTCACCTTAACCAGGTCCTGGTTATCAAAATTCCTGTTTACATATATTAGCTTACCTAAACTCTTCTTGATTAGAACGTTTTTGACCAGCATTTTTTACATTATACATTTAAAAGGAGTTAATGTCAAAAATCAAAGGAAGTAGACACTTATCATTTTACTCAAAACATTTTTTTAAGGAATATATGTACTTTGCTAGTACTGCTTGATAACTCTTTTTTAATGCGTATCCATAGTGGAAATATTAAAGCAGCTATTAAACAAGTACTTCTTTCCATCGATGAAGCTAATTCTTTGTTTCGATCTACTGATTTTGATGAAGATGGCTATTCTGACAACATTGGATTCATTATTAAATATTTCATTTTATTGAAATCAGCAAAGAAGAGTCGCTGGGTTCCAAAATACACCAATAAACCAATTGATGGTGAGTATGCCATTAGCCATTCTCTTATTAGCACCTTTTTTTAAATAAAAGACTCTTAGATTGTAAGAATTTTCATAGAAGCCCCCTCATTTTACTTTATAAGAAACTGTGGATTACCAAAACGCGACTGCATAGTGCAGTCAACAGCAACCACACTGTGTGTCTACTTCCATCCCTACTCAACAATAATCCTTATGGTGCGTCCCCACCGAATCAATACTGCCGATCGACTCTGTCTATCGACATTGTTGTTCAATAAGTCTACAAAACTGCATCTGTCGACACCAGAGTTGACAGAAATGTTTGTCTATCAGTCGAAATTAACATTATAACATTAACATTATAGTTACTTGTGCCACATATATTATTATCGCCACTAAAAAAAAGAAAACTTGCTCGACAAAGAAGATTTTGGGTTCAACCAAGTCTTCAAAGTAGAACTAGATACAACGCTAGTAATTTGAAAGAAGATTTAAAAAATGATGACGTCAATATATTGAGCCTTGAATATAGGTGTAAAGGTGGTTTTAGAAAGTCTACGTACCTCTGAATCCAACATCTCCCCTGGCCTTATTTTTGTCAATTAAGAATCTCAAACTTTCAAAAGCAAACCATTTACTTTTATATACATCCTCCGTACCAGTGCCAGATTTGTGGCTGTCCTTTATTTTTTTTTTTTATTTTTCTAGCAAATTGACTTTGAAGATATCTAAATTTTTTGTTCTAGCTTGCTTCTCGACGTTAAATTCATTAGCAATTTCTATAAGGGCATCGTGCCTCAAGTTTCTGCTCATATAGTTTTTGTTTTTAGAATCCCATAGATTTGTTCCCAGTTTGTATGCATTAATAAAGACACAATGTCAACAAGGCAAGACGTTACTGAGTACTCAGTACTAACAGTTTGTCGAATGTCCAACGTCGAAAACACGTCCACACACTAAAGTCGATCGACTGCCCTTTCATGTTTACCGATGGAAAACAAATCGACATGTCGATCGATTTATTTTGTCGATCGACACCGTCGGTTGCCGCGTACACACAAAGTCGACAACGTCGATACGGTGAGGACGCACCTTTAGACTCTAATAACTGCGCAGTACTTTATTCTACTTTAAAATAACACTAACTTAAAGTGTAATTTAGATATCAGTTGGAGTCTTCTTTTCCGATTCGTATATGTTATCAAAGAGTTAGATGGCCTCGACATGAACTTGGTTGTGGAAACGTTATTCGTGATTTTTAGGTGGTCGAATGTTTGTACAAAAAGTGAACGCAAAAGATGTCTACTACCTAGTTTTTTCGACACTGAAAATAGCTAAAAATCAAAAAGGTTTTGATAACTGGTTAATATTTTTCATTTTGAATCAACTTACTATTAATTATTACCATAATAAATATGTAGTCATATTTCGAAAGTACAATAGTTCTCTTCAGTTATTAAAACAAACTTTTTTAACCATGACAATATTTTTATGAATCAAATATTGGATATTACTCGTAAATATTTGATTTTCAGGCCGTTACTACATGAATAGATTTTCACGATTTTATTTACTAGAAGATGTATGTTTAGGAGTTGCTTTTACTGGACAATCATTCAACAACGACATAGTTGGAATTAGTTATTCTGCTGTACCGTCCGATGAATCATTCAAACATCCATTTGGTGGTATTTGCGATCGACCAATGTTAAATCCATATGGGTTGCCTTTAAATACTTTAGCCGTATCTGCCAAAGGCACAGATGGTAAAAATGATATTCTATTCGAAAGAAGAAACTGTTTTATTGTTGATTTTAGGTAGAATAGTGCCAGAATACATATTTGAATTAAGTTTGTGCCATGAACTGGGTCATAGTTTTGGCTCTAATCACGATACGGGAATGTGTGACGGCCATCTAATGACAGCTCATGCTCCTAAGGATCAACAAAGAAAGCACTTTATATTTTCTAAATGCAGCACATCAATGATGTTGGAAACTATTATAAATCAAGGCCAGTGCTTTGAGAATGATGAGAATCCCTATTGCGGAAATGGTAAGTTAATAAAAATTATGGAAAGGTTCAAAATCTAGTGAGTAACCTTGCAGGTATAATAGAAACCAATGAGGATTGTGACTGTGGCACAATCAGAGATTGCCTTGCAATTGATAAATGTTGTGTGCCACGTGGAAGACAAAATGCATGTAAAGTTAAAAGGGATTTTAGCCATCAATGTCATCCTGCACAAGGATTTTGTTGTACACGTAACTGTACCTATAATAATTTGGAAAAATTCAACTTGGTAATGTATTATAAAAAGAAATTTACTATAATTGGGTAGTTCTCGTTAATTATAAAAAACTGCATTACCTACTTATGGAGGGAGAAGGGTCTACCTCTCAATTTTTATTCATGGTCCGATTCATAATTGAAGAACAAAAAAGGTCCTCCTGTCTGAACGAGGGCCCACTGAGTGAACGAGGTCCTACCGGTCTTTGGACCGGTAGACCGATGGTCCAATCTGACACTGGTCGCATTCAAATTTGACAACTCTTAAAAATGATTGTCAAATGAATTTTTAAAAATGCCGCGGCATTTAACTGAGGCTCAAAAGCCGAGGACTATACTAAAATTGGAAGAACATTGGTCTTTAAGTAAATAAGTGGCTGCTGAATTAAATGTCAGTAAAAGTTGCATAATTTACGTTACAAAAGGCTGGCAAGAAGAACAAAATTTGCGAAGATCTTTCAGATAAGGTGTAGGGATAAGGTCTCTAATGAAAATGAAGACAATGCTCTCGTGCAATATATCCGTCAAAATCCCGTTAGACCGCTGTGAAAACACAAGAGAAACATTATTTCCAGAATCAGGCTTAAAAACTGTGGGGCTATCAGCCAAGTTTTTTTTTAACTGCAGATAATAAGCACATTAGAGTCGTTTGCAAATGAATTTTTAATTCAGGGGGAGGAATTTTGGAACGACGTATCTTCTCCAATCTTCTGACAGCGGAAGGCTACGTGTTTATCGTCCTATAAACTCGAGATTCGAAGAGAATTAGTAGTACCCAGACTAACAGTGGGCGCTTTTCCGTCAATGTTTGGATTTGTAAGTGTTAACGGTCCTGGAATGTTCTAACAAATTGATAGGCGATTGACATCCGAGCATTACAAAAACAGATTGGACAACGTGATGTTGCCGTCGATAAAGGAAGTTTTTCCTGACAATTTTACCTTTCAACATGTAAGCAATGAGTAAGAGAGTGGGTCAAAAACAATAACATAAATATTTTGCCATGGCCAGCAAAAATTCCTACCTTAAACCCCATTGAAAATGTATGGGGCTTCATAGTCAAGAAATATCAAAGATACTTTAGGCCAGCAAACTATGGAAAGTTATTGAAAATGCTTGGGAAGAGCTCAAAAAAAAATGCTTTCAAAATACCTAACAATCTTATGTCTTGAAGTAAAAATTTAGGTAAATCGTTTTTTGTAGATTCCTACGACATGTAACATTTAATTTTGTCCATGCCAAGATTAGAAAGTGTTATGGCAGCCAATGGTTCTGCAATAAAAATTAATAACACTAGTATTTCGAGAAGAGCATGTTCTTTATTTTCATTAATGACCTTCCCTGTACCTAGTCTTAAAGGTATTGGCAATCTTTGTTGTTCTTGCCACCGTTTCTAGACGAAAAATACGAGGATATATCAGTATATAACGAGACTGGTGCTATAACTTCTTTCAGAGATAACATTTTATAACCCAAAAAATGGAGACATGAAAGCCTTATATTTAATGTACTACCCCGCAAGTAGGCTTTGATTTAACTTTTGATATTTGTTACAAATTAATTATTGAATTGTCAGTGTTTTGCGTACCCATCGAAAAATGAAAGTGGAGCAAAGATACGCGATAAAATTTTGTGTTCGATTGGGTAAAACACCAACTGAAACTTTTGAAATGATTAAAGGTGCATATCTAGATAATAGTTTATCACGATGTAGAGTGTTTGAGTGGCATAAAAAGTTTAAAGACGGTTGTGAATCAGTTGAAGATGAACCTCGTCCCGGTCGACCACAAACTGCGAGAAATGACACAAAAATTGCAGAAATTAACGACTTGATACAAAATGATCGCCGGATTGGCATAAAACGAATTTCTGACAATGTTAATTTGTCTTACGGGAACCACTCAAAAAATTATTCATGAAGATTTAGAGTACCGGAAGATCGCGGCAAGATATATTCCAAAAGTGATGACCGATGAACAAAAAGCGAATCGAGTGACAATTTGTCAGCAGTGAAAAAGGCAATTGCAACGTAACCCACAGTTTTTAAATAATGTGGTTACATGTGACGAAAGTTGGTTTTATCATTACGATCCTGAATTGAAGTCTCAAAGTATGCAATGGAAGCATAAAGGCAGCCCAAGACCGCAGAAGGCCAAAACTGCTAAAAGCGCTGGTAAAGTGTTGCACCTGATTTTTTTGATAAATTTGGCGTTATTTACGATCACATTGTACCTAGAGGACATACAGTAACAGGGGAGTACTATTCTAATGTACTTCGAGGACCCTTAAAGGCAAAATTAAAGAAAAAAAGGCCGCTTTATCAGGACTTTGGCTGGACGCTGCATCACGACAATGCTCCGGCTCATAGATCAATGATTTGTCAACGAACAATTGAAGAATTAGGGGTTGAAATTATGGTTCATCCCCCCTACTCTCCTGACCTTGCTCCATGTGACTTCCATTTGTTTCCTGAAGTCAAAAAAGAATTGAGAGGTAGAAGATTTGAGTCGGATTTAGAGCTCAACAACGCTGTGATGGGTATACTAAACAGACTATCAAAAAATGGTTTCTCAGAAGTTTATGATAAGTGGATAAAGCGATGGAATAAGTGTATTCAACAGAATGGAGAGTACTTCGAAGGATAGTTGTTGAATTTTTTTAAATAAATGTTTCGTTGTTATACTATAGCACCAGTCTCGTTATTTTCTGATACATCCTCGTATGCAAATTTTACTCCCATTTGATTCATTGTGGGTGCTGATTTAAAGACCAATTTTCTCCAAATTTTGCTATAACCTTTGTTTTTCTTGCGCCCTACGGCAATATTTAACCCTGTGGTTAGTTTGGCCCTGAACGACGTGTATTCGGTGTCGGCCCAGTTGCGCTTTGTCCATTTGCGCTTTCATTCCATAAATTCTACGCAGGATCAACTACAAGTTATAAAAACATTAATTTTGGAAACGCACTATTAGTCTAAATCTTTAAATTGACTACCCACATGTAAAACATTAAAGATAAAATGTCATTGTATTGAATGCTCAATAGAAATAGGCGATATTTCACGAACTGATATTTAATTATTTCGGCTGTAGGATTCAGTCTGTAACTACGCGTCGTAGAATTTTGGAAAACTAATTTTAAATAGAAAAGTAGTCAAGAGGAATAGCTATAAATGATTTGCTAATTTCGATACTAAATGGCGTAATGCTTATGACCAATAATAATAAACAGATAAACGAGAGGGTAGTCAAAATACTGAAGGATGCAGACTCCACCGCATTCTAGCAGAAGATCCGATAAACCATGAGGAGACTTTAAAAACCCAAACAGGAGAATACACTAAAACTGGAATGGACACATTAAAATTACTTCTCAAAACTCATTTCCCTGATTGCACAACAAACCCGAATGCAGCAACCAGACCCACACGAACTGGAACTCTTAAAAAGAGTCTACAACCAAGAGTGGGAAACTGCAAAACGGGTAGTCACAACAGAGAAATTAACATGGCCAATTCGCACCTTCAACCCATACAAATCACCGGAATCAGATGGAGTATTGCCTGAAACAAGCAATAAAAACACTAGCCCCGAATATTTGTAGGTTATACGGCTCTACAGGGCAAGTTTGGTGCATAAATATGTGCCAAATACCTGGAAACAACACAGAGTTGTTTTTATACCAACATGTGCCGCGGCAAAGGCCTACAGACCAATAACTTTGACGTCATTTCTATTGAAAGAATTGGAAAAACTGAATGATCAGCATTTCCGGCAAACCATAGCTCTGCATCATCTTGTATGTATCATCAGTAGCCAAGAATTAGTCCGAGATGCATTTCTTGACAATACCTCCTTTAAATCAATGGTAGCTGCCGCTCGCAAACATGGAATAGAATATACCATCTTCTGGTGGATAAAAGACATGTTACACGGACGGTAAGTACAGGCACACATGTTCAGTGAAACCATGCAGGTGAATATACACAGGGGATGCCCTCAGGGTGGAGTCCTTTCTCCTCTACTGTGGAACCTATTGGCACATGAACTGCCGAGAACACTGAAAAATTAAGGATTGTGCAAAGTCATCTTTATCCGAGGAAAACAGCAAACCAGTCTTCGAACTCATGCAAAGAGCTCTAAGGCTGACAGAAAAATGTTATGAAAAATCTCTTGGTAGACCCTGGCAAGGCACAACTCAAAACCTTTACTTAAAAACAAGGTTGAAAGTCTTAGAAACTCCGACTATGTTTGGAGGAAGGCTAAATAGAACGAACCAAGTAAAATATCTGGGTCTAATCCTAGATAGCAAACTTACTTGGAACCAACACTTAAAAAGGTGACCATCAAATGTAAAATGTGCCTCCTTGTAGAGAGACGGACATTTGGAAAAACAAGGGAATTAAAACCGAAATGGTCCACTGGCTATAGTCGGCAATAACAAGACCTGATAACTTATGGAGCGGTTGTTTGATGGCCAAACGTAAACCAGAAAACGGCCCTTAATGCCCTCTTAGGAGTACATAGGCTGGTATGCCTTTGTATTACAGAAGCAATGAGAAGTACACCGAGAGCCTCTATGGAAATCATTCTGAACCTCCCATCCCTTGGCCTAGTCATAAAGGGGGAGGCCAGAATGAGTGCATACAGGCTGGATATCTCCAACAACTGGAACCCATTGGGACATATAAAACACCAGAATAACACATGAGGTAAATGATCCTATATAAACATGGGATCAGATCATATGACACTCCGCCTAACCTTCAACAGACACTTCCAGGTCAACTGCAACGAGGTAAATGAGGTAGAGGAATACTTGCTTAGCGGTCTCGAATGGTATACGGATGGATAAAAAGCTAACGAGGGAACAGGCCCTGGCGTACATGGAGTTAAACCCAAATGTGACATCATCGTCTCACTGGGAAAACATACCACTGTATTTCATACTGAAATACATACAATCGAATTGTGTGTACGAGACAATTTAAAAAGTACAAAAAGCAACCTTAAGGGCTCTTGGTTCAAACAGAACCAAGTCAAGCTGGTCTGAAAGTACCTTGGAATACTAAATGATCTGGCAACCCACAATAAGGTAAAACTAGCGTGGGAACTAGGACACAAAGGTCTTCAAGGAAATGAGAAGGCTGATAAACTCGTCAAAGAGGGGTCAGAACTACCATTCACAGGACCCGAACCTGTATTGTGGATAAGCAAAACCTCTACTCGACAGGCATTAACAGGTGGATAACCACAAAACACCAAACTCACTAAGGGGACCAAACCCACGCATGGCTAATAAGGTACTACAACTCGCAAGGCCTCACCCTTTTCAGCCTACAACCGGAAAGAACGCCCCAGGAACACTTGGTAGGGAACTTATTAAAACTAACCAAAAGCACAGGACTATTTCAAAGATAGTACCTGAATAAGGGGAAAGCAGGGCCACCGAGAGCAAGGTAGGGCCCCAGGACAATTCTCTAGATCGGGTCCCGTGACAAATAAAAAAATATTCTCTCCTCTTTACTTAAATTTCTCTCTTCAAACAAAAACTTTTCCTCCTCTACTTGAATTAAATTTTCTAAAAAAACAAAAAAAAGCTCATCAAGTAAAAACTTTTCCTCCTCTACTTGAATTGAATTTTCTAAAAAAAAAGGTACCCAACCAAAAACTTCCCACTCTTGTCTTGTGCCGAACTTCTGAAAGAAAACAAAAATCCCCGCCGCGGTTGTCGGGCCCCCCTTATACCGCTGCCGGGCCCCCATTTGAGTCCGGGCCCCGGGAATTAGTCCCGGCTGCCCCCCCCCTTCTAGTCGGCCCTGGGGAAAAGCAGGGCAATACAATAGACCCAAGAGGTCGGAGTCTTCTGGGGCATATCTAACCCTACCTGCTTATGACCGACAAAGATAAGTCAAAATTAAAATTTAGCAAATTACGATTTTCAGATTTTTTTGAAAATAAAACTTTATCAATGGCCCCCTACGACGACGTTAGGAACGACATTTGTTCCTTAGATATGATTGGCCACCTTTCTTATTGGGACACCCGGTATATATCTCTCTAAAAGCTGGCAACAGTGTCAATAAAAAGTATGACATCATGTGGTAAAAACTGGAGATCGATATAGTTTTTGCAACAAGAGTGGATATGCACAATCCACTCGAGTTATACAGTATACTTTTTCTACTACCTATTAACGAAAATCTACAAATATAAAAAAATATTTTAGGTCATTAAGACAAAATAACTAATTTTAAAATAATTTATGAATTTTACTAATTATTGAAATAAACATGAAAAAAAAGATTTAATGTAATTAGTTTGACAGAATTGTCACTTATTTAAAATTTTAAAACCGGTTGACCAAAATATGAACTGTGATTGGTGGATTTCATTTTTTTGTAGAATGTAGAATGGAGCTGAACGCAATAGCATACTTTTTTTTGTAATCTGTGCGTAGATAAGCTAATATTTATGTGGGTGTAGCAAAACTATTTTTATTCTCGAGTTATAACTCTTTAAAATATAATACAAGCAACAACGAAAAACTACTAGATAAATCCAATCATTTATAATCAAGCCCTTATTTATTGCAAGTATTATTCAAATTGTGTTGTATGTTACACAGACAAAGCTATCACATTAGAAAGAGCGAGACGCCTGCTAAATTAAGTGGTGATGGTTTATGCGAGCACGCGTTTCATGAATGAACCAGATCGTTTAATTATGATTCCTAATTTATAACGTTGCCACACTATAAAAACATATTATACTTTCCTAAAAATCACCTTCAGCTACAATAATAGTTGAAACTAAAAAAAAACATTAAGCAGATAATAACTGGCATTAAGAATGCAAATATACTTCCTTAATGTAATTTTGAAAGGCTTTGTGTGTTTTAAAGGCTTATGTTAAGTCAATTCCGAATTAAAGATACCAAATTCTTGTAACAAGACTCTCCATTAATAATTTGGCAACTACGTTGATAACACTTTGAATGCTTTCAATTCGATTTTTGTAAAATTTTGGGAAAATTCACAATAACAAGGAATAAAACTAAAAATATTCGAAAATAATTTACTAAAAACCAGGATAAGATTCAATTTTGAAAACACTTGATTATTCAAATTCGATATTTAATGATAACTACCCAATTTTTCTTTTATATTCAGCACATTTAAAATTTTAAAACGCAATAGTTTTTTTGGTCGTCAAAAAAGAGGAAGATACTGGATAGAAGTATCTTCTTCTATTATCTTTTATTATTAATGGTAACGGTATTTGGTATGTTTTAGGACTGCACAAACTTTACTAATAGTTGTCCATGCACTTCTAGTTCTAAACCATGCAAATGTGGAGTTCACGGCTACTGCACAAATGATATTTGCAGTAGTGAAGAATGCACAAGGATAAATGCCGAAGAATGTTTGTGTCCGAAATTATCAATATCTGGATGCGTAACTTGTTGTCGGGGGACAACACATAGTATCGTCACTTGTATTCCAGCAAATGAATTAACAAAAAGATTAATAGATATAAATGAGTTAAGCATTAGTACGCTAAAGTTAATCAAGGAAACTAAAAAAACTACTTTTGCTACTTCTAATGGTCATTATGAAAATTTTTGTAAATACGATGAGTGTGTGAGCCTTTATTTCAGGAAAGTTAACAAAACGGACTACTGCCTATCGTTTGGACAGGTTGGAATATGTTCTAAAGATAATGAATGTTTATCGCCTAAACCAAAATCTTTTAAATTAAGACGGTCTGAAATATTTGAAAGTGGTACACATAATTATAGCAGTAAGACTTACAAAACTACTGGGTGGTTAAGCATGAAATTATTTGTAATTACTTATTTTTTTTTATAAATAAAAAATGTTAATTTTCATATTATGATAACAAATTTCTGTCTATAGGGTCTCATCCATATGAGGTTTTTTTTTTCAACCTTCACGGCTCCTTGGTGTCACCCTCGTTCGTCGTTAAGACCCCTATGTAGACTGTAGCCGTCTAGACTGACTTTTGCACATATGTTTTTCCCATTTTTTATGTCACAAGTAAGATAAATATATAAAATAATATATCCAAATACCCAATTGTAAAATTATGGAATTTATGAATTTGATTTGTCATACCCTCATACTTGAAACATTTTTAGTTCATAAAATGAAAGATATAGTGGAAAGTAGTGGCGGTTTGTGCCTTAACACCCAGGTTGTGCCAGGCCAGTGTATCATGCTCATCACAGGTGCCCCGCAGGAGGCAAAGAAATTTTGGGTGCCACGCAGGCACCACAGGCAAAACAAATAAATACATTTTTTGATCACATCCACAAATCCAGTTATTTTTTATTTTATTATTTGTATTAAAACGTCAAGTTAAATTCTATTTTTCTGTTCGTAAACTGTTGAATAGGTATGGGAGGTAAGTCTACTAATACAAATTTACTGCTCTACAAACATTATATCATTTCTGCCTTCGAGAGGGGGTGTCAGGTTGACTCAATTTACACTGACTTCTCGAAGGCAATTGACACGGTGAACCATGATTTGCTTTTAAGGAAACTAGTGAAATTCGAGTTTCCAAACTACTTAGTGAAATGGTTAGAAAGTTACCTGAAATCCAGGGTTCAATATGTCAAAGTTAAAAGTTTTACTTCGATTCCAATAAATGTAAGTTCAGGTGTTCCCTAGGGATCTCATTTGGGACCATTACTATTTAATATATTTATTAACGATGTGGCTTCAGGATTTAAATATTGTAAGTTCCTACTATTCGCCGATGACCTGAAATTATTCATGGAAATCTTAAACTTACCTGACTGTTTGAAGTTACAGGATGTTTTAAACTATTTTATTAATTGGGCTTTAAATAATGCCATGTCTTTAAATCCACTGAGGAAGTACTTATCGAGTTAGCTTTAGCTCTAAGTTTTTTTTTAAGTTTTTTTTTGTGATATTAAAGATATTTAAGTTTTTTTTTCTTTTTTGTGTGATACTTTAGGTTAGGTTTAAAATATCTACTGATAATAATTATTTTGTAAAAGGAGATTTTCCGTAAATAAATAAAAAAAAAAAATTACAAGAGTGATAAAGAGATTTTAATTTACGTGTAGTATTAAAAAACTTTTTTTTTTGTTATAATTGGCTTTAAAAAAAAAGTTTCGAAAGAAATAAAAATAAAGTTTGCTAATTTCTACCCTTTAGAAACATGAACTGAAAGAAGAGACATCATCACAAAATAGAGTTCGACTAAAGGATATGTACAAAAAAATTACAATTTCTAAATCTTACCAAGAAACAGGGCCGACTAGAGGGGGGGCGGTAGCCGGGACTAATTCCTGGGGCCCGGATTCAAATGGGGGCCCGGCAGAGGTGGTGTTTGTTACTTTCAGAAGTTCGACAGAAGAGGGGGGAAGTTCTTAGTTGACGACCTTTTTTTTTAGAGATATTCAAGATGAGAAGGAGACATTTTTGCTTGAGGAACTTTTTTTTAGAGAAATTCAAGTAGAGTAGGAAAAATTTTAGTTATAAAATTGTCGTGGGGCCCGATCTGGAGAATTGTCCTGGGGCCGGTTTGGCTCTCGGCGACCCCGCCAAGAAAGGAAATAAAAACTTAATTCTTTCGCCATTTTGAGACCTAAATATCTCGACAGCGGCTCCAATGCAAAATTTTATAAAGACCCCCCATTTGAATGGATGGTAGAACACCATGTTAAAATATTGGAATATCATTACGGAACACCTTGTAGATAATGAATTTAAAAATATATCCAATAAAACTAATTAGTTTTAAAAGTTTATTAAATATAATTACTAACATTTTAAAATAAATACATGTTCTAAAATATTAATATTTACAATATTGAGTTATCTATCTACTATTTTACCAATCATCTTGACTTAACCTATATGTATTGTTATCACTTCTAATTATATCTACACGAGGTCCATAGTATGGTATTATATAGAAAGAACCATCTGCAGGAGTTACTACTTGCATAGAAATCAAAATAACATCTATGAGTTGACCCAAAAACATAAATCCCATAGTACAGAATTTAGCAAGTCCTATTGCTGGGTATCCCAGATAAAATCTGTCTATTCCAAACATACCCAAGAATATTGATAGTAGGAGAGTTGTTTCAAATGAATATCCATTTCTAAAATTTAAATTGTGTAAATTGAAAAATTAAAAAAAATATATATTTTTTTATCTAATATATGAAGCCAAGTTTTTGAAAAAAAAAAATGTATTTCAAATTTGTATATTTATAAATACTGTGATATTAATTTTTATAATCTTAAAAACAATAGGTGTAGAAAATATTTAAATATATGTCCAATAGCTCAATTAAGACAATCAAAAATTGCAGTAACACTGATCTTTTCAGGGTGGCAGTACTTATCTCTAGTATTTATTTCTAAGTTCCTAAACAAAGGCCAATTAGAGAAAAAAGATTAGAGACAGTCAGTCTTTATCGCAGTAGTTTATTGGCAATTAGTTTCTGTCAACATTGACTATCATCAGGGCTAGAACAAAAACTAACGGTGACAGAACATAAGTTAATTAAATTACTTTAGGGTTTTGGTTTTTGGCTTAGTATCTTTCAAATTCATTTGTCATTATTTTATCTTATTTTTATAAAGGACTTTCTTTCAAAACGTTTCAAAACGTAAGTTTTTTAAATTACTTTTGCTTTAGAGTTTTGATTTTGTATTTTATTTTTGGCTTGCTATTTTTTAAATTCTTTGCCACAATTGCGAGTATTCTCGTAGGTTAAAATATTTCCGTATCGAATACCGGCTGGAATCCAAATACGGGGGGGGGGGGGGGGGGGGGGGTGCCGCCGAAATATTCGTTTGAATTTATAATAATTTTTGCCCGTAATTCACCCTTATTTCCCTGTAATATTCAACCAATATTTATAAACTATTTATTTATTGGAAAATTCATTTTCCGAATACAGAGAGCGTCGTAGCTACCGTTAACAGTGACCACCAGGAAGTATTTTTAATTCCACTGAGTTTATCTTGAGTACACTCTGGTGTACTACAGAGTCGCAGAGCAAACTGTGTTACCAAAACTGGCGCCCAAGTAACCCCTATTCTGAATCATCTTAGTGCCATACAGACTTCCTGATTCATGGTAGGTGAACCAGAAGCCTGTCACACTACGCAAATTGTTATTAGATTCTATAAAATAATTTTCTACACCAATGTTTTGCGTTTACTTCGGTTAGCTCCACGGCAAATCTGTCAAATTCTGTGTATGAAGTGGGAGAACTGCGAAAAGCCTTTCCAACTCTTGTCCCTGCTGCACATGACAATAGTTCAGTATTATAACTTCCTATTATTGTTATTTAACTTTGTAGACTGTAATTAAACTGCTTTCCAAAAATTGCGGACTGACATTAAGTGACAGCCTTGTCGCTCGCCGTGCGGCCCGTGCGACAAAATTGACAGCTTTATTGCTCTCCTCATTTCTCATCGCGAAAAGCATGTAAACTGAACATATGTTGCGGGAAAATGAATATATTGTTACGCTGGTTTTCGGTAAACTCGATTTATTTCAAACATAACTTTTACAATAAACAATTGTTAACATAACGCACAACGTCTATCATAAAAATAAACCGTGAAGTCAGGATCATCGACTTGAACCTCCTCGAACCTTCCAGATGCTTCTTGACACGGAATGACATTTCTAGTCTGTTCTCTCTTCTTTATTTATTTGTACTTTTACGACTGCAGCACACTGTAGGGTAATGGGCGACATTGCACTTCTTTAATTCGTACGTTTCCTATAACAGCCGCAGGGTAACACTATTTAGTAAATAAAAATTAATTTCTACCATATTTTCCCAATATAATTATTAGTTCTTAGCGAAATTAAACCGTATTTATAAACAATATCCATTAGAAAGATTTAGGAGGTTGGCAATATATTATACACAATACGCAATTTTTAAAAATAGACTATTTGAACTTAAATTCATTTCATATTTTGAGTTTGTATATGTGATCGTAGAAAAAATCGTGTGTGTATTTTGAGCGAAAAGTTCGTTGCCACTTTCGACTGATTGCCCGAGTTCCGATACGCGTCGAGCGTGCAACTTCCTGTCTCAAGCGGCAAAGTACCACTTTTCGCTCTTAATACACAAATAGCTATTATGATACCAGCAAAAAATTACAAATGACCATTCAACTCAACCATATCATAAAACTAACTTAACCTACATTACTCTGAATGACTAAGGAAGAATTAGATTTAAATTAGGGATATACCGGAATTCCGGCGGCACCACTAAATCCGGCCGAACCAGCCTCTCGACCGGAACGTAGTTCCGGCTGGATCACAAATTGCGATAAGGCCGAAATTTTTGAAAATTTTAAAATAGGGTAAATATAAGCAAAAAACAAGGAAAGCAATTTGAACTTTATTAAATTGAAAGTCGTTATAAAGCAATGACTTATCCATCGAGAAAGAATGAAGTAGAGACGACAAACACTATTTTGCGTTATTACAGATGGACGCACTTAGTGGTGCTAAGAGTGATGGAAAAGTGTAGGTAATCAAAATAGCAACTTATAGTCGAACTTTGATTTATTTGCAGTCAATCATTCTATATTTGAAGATTGATTAAATGAAAATTGATTTTTTTCTCACCAGCTTTTCTCTCTACTAGCTCGATTTTTACACATAACGAAAATGCAAAGGCATGGATACTTTTAGTATCGTCATATCATCCTCTTTATTCTATATCAATGCTTTATCTAACAGTTCTAATTTACTATAACACGGAACGGAATAAATAAAGTACCTTTTACCACAGGTGGCAAGTCACATATAGCTCATTCTCAGGATTTAGCTTTGCCTGTTTAATTTTAAGCTCATTTTGTTGAATTGTTTGGTGAAGTTTTTGGTGATTTTGTTGTAAACTAATTTGTAGTTGTTTTTGGAGTGTTGTCAGTTTTATAAATATTTTGGTATAGAACAGCAAAATTTGCGGAAATTACGGAATTTTATATTTAAGATGACTAGAACGTTAAAATAACGTTGGAATACTTCCGTATTGGTTTCGATCCGGCCGGAATTCCGACGGTCCGTTCTGGCTAGCAGCCTGCCGGATCGGTTAAATATAGCAGGGACAGAAGTTAGAAAGGCTTTTGGTAGGTAGACTCGCGTATCGGGGACAACACTAATCATTTGTAATAGCTGCGGTGGGGAGGTGTTTGTGTGAATGCGTCTTGTTTGTTTTCATTTACGCCGTGACTAGCAGTAGTATTTTATGAACCTTAGAAGCAAATTTCACATACATGAACAAATAATAATAATGCCATGACAACAAGAAGACGAAGCAACGACTTTTCGTTAAGTGGCGGCTTCGCCGCCACCAGAAAATTTCAATCCATACCTAGCTACGCCGACCGGCAAATACAACCAACGGCCTGGACACAGCTCACCTACTCTGTCAAAAGGAGATCGATGTACAAAAAATTAAACTCGTATGACATGTGCACTACAAATAATTAGTGTTGTCCCCAATACGCGAGTGGTAAACGTCAAAACACCTCTGACGACTTCGAGAATTTCACAGTAATGTTTATCTGCCAGTGGTGTTTCATAGAATAAGTAATTTTAAATTGTTACCGGCAGAACCGGACAATCGCATGTATTCATGGATTAGAAATAATTATTAAACAAGTATTATAATATTCCAAATCATAATTCTACAAAATTTCAGCAGCTATTCACAATTTTTTAAACTATCTACCCTAAATTGTTATTAACATCAATAAAATAATTTTATATGCCAATGTATCGCGTCCACTTCGCTTAGCTCCACCGTAAAACTGTCATTTTCTGTGTATGAAGTGGGAGAACTGCAAAAAGCCTTTCCAACTTCTGTCTATGCTATACCCGATCCGGTACATCCCCAATTTAAATCAAGAAAATTCCCACTATTCATGAAACATTACCAGTCTTTTTGTAACGTTTATTTAAAGAGACTTTTCTGGATATATTTTTAAAACGGTACTAAAATATCCCAATTTTAACATTATATTCATTAACATACCTCACATATATTTACAACTGAAGCTGTACATCTTTTTAAATACTTCCTGTGAGAAACATTTATACAGTGTTAATTTATAAAACTCCCAATAATATTGCATACAGGTCAACACATCTTTAAGATAACTATCTTTAGCCTTTACACTGCTGACCTAACAATCCAGGAGGTCTCATAGATGGAGACACCGGCATCGGTGTCTCCATTTGTTTGCTACTTACATAACTGGTGATAATATATTGTGAGCAGTCTGTTTTATCTGGTATTCAGAATTTCATTCGATTTTTTTAACTTTAACATTTAATATTAATTTAGACTAACTAATGTATTATCATTATCATACTTTTTTTGTAGAAGTTCTTAGAAGACATTTTTTTATTGTATTATATAGATGAAATAAATAATATATTTAAACAGTTCATAATCCATATAAAATTTAAAAGATAGACAGGACAATAATAGATACATAAATAAAAAGGTCGGTTGTTAGACTGTATCTTATTCGGAATGTCACATTTGGCCTTATAATAACATCTACAAGAAGTAAAAAGGCTTTCTTGGATATAACAGGAATGTCACATCTAATTTGTTATAAAGACATCATTTTTAGGAACTTCCAGTAACGTTGAAAAAACATAACAAGGTGACAATATATCACTAAAAGGTCTACATTATTTCATCACATGCATAGGAAGTTAAGTATCTGTCCGGTAATGTTGAAGTTGAGGGTCCCTTATAATGTGCATGTCCACACTACTCATCTCTGGACGTCTAGAAATTCAATTTGACAATGCCACCTCATTACAAAGGACCCTCAACTACAACAACACCCTTATCCATTCTCTTAAATACAATTAGTAAATTAGCTTTTAATAAATTACTTAAAAATATTTTGAGCTTGTATTTTTCTGTTGCCATTTGTTATTCTTCTAGGAATGGAATGATGATGGTCAATTTTGACTGAACCTAGTTGCAACAAAAATATCCCACAGCTAGGTTCTTAATTTTTTATCAGTCAGTACTAAGGGTATTTTGAATAATAGTTGAAAAAATAATCTAGAGATGAGTATATTATGCCAATTTGAATATTGTTGGTTCCAATAATTATCTGAAACTGATTAAAAAGTGTACTTACGTCCATCTACAAGGCGTTTCTTTATAAAAGGTATTATTTCCACTTTCATTGCAAATAAACCCTTCAACTGCAATACATCTAACTAAAAATAAAAATATGTTATAACATGTATAAACATGGAAATATTAAAAAAAATACTTTTAGCTAGATGTTCTTTTGTACAGCCCCTAATTTCTTGAGTTTTTGGATCTATTAAATCATTAAAATAGTCAGGATCGGGACATAGAAACTGTCCCATACGTAGTGTATCACAATTTATTAATATTGTAGATTCGCTTGAACTGATTACGAAGGAAAAATATTGACTACTAATGAAAATAAAAAATAGGTTTCGCCACATATCGTTTTACCATGTAGGAAGGATTTACACATAAATGGATTTACAATTTACATCCTAAATTCTTATTTTAAAAATTTTCGTTTTGTTTTGACTTTGACATATTGTGACTTTGACACACACAGCAGTGTTGCCAGAATATACTTTTGTAATGTACCAGATTTATCTAAAAAATATACCAGATTTTATAAAAATGTACCAGATTCTATAAAATTACCAGATTTTTCTAATTATGAGCAAAAAAAGGTTTATAGAGAACACGAACATAACAATTTTAAACAATATTTTATCTCTCGACAAATTTCTGACACTATTTTATCTCTCGAACAGTTTTTAAATCTTTTTTTATCTCTTGAGCTATTTTAAAACAATATTTTATTCACTCGAGCAATTTTTAACAGTTTTTTTTATCTTCCAAGCTATTTTTGAACAATATTTGATCTCTCGTGCAATTTTTGAGCAAAATTTTAACAATTTCTAACACTATTTTATCTCTCGAACAGTTTTTAAAAAACCTTTTTTTATCTATTGAGCTATTTTTCAAAAATATTTTATCTCTCGATAAATTTCCAACAGTATTCTATCTCTCGAGCAATTTTTAACAACTTCTTTTATTCCTCGAGCAATGTTTGTGCAATTTTTAACACTATTTAAACACTCGAGCAATTTTTAACAGCCTTTTTTACCTTTTAAGCTATTTTTGAACAATATTTGATCTCTCGTGCAGTTTTTAAGCAAAATTTTAACAATTTCAAACATATTTTATTACTCGAGCAATTTTTGAAAAAGATTTAACACCTTTTGATAATTTATCTCGAACAGTTTTTAAACAATTTTAAACAAATTTCTAACAGTATTTTATCTCTCGAGCAATTTTTAACAACTTCTTTTATCCCTCGAGCAATGTTTGTGCAATTTTTAAGACTATTTAAACACTCGAGCAATTTTTAACAGCCTTTTTTACCTTTTAAGCTATTTTTGAACAATATTTGATCTCTCGTGCAGTTTTTAAGCAAAATTTTAACAATTTCAAACATATTTTATCTCTCGAGCAATTTTTGAAAAAGATTTAACACCTTTTGATAATTTATCTCGAACAGTTTTTAAACAATTTTAAACAAATTTCTAACAGTATTTTATTTCTCGAGCAATTTTTAACAACTTTTTTTATCCCTAGAGAAATGTTTGTACAAAATTTTTTGTACAATTTTTAACACTATTTAATCACTCGAGCAATTTTTAACAGCTTTTTTACCTTTCAAGCTATTTTTGAACAATATTTGATCTCTCGTGCTATTTTTGAGCAAAATTTTAATAATTTCTAACACTATTTTATCCCTTGATCAATTTTTATTGACATTTTTTATCTTTCCAACAATTTTTAAACAATGTTTTATCTCTCGAGAAATATTTAACAGTATTTTTTAATTCTCGAATAGTTTTTGAAAAAGATTTTAATAACTTATGATACTATTTTATTTCTCGAACAATTTTTAAACGTTTTTTTATCTCTTGAGCTATATTTAAACAATATTTTATCTTTCGATAAATTTCTAACATTATTCTATCTTTCGATGAGCAATTTTTAACAACTTTTTTATCTCTTTAGCAAACTGCACAATGTTTTAACTTTCGACAAATTTATAAAAATATTTTAACTCTCGATAAATTTTTAACAATGTTTTATATCTCGAGCAATGTTGGGACAATATTTTATCTCTCGAGCATTTTCTAATAGTATTTTATCGTTCGAGAAATGTTTAAACAATGTTTTATCTCTCGAGAAATTTCTAATAGTAGATATCTCTTGAGTCAATTTTGAACAATATTTTATTTCTCAACAAATTTTTTAATAGTATTTTATCGAGCAATTTTTGAACAAGGGTTTAACATTTTGTAATACTATTTAATCTGTGGAAAAATTATTAAATATATTTATCTCTCATTAAATTTCTAACAGTATTTTTATCCCTAGAGCAATTTTTGAACAATATTTTACCCCTCAAGCAATTTCTAATACTATTTTATACTTCGACCAATTTTTAACACCCTTTTTTACCTCTCAAACCATTTTTGAACAATATTTGATCTATCATGCAATTTTTAAACAATGTTTTATCTCTCGAGAAATGTCTACTATTTTATCTCTGAAGTAATTTTTAACAACTATTTTAATTTCTCTTGCAATTTTTGACCAATATATTTTCCACTTCAAATGGATACATACATACGCTGTTTAGAGTGTACTAGAGTACCAGATTCTCAGAGAATGTACTAGATCTAGTACAATTGTATTAGACTGGCAACACTGGTTGCCAATATCCAAACTTGAAATTATAGGGTGGCTGGGTACAAAAGATACGCTTTTTGTACGCCTATTTGCCGCGTTTGAGAATCGGATGCATTTGAGATGTAAAAAATATTTGATCACGTGATTCAGTATACGTAAATTGCCGCGTTGGAGAATTCACATCGGATGCATTTTTTACATCTCGAGCGTTTTTTATCCACATCGGACACATCTGTCCCATTACATTTATGTGTGTCTTTTTTTCCACCGGTTTGTTGTAACCGTTGTTTCACCGATTGCGGCCTTGAAAGTTTTGTGTTGGATTCTGGTTGACAGTTGAAATAAATAACAGTTGACATAGAACAGAAGTAAAAGTTGGAAATGCTTTTGCCAGTTCTCCCACTTTATACACATAAATTGACAGGTTGTCAGCGGATCTCACCGAAGTGGACGCGATACATTGGCGTACAAAATTATTTTATAGATGTTAATAACAATTTCGAGTAAATAGTTTAATAAATTGTGAATAGCTGTTGAAATTTTGTAAAATTATAATTAGAATATTATAATACATGTTTAATAATTATTTATAATCCATAAATACATGCGATTGTCCGGTTCCGCCGATAACAATTTAAAATTACTTATTCTATGAAACGACACTGGCAGGTAAACATTACTGTGAAATTCTCGGAGTCGCCCGACGTGGTTTGACGTTTACCCCCTCTCTACCTACCAAAAGACTTTTCAACTTTTACTTTCTCTATACCGCACCGATGCCAACGTTGCTGCAACAGTTGGATAAAAAGACACACGTTTTGCCACGTTTGAGAATCCACATCGGATGCATCTGAGATGTAATTTTTTTATCACAGAACACTTACTTTCTGGCATGGAACGAACATTTATTCACATCTCATTTCAAATCGAGATGTAAAAAATGTAATCTGAATAGGTACATCTGGGATAAACAAACGCAGATGCGTAGATGTAGTAGATGTGTCCGATGTGGATAAAAAAAAACGCTCTAGATGTAAAAAATGCATCGGATGTGGATTCTCAAACGCGGCAACTGAATCCGTGATCAAAGATTAACTACATCTCAGATGCATCCGATGTGGATTCTCAAACGCGGCATTAGATTGAACGTTTATGTAAACAATGGGTCCTATGATTGAACGTTTACGTTATCCGTAACGTATATGTTAGGCAGAATTTTAAAAGTAACGAGGCAAGTTCGTATGATGGAAACCTGTTAAATTAGAACATAACAGGCGGAAAATAACAGTAATGTGTTGGAAAAAGTTTTCTATCATACGAACTTGCCTCGTTACTGTTAAAACTCGGCCTATTATGGGTCCTATGATTGAACGTTTACGTTATCCATTAATTTTTTTTAAAGATAAGTGTAACAATGTACTGCATAATCTAAAAACATTACATATGAGGAAAATCAGCATTTCAGTAGCATAACATCGGAACGATGTCACGTGACCAAATTACTGCTGCTCTAACTCCACAGTGACAGAGTAAAGTCAACGTCAACATTATTTGTCATTTAACATGTGTTTGACCATGGAGGATGATAATTTGTTTCTCCGAGCAATTACTAATAGAGGGAGCGTGAAAACGAGTTTGTAGGCGATTGTTGTGTTAGCAACATCTGTAGAGGAAGTGAGGAAGCGGGCACAAGGGGGAAGGTAAACATCCTTCTTGTTCAGTGGCGTATCATTTATCTATAAAAACACACATTGTCCAAACGTTTTAATTGTAAAAAAAACTAAAAAATTTGCTAATTTTACTATATTTAAAAAGAATACCGTCTTATATGTGTCTAATGCAGGAAATGAAACAAAATCACTGTAACGGTCTACTTTTTTCAATTGAAGAATAAAACCTTAAAATCAATTTTATTATAAATAAATACAGTAGCGACTAGTTTCGGCCTTACAGAAACATCTTCAGGCCTGTATACAATAATCTTTAATTATTATAATAGGTTGATCACTTACGAATAACATTAAATAGTATAAACCACAAAAATGGATCCATATTGTAGCGTTACAGCATTATAGAATTAAAGCTGTGAAAATAAAAGAGCAGTGCAAACGTAACTAAAAATAAGAAAACTGAGTACGGAATCTACAAGAGATGAGAATGAGCAATTACGAATGCATTTAAATTGCTCGGGATAACAAATAAAGCTGATAATGTAGTGGTATAGTCCCCGTCAAAGGTCTAGATATGTTAAAGAGGACGGCGTTTTCTCTGTAAATCTGGAGAATGTAAGGATGAAGGGAAGACGAATCTTGCTGGCTCAGGTGTAGATGAAAGCTCCAGTAAATATCGTCACTTTCGTCTAATTTTTTATTCTCTCTCACCGGCACCGTTTCGGCTTTATCTTCGAAATTCATTTTTAAAAGGAAATAAAAGTAATAATTCATACAAGCATATAATAAAACAATATGAATTCATTATATTTAATAAGCTAATAAACGTTTGTTTCAATGAAAAAAAAAAACATATGGGAATATAAGAAATATATAAAAAGATAAGATTAATATCAAAATCAATTTGAAAATACAACAGATAATGAAATGAAATAAATTAATACAAGTACAAATGGAAAGTTAATAACATACCTTCTAAAAGTAACACATTTTAGGTAGATATATGTTTAAAGAGTTTATTCCTGAACATAACTAATCTAACGTTTTTTCCTCTTTTTAATATTATGAGGGTTTTTGTAGTTGAAATGAAAATTATAATTTATTTTGGTCCTAATAAAAATTTAAAAATAGGTTATCAAAGAGTAAAATACATAATAAAACTTCATAATCTTAAACCTTTATCAAAAATTATTAATGGTAAAACTTCAAACAATAATTAGATTCTTAAACAAATTTCTAGTTTTTGTTTTGCAAAAGACTTTTTTGCCTTCATCGGTTGCCTCTGCCACTTTTCTTTTAGTAGTTTCGAGGAGAATTTTCCCATGGAAACTAGTAGAACCATCAATTGATTGGTAAAATTTTGATATTTTGAGTCTGGTAAGTCTTGTTAAATTTTCTTCTTAGGAAGCTGTAACCTAATGGAGAACAAAAATTTAATGTTATATCAAAACCTCTTAATTGAGAATTATATTTGCAAAGGCCGTTTTAATAATATATTCAAAAGTTCTTGGAATCGTTGTTAACAGAAACCTGCAAAAAATATATCATTTTATTCCTAAAATATAAGATTCACACAATGCACATTCATATAATATCATTGTGCTAGAAAAATACTAGGTAGGTACTGAGACAATTTAAAAAAAGTGTTTCGAGAAACAACTTTTAATGTCATCATTGTACTTAACTTTTTTATTGCTAAATTATTAATAATGTCGTTTTGTGTAGTTCGTTGTAATTTGTATAATATATATTATAAAAACCTATCGTCAAAGTTAATGTGCCAAGTTTTTTTTAATAATTATGTCCTTGTTATAGTAAAAACACATTTTTAAAGTTTTCTGAATTTATGCTTTAAATTATTGTACAATTCAACTGACTAATTTTGTGCTTAAGTAAAGGTATATCTCTTTTTTGTTATAACAGTCTTTGTATATTGTTCTAACTTTTAAGATAATCAGAGAAAACAGTAAGACATCTTAATATATCCTATTTCACCAACAAAAATGTAGAATAATCTCATATCAAACGAAAAAAGTCATTTTAGGATGTCCTAATAGGTTTTAACTTAAAAACTAAATAAAATGTATATTGCAACTGTGTTTAAATAAATGAATGTTTTTATACCTGACTATAGTACCAGACAAACATTTTTTTAGATCATAATGATCTGCATAACTCAAAATAGTCAAAATCCACATTATTTAAGTTGTTCTAGTATTGTTTTAGCATAACGATGTAAACTCCAATAATAAATATTCACATTTTTTTGGGACGTTTTTTAAGGAAATTAAAAAAAACATGAATAATGTGATATTCTTGTTTAGTATTGTACTATATAATATAGTTCATTAGGTAGTGATTTAGAAGCAAATTATGTTCTATTTATAGAATAAAAAATCACTCATTAATATCTAAATATTTATACCTATTTATATTTTGGACAGGAAGACTATTTTATGTTTTTGGCTCTGAATAGTTTTCTTAAGAATTTTAAAACCTTCCTTAGCTCTTTTGGGATATTCCATGCATATCTTAGAAGTTCATTTTGTTTAAACCTAAAACAAATTAAGTACAAAAAATGAAAATTTAAACAATACACAAAATTAGTCTTTTAGATTATTTAAAAAAAAATGTCAACAAAAAAATGGCTATGCCTTCTTCCTTAAACATTCTTTTTGAAATAAACTTACTTGCTGTTTTAGTATTTTAGTAGCAGATGAATATAGTGTAGAAGTAGTGACAGGATTGATTATTATACTTCTTTCGTCGAAATTGCATTTTTCTTTAATATTTTTCTATAATAAAAATGTTCATTAGCATAAAAAGTTATTCAGGTGGTCACTTGTTGAATTCCTATATTTTGGAACCATGTATTTCTTTCTCATATCAAGAAAAGGAAACCTAAAAAAATAACAATAAACTTTACAAAGATGTGATATTAAAATAATAAGTAATTAACCTTTACTATAATCATTATGAGACGAATGAAGACAAACTTAGCTGGAGTTTACTTGCTCTTAATTTTAATAAGAAAATAAGAAAGTTTAATTGCAAATTAAAGGTGATTGCCTAATGCACCGCCTCTGATAATTAGGTTGTGTCTGTACTTACTTATGATATTATCTTGAAGAAGCATTTTCAACAGGCCTTTTACACATAAAGCATGTTTTCACCATATTATTAGAGATAATAAATCTTAAATATACATTTACAACCCTTACAACGTTATAAATAATAATATTTTCCGTAAAATACAAATAAGAAATTGACATGTGTCAGAAAGTGTCAGAACTGGCGCTCACAGAACACTTCTGGCGCTGTCAAACTTGGCAACGCTGATTAAATAAGCCAATTACAGAAGAGGTATTTTCCCCCTCGGGGGGAGTAGATGTTGCTAACAAAATTTAGCGCGGGGAAGGGGGGAAGACTCCCTCTAGTAGTAATTGCTCGGAGATTTGTTTGACATTATTGAGTGTTATTGTTATGATTTAAAATGATTACTTTTTATTTATTAATAATGTAACGTTTAATAGGTGTTAATGGCTTTACAAATACCCTTTAAGAGATGTATATTTCACTGTTTAAGAATAAATACCCTTACCGGTATAAATAGTTTAAGATATAAAAACAATTTTCATGACCGAATGTTGACGATGGAAGAAGATTCTTTGGATGAATTTACAACACAGTTATTACAAAAGAAAATAGAAAAGTGGAGCGCTCGAAAAACTGTTCCTAAAATTTCAGTAGATATTAAGCAAGTTGACGACCCTACACACAATATATCAGATTTGGGTATTGATAAAATAAATAACCTTTTTCATGAAGCAATTGAATACAATGACAACAGTCAAATTTTAGAACTTATTGAACAATGTATATCAATCAAAGTGTGCCCTTCGACATCAAACATTCTTTACACTCTCACAGTATGTTCACAAAGTGGAAACATTATTTCAATAAGAAATATTGAAAAACTATGTAGACAACAATGCCCAGAAGTTCTTGCTATGAATTCAAACTTCCGTCATTTTGTAGCTGAAGCTATTTGGGTTAAAGGAAATACTAATGAAGCTTTAATTCTTTTTAGAGAAGTCTACAAAGAAAATACATTTTTAAGGCGTAAAATAAGACTAATGTTGAAAAATTTAATTGTAGGTGTTGTTGCTAATAGAAGTGAAGTTATTCTTCATAATACCATGAAATTTGCTGAGGAATTGGCAAAAGAATATAAAGATTTTTATCCTTTGGCATGCATATGGCAGACATGCTTTTTAAGTGAATGGTTTACTGATCAATGTTTGGCACTGGATTTGTTAAATAAATATAATGAGCTTTTCAAAGCTGTGGTTCATAGAATACCATATGTAGTGGCTGTGTCTTTGCATAACCATCAGGCTGAAGTTGTGTATAGGTTACTGGAAATTTTGTTAAAATTTGAAATGAAGTCACAATATGTTGGAGTATTATTAGCACTTTTGGACTACCAAAGTAATTATTTTCCTTTTTTTTTTTTACTTACTGGATTTTTTTTTTTAACATTTACTTTCAATCATTTATGGTTTTACATGTTACACATAATAGTCCCTTATCTGACTACAAAAAGTGGCAGATTGTGTTTTTGCTTGCTATTTGTATTTGGGTACAGGGAACAAATATTGCTTATCAATGGACGTTTTTTACTGGCAATGAAATAAATGCTTCTAGATGTCTATAACAAAAAAATTGCTTTGCAACAAATTCTGTGGTCCAGTTTTGCTACTTTCGGTGTAAGTGTAGGGATTTTCCTACATTGGAAGTAGTATAATACTACTATTCAATGATGGGTGCCATATTAACAGTAATTTAATTTCTGTTAATATGACATTCAGATTACAAATCTCCATGCATTACTGTTTTGATGATGGTGGGTGAAGTTTTTCTGGATTTTTCTCACCTCTAAGTCAAATGGTACCGTCAATCATCTTTAAGTCACCCTGGAGCACCATGATAAATAATAACACCGTCCCTTCCCCCCACACAAGCTGAGTCGGCTTCAGGGATTGAGATTCCCTCATAAGGGGGTGACTTATGGAGGGTATTAGTACTCTTACACTATTTAAGAGCTTCCTAGAAAATATATATTCAGTTGTTAAGCATAATGGGAACACATCGGGAAAATTTATAGCATATAGTGGAGTGCCACAGGGCTCCAATTTGGGACTCCTCCTTTTTTTAATTTTTATCAATGATTTACCATCTATGCTGAGGTTTACAGACTGTCTTCTATTTGCCGATGATCTTAAAATTTTTTAAAAAATACAAACTGTTAGGGATTGTGTGAGTTTACAACAAAAAGATATAAACAACATAAATGAATGGTGTTATAAAAATAAATTAAATTTCAATACAAAAAAATGTAGTAGTATGACAATAAGTAGATTGAAAAATCCTGTTATTTTCGATTATCTTATAAATGGGAAAGTACTCCAACGACGTACAGAGGTAAAAGACTTAGGTATAACCTACAATTGTGTTCTATCTTTTTCTAATCATGTAAAAAATATAGTTAAGGCTGCAAATATAATGCTGAGGTTCATAATTAGGCAAACTAGAAGTTTTACTAACATAGAATCTATAAAAATTCTCTATTATGCTCTAGTTAGACAAAAACTTGAATTTGGAGCTGAGGTATGGATGGGGGAACATCCAACTAATTTGTATGAAATTGAAAAAATACAGAATAAATTTCTTAGATATCTTTATTTCAAAAAACTCCAGACTACAATATTATTAGAACTGCAAACTTAAGAAAATAATTTAAAATACCTTCCCTTCACACCAGAAGGAATATGATAATGTTGATTTTTTTATATAAAATTATTAACTATAAAATTAACTCACTTGAGCTACTATACTTAATAAGATTTAATGTACCTCCGAGGAGAATGAGACATTCATGTATGTTTAATATTCCTTTAGTTCTTACCACTGCCAGGTCATCTTTTGTGACCATGCTCCAATTGGCAAATAATATTAACACTTGTATTGATGTAGATTGGACACTACCATTTAATATGTTCTGAAAACTTATATTTAATTATTACATTACTCTTGATTAATTATTACTGTACTGAATAAGTTGTAATATTAGTTGTAATTACCTACTGTTTATTATTAATATTATTATTATTATTTATGTATTATGGTACTTTTATCCATGTAATAAGGCCGTTGGCCTGTTTGGATACAAATAAATAAATTATTATAAGTCAAGAAATTTTAATCAAAACATGGTCTGTGATTTAAAAACCATGTTCCATTCCAACCAACATCTAAATCATAGGTTCCCAACTTTTTTTGGCATGGTTCTATGAAAGACTCCCATATCTCCAAAAACACGATTTCGAAAAAAACGTGGTGTAACATATTTTGTTTGGCCATAAAGGTATATACAGAGAAATAATTTTCTTTGATAAATTTAGGAAAAATAAGCAAATAAGGTTTTTTCTTTCTTAGTAAAATGGTAGTTTATACTACCAGAAACATGTGTATGGTAATATATATTTTTTTAATTTTTGGAGATACGGGTTTCTTTTTAAGATGGCAGTATACTTGGATAAGAGTTAAATAATACAACTATACTTGTTTAGTAGGTGAAAAAACACCTGTAGAATAATTTAATAATCTATTTATTTTCCAGTACACCAAAAAAATATCAGAAGATGTGTTGAAATTGTAAGATGGTCAGAACAAAATGACATTGAGTTACTTCCAATTCACCACCAAAAATATTTGAAATTATTGCTCAGCTATAAAGATGACATTCTGGATATAAAGAATAAGAAACCCATCAAACCACCCAGATTGAAGACTCATTTCAAGTTTTAATTGATTTAGGATGAAGGTAGTTAGTACAAAGATTATTAAAATAAATAGTTAATAAAAATAAATTATTTATTTATATCACGATTACATGTGTGTAGTTTCAATAACAGCAGTCTTATAATCACCTTGCCGATCAATTTTTTTGTTAATACAATTTTTATTCTTAAGGTACATCCATCTAAAAAAATAAAAACGTTTTAATCATTGAGTTTCTTTGGCATATAAATGATAAGTTTGATAAAACAAATTTGGTTACAAAACAACTTTCTTTATTCAGAATTAATTTTTACCATTCATACTGAAAAATAATTATCTTGTTGAGAAATAAAGGAATTGTTATTTTTTATATTTTTATAAATAACTTACAGAATAAGTAGGCAGCAAAAAAAATAAATTATAATACTGAAGAAAAATATTGATGCTGGAAATGTTTTCAAAGTGTGCATATATAATAAATTATATACAGGAACAGATAGGGCTGGCGCTAATGCTTCTGCGATACCTAAGAGTGATTGAGTTTTTCCAATGTCATCAGTTGAAACTATTTTAGTCGCATAAGATCTCTTTACTATCCTGTATAATTTTGTTACTACACTCATAAAAGCACCTAAAAAATTAAAATAATTTTTTAACATTAATTATAATAAACTTATTGGGATCATATACAGTTCCCAACAAAAAAAAGGAGATAAAAACAATAAACACATGTTTTCATCAGTACAATGCAGCTAACTTCGGAAAGCATGGAAGTTGTCCCCCTTTTTTCCTGTGCTCTTCTGATTTTGTCTTTGATAAAGCTGCAGTCTATTAGTTTATTGTATTTTACGCCATTTGTGTTCATGTCATCTTTGTATCTTGTAAAAGGATTGCCACCTCATATTATTTTACCTATTTTTGTTCATTTATTAGCTTTCTTGTGTTCATTTCTATAGGAAGTCAGGCTTATTGTCTCAGTTTTGAAGTTATTAGTATACATAGTAACTTAATCATGAAGAGATAATTGTCTCTCTTTCTCTGATTGTCTCTGAGAGTTACCTCAAGAAATATTTTCTTGCGTGTTATTAGAGAAGTAGAAGATCGGCGTATAGAAGAAAGTTTATATCTGTATCTAAAATATTGCTTATATCATTTATAAATATGTTAAATAACAAAGGACCTAGATTAGAACCTTGCGGAATACCGGAAGTTGCCAGATATCGAGTCGACTTGAAACCGTTAAGGTTTATCTTACCCGACCAAAAAATTAATCTTATGTTCAAAAATTTTCAAAAAATTCACCTAACTTACTCATCAAATAAGTAACTAATGGACAAATTTTGAAAAAAATCTGGTAAGCCGTTTTTGAGAAAAAAAATGTTTTGTTCAAAAATTCTAGTATGTAAAAAAGTTATCTTTTATCAGATTTTTTTCAAAATTGTTCTATGCGATCTCTATGTCATTGTTATACTGGGAGAATTTTTCTAAAATGTTTAAACTTACAGTTTTTTTATAAATAATAATATTATTATTTCACAATAAATTATCGTTAAAACTTTTATAAACGTACAAAATTAGTCTATTTCCTGTTATTATAACTTTTTGTTGCTTTACACACTACCTAAGATTTATTTTAAACACTGAATAATCGTAAAAAGTGAATAAAAATGTTTTAATTTATTAAATATTTTTAAATTTGGAACCTAAAATATTAGTCCAGTTGGTGCTGCTAGGAATATATATTGAATTAACGTTTCTGAATCTACCCACTTGGATGTATCGTGACCGGCGAAATTTTTACGATGTTGCCAAATCGAATTACATATCAGAGAATATATGATATTACGAATGGTTAATATAACAGCAAACATAATAATTAATTATGGGATTATTTATTGATTATACGGATATCCGACGACAAAGAACATTGTTAATAGACATATTCAATTTTTTTGTAAAAAAATATACTTATTATATTTATGTTTTAAATATTTATTCCATAACAACTGTACATATTCTTTAATATGTATAATATATAAAAATGTACAATGTTTAAAAGTTGTGACAATTAGATAAACGCATTACAACGCGAAATCGTTTTGAGACAATCAAAAACAAACTTGTTTTTTATGTCTATTAGATAGAGAGTCCCTATTATGCGTAGCCGTTATCTGTTTTACAGACAACAGTGTAGCTTAATTATTTATGTACATTGATGAATTATGAGGAATCGAAGAAAAAAAATGGAGAACTGTCATTAAATCCACGAAAAAGATTTCTGTGCACTGACTGTTTACAAATAATAATGGAAGGCGGGACGTGATTGTCGTATGTAGGTATGCAAACGCTCATAGAAAAAAAAAGGAAATTTGGCAATTTTATTGTGATACATAGAGTGCGTTAACACATGAATCCTTTGAAAAAAAAAATAAGGAGAGATTCTCGTAAATCGGCTGACTGCCTGCCGTGATTAGACGCATCAGTACACCTCTGTCACTAGTGGGCTGGCGCGGACTGTTCTACCTTTGTCAAAAAATAGCATCGCTTATTATATACCGTTCTTTAAGTGCATTTATGGGAAAGTTAACACATTGTATGTACGAGCAAATATATTATACCCGAAAGTTTGTTTTTAAGTTCTAATTATGTAGGTATGAGCGCGTACTAATAATTAAAATTACAAACAAAATATACAATTAAACAAAATTCAAATTGTTAAAAAAAATACATATTTTATGATCACGCTTAACAAGCAAAACATGCTGCAACGTTTTATAATTATTTATAACTAAATTGCTTACATAATTTAATTTAACGCATGAAAATTGTTTTTCAGACTATTTTAAATCAGCAACGTTAAACATTTCATTTTCTCATTATATCTATCACTAAAAATACCAGAAACCATTTAATATTTTACAATCAACAAATTTAAATTTACTTTTTAAGAGAATTATACCTAATAAATACATAAAAACTACTGAAAAAGTATGGAATAGATAAAAAATTATAATATAACTCTCTTCATTTAGTAGAACACTAGTGCAATCCTATCCTTACTGTAACTAAAAGTATACCTAAATTAAAACATATATAGTCGAATTATAACAAAATAGTATAGATTTATGCTATTTTTATTCAGTAACATTTCTAATTGGCATATTTCTTTCGTGTCTACTACGGCAAAGTGATTAAAATAAAAATCCTTTAATTTTTTCAACATATTCGTTACGAATATGTGAGGAAAAACTCTTTCTCTGGAATGGTAAGAAAACGAGTTTAATTATTCATATATATTTGTTATTACCAAGTTTTATGTTTCATTAATTAGTTATAGCCAGCGCATATATAACTTTTACACTTTATTAGTAAACTCAAAGTAGGTAAAGTAAAAAATTACGGCAATTTGACCTTCGAAATTTTAAAATATAAGTCAAGAAAGGTAAAGTAATATTTTCTCGTGTTTCTTGTTTTCTTTTGAATCATACTGTATATGCTTTATAAACTACCTATATATCATAAAATATAAGTCGAGAAAAGAAAAAAATAACGTTTTTCCTCTTTTTTTAATCATACTGTGTATGGTTTATAAACTATATATTTAAAATTATGGCTCCAGTCAGCGGATTGGTCTGATTCATAAAAATAATTAAAAAGTTCTTTATTTGATGTTTGTCTCTTAATATTTTGTTTCACAATATTTTGATTCGATGTTTTGTAATAATTTAAAATTATGCGAATTTTGTCACACACCGTGTTTGTTTGAATATTGAAAAAATTCTAGATCTATAGATTTTTAACCTTTAATAATATATTTCTATGACCGAACGTTATACATATATAAATAATAAATAATATCTCAAAAACTTACAAATCAGTTTTTCGTAAATTCCAACCCCGACGAGATTTTTTCGGAAATAATCGGGGCATTTTATATGCGTTCTTAATAACTTTTAACAACTAAAATATAAAATAAATGTCCAAAACTTAAAACACTAATAATTTATATTGGTTAATATGGGAAAAAAATTATTTCACAAGAAGTTATCTTTTTAAAAATTAAGTCTGATACAAATTAAAGCAAAAAACGAACTGACTAATGAATTTAGATATTCCATGGCGTATGCACCCAAAGACTGTTTGTTTATATTACCAACATAAAAATCACTTCACAGTAAGATTATCACATTCCAGATTGGGAAGTAGGTGCCAGTTTTAAAACCGTATGTAAGCAGTATTAAAATAACCGAAAATACTTATTGGTAAAGTTTAAAATATAAGATATGTATATTTCAAAAGTAAAATTCTCCTTGAAATCATATTACAAAATAAAAATAATATTTTTCTCTGTATCTTGAATTTTGCTCAGTCTGGCTGTGTACACCGTACAGACTACTAATCATATAAATTTAAACGTAACCCAGCTGAATAGTTAACCGATTAGGCCGATGTACGTATTATATATTATACAAAATAGATTTGGTCCAGCATCGAAAAGGTTTCATTGTGAATCTACGGTACGCTCGTCAAAATGCTGACATTGCCCTGGTGTCTTTTAATTATCTCTCTTATTATTTTAGATAAAATTATGATTTTACAATCGTTAGAATCCTTAAGTTTTTATCTAGTAATAAACAAGAATACATTTTTACAAATTTTTGCACAGTTTTTATGATATCGGCGTATATAAATAAAAAATCGGTAAAATATTATTATTTCTCTTAGGATAATTTTTACTTTAGAAAGATATTAAACTTTCTTTTTGAGAATAACTCGATTTCCTTGGACGATTTTTAGACAACCTAAGCCATTTAAATCTAAAAATCAAAAACTACTATTTCGAGAACTAACACAATAATTATAGTATCTATAAAATGCCAAAGAAAATCTAAACTACGCGATTTTAACCCTTCGCCGCTTAACAATATTTACGTGACAACTAGAACAGTAGATACTTCTGTGCATATACTTGGCAACAACGTATATTTGCTGCGTTTGAGAATCCACATCGGATGCATTTTTTACATCTCGAGCGTTTTTTTATCCACATCGGACACATCTGTCCCATTACATTTACGTATACTGAATCACGTGATCAAAGATTTTTTACATCTCAGATGCATCCGATGTGGATTCTCAAACGCAGCAATAGTTCCGTCTCTGTAATAGCTATATCAAGTGTTGCCCTCTTTTGCTTCACGCACCAACTCTAATTAGCAATATTTGTAGTTACAGAAAACTATAATGTTTAGCGCTAGTTTTCAACAATTTTTGTGCTATCGTAACTCCATCTTACGTTAGCGAAACGTAACTTTTGTAGGGTAATATAAATCTTAATCTAAACATATTGCTTTCTGTCGGAAAAGTAAGACTTAAATAAATTTAACAGTGATTGGGAAAAACCACAGCATGAAAGTTTATTTAACATGATACCATGATCAAGCCGATCGAACGATTTGGAAAAGTCGGTGTATATTACATCCGTCTGGATTCTCTTGTCGTATTTTCTGCAATGTACTGTGTTACAGCTATAAGATTGGTAACGGTGGAACGGCCTTTCATGAATCCATGTTGTTCTGTTGATATCATATTACTGACGTGATGATAAATCTTGTTTTGCAGTAACATCTCAAACACTTTACAGAAATTACTAATAATTGAAATTGGACGATATTGTGTAATGTCTGATTTATCACCCTTTTTAAATACCGGGCAGACCTTAGAGCATTTCCAGATAGATGGGATAGAACAAAATTTGAGACAAATATTTAAGAAAACTTTTAAGGATGGGCGAGAATTGAAGTGCAGTCTTTCAAAACAAAGGATGGAATATTATCTGGTCCCATAGTCATTTTAGATTTAATTGACTTTAACCTATTTTTAACTTCATCTTCGGTAAAGGAATTTATGTTTAAATTTGATACATTTAATAGATTAACCTCGGAATTTGGATCAGTAGAATCAGTGTAAGACTTACAAAAAAGGTCAGCAAATCTATTAATAATTTCAATGGGATTCTCAAAGTAATTTTCATTCGGGATTAGATATTTCATCTTCAGATTTTTTAATAAATTGTTTATAGGCCACACTAATATCCCTTTTTATGATTGTCCTTAATCTTTTAAATTCGTCGAAAGCTAAAATGTCATTAGCAGATTTATATTTACGCCAATTTTGTCCTTTTTTATGAATACTTCGAATGATATTACCAACAAACCATGGCGGATATTTCGTTTTAGAGGGTATGGAAAATTTTGGTACGCACGAGTCAAATATGTTGTATAATTTTCCGTAAAAATAGGAGCAAGCGTCATTGGGGTCCTGAAACAGTTCTAAAAATTGCCAGTCAACTTTTGATAACATGTCATACATCTCTGCGAAATTTGCTTTCCTAAAATTATAAGAGTGCTGAAAAGAGCTTTCAAATCTCTTATTTACCTCTGATATACCAAGAGCATTATAAGTTATGTCAAGTGATGGGTGATACTTATCTTCCGCAACTAATGGATCCAGAGATCTCTCAACCAAAATAAACTTATTACATAAAACTAAGTCTAAAATTTTGTGATATTCATTACATACAAAATTGTTTTGTGACAGTGCAATGAACTCCATGAAATTGTTAAGTAATGAGATATGTCTATTACAAAAGGTAGAATTAAGTAGGTGGGATGCATAATCTGTAATATTAAAGGCACCTACAACCAAGAATGACGCATTATATAAAAAATCTAAAGTTCCAAAAGATTCAAAAAAGTTTTCGTAATATGTTAGTGTAGTTTTAGGGGGTATATAATAATTAACAATATTTGTAGAACTAAAATTAACTGTTAGCTTGACAATAACAATATCAATTAGACCAAACCTAGGAAATGAATCCACCTCCACTTCTTAGAGAAGCATGTGTGTTCGATCTTTATATACTAAAGTAACCTGGAAATAATTCAACATTTTTGATCGATGAGTCGAGCCATGTTTCTGTTAACGCAAAAACTTTATATTCACTTTGAAACAAATGATTATAAACCTAACTAGTTTTTGAACCTAAACCTCTAGTGTTCTAATAAAATATGGAGATATTATTTATACTATTTACATTATTGCTATTAAGTTTAGGATCTAAATACTTAGTTACAAGGGGCGGCGCAAAATTAACTGATGGTTGCTATTTAATCGCAAATAATTGAGATTTTAATATTTCAAGAGAATTTTTCGTACATTTTTCTTGCTCCCAGACAGCATGATCGCTAAGAACCTTACGGTCTTTTAGATTTATACTGTTAGAACATTTGTGATTTTTTGATTTACACTCCTTGATGTCATGATTTTCAGCACATAATGGACACACTTTCGGCTTTTTACATTTTTGTGAAGAGTGGTTCAATTCATTACAGTTAAAGCAGCGTAAAACTTCATTAGCGTCATATAACACACAGTTATCATACCCTGCAAATAAGTTACCAGCTTTCATTGCGCGTTCATATACAGTTTTTTCAACCTGAATAATAACCTGATAAATATCTGGGTTTTTTTTCGTCGGAAATATTTTAATTATTCTACACTTAGAATCACGATAAAATATATCAGAATTACAAGTAAGCAAAACATTTTGAAGATCATCAGCTGAGAAGTTTTCTGTCATACCTACGACGCGTATTCTGGGATGAAGGCCACCAATTTCTCTTACTTTGTAAGAATTCGACATTGTCTGCGCAACTATCTTATTCAGTTTTTCATTGTCGCATTTTGATTTGCAGCTTATCACCGGAACAAGAACTAACAACTATAAGAAACGAATGGACTGATATAACGAAATGAATGTTTATTTGCGTATGAATAGAAGGATTGTCTTGTATGTACCCACTGAATGACTGGCTGTAATGTGAGTGTATGTTTTAAAACCACGTTTTTTATGATTGTATGTACTCAATGTTGACCTAGCTACCGTCTTACTCAATCGTGCTAGACAAACTAAAAACTACCTAAAAACTAAATTCCACAGGGTGGGCTTCACAGAACATAGCCATCTGGCCTAATGAAAAGTAGTAGTACCAGGCAAGATACTATACACTCATTGGCTATAACTTAGATGTAGAGTCCAGTGCCAGTGGCGTAACATTTAAAGTGGGTAACCATGTTACCACAATCAGTTACAGTATCAAATGTTTTGGCAAAACAAGAAAAAAGGAGTTACTCCAGACAAACATTTTAGAGGATTGACATAAAAGAACCGAGGAATATTAAAAACGGCACCAAGATATTTTTTTAACGTTAGCACCAGAAGAATTTGGTGATACTGATGAATATTTACTGTTTGGATCAAATAATAAGCGTTTGTAAACCCAAAAAATATATATAATACCCTTGTCAGAAATGTGTCCTTTTTCGTAAACGCGACTGAAAGACAAATCGCTAATTTTTTATTTAATTTTTACCGTCATCTGGTATATTTTCTTCTTTCTAAATTATAACATTATATAGATTATATACATTATATAGATTATAACATGACAAGGGAGAAAGAACTTGACCTTCTTGCGGTCTAACAGCTCTGAATCAAATTTTTGAAAGTTGATTTAAATTGGTCACTGTTCTAAAGAATTATTATGACTTACCTAGATAGAAAATTTCTGGTGTAGTTGCTAAACCATATAATAAATTTGACAAGATTCTAGTAAATACTGTTATAAATAATATTATTAAGTCACCCGCATTTAAAATTTTAACAAGTAGACATATTCCTAAAATATTACCTGCAACAAAATATTTTTAATTATATATTTGCCCCATATTATATATAGTGTCACACATAATTGTGTATTATATGGGATTTTTTTAATGCTGTCGATAAATTTTGACTTTGTCATCATTTGCAGCTTCAAAAATGATAAGGAATAACATGCAAATAGTCAATCACGTGACTTTTTCTAAATGTCAAAATTAATTACAAAAATGGTATTATTTTTCCAAATTTCGAGAAATGCCCAAAGAAAAACTTGCTTATTTTTTAATTTTTTGCCCGCTGCCTAAGCAAACCTGTATAAAATAATTTTTAAACGCCCTTTGCCCTTTGATCCTTTTAAATGAATTTTTGTTTTTAAATCTTTAGGCATTTTTCGAAAATTTGAAAAATAATGCCAATTATTCCAATTTAAAAAAAATACGTAAATTTTGACATTTACAAAAAGTCACGTGATTGACCATTTATGATTTATTTCAAATAAATTAAAAATTTTTAAAACATACCCATATCTTTTTTAAAATTTGACTAAATGCGATATTTTTTCTCAAAACTTTCATTTTTGAAGGTAGTTTTCAGAAAAAAATACGAAACATCTTTTTGATGTCATGTTCCATGAACTTTTTTAGTTTTTTGAGAAAAACCATGAATTTTTCAAAGTCTAACATTTTAAATTTTTTGTTTTTTTTTTAAAAAGCTTTGGTTTATTTTGCCGGCTTATTCGGCCGACATAATTTTTTATTTTGACGCAATCTAACTTTGTTTTTATAAGAAATGTAAAAAAATTAAGGGTATGGCGTTACTTTGTGACTTCCGATTCTCACATGACTGGCGGGGAAGTTTAACGCATCTACAGGTTCCATTCGAGTCGTAATAAGGACGAAGTCGATCAAATAATGACGTGTTCTTAGAAAGAAAATTCATAGAAAAGTATTTTTTATCCCTAGTATTTTCCTTTTGATATAATGCAATGCCTGTTCTGGTATTAGCCAAAAGAGAAGTTATTTTCAAGAGGGAAATAGTCGCTTGATGTTTCCATGGCACGTACTTTGAGTTTCTTTCCTTTGTTTTTATTACAAATATATATTTTTTTAATTTGATTAATTATAAAAACAAAATTAAATTGCGGAAAATAAAAAAATAAGTTTAAAAAATAGGAAGCATTATCGCTCACTTGGGTTTACCGACTGCAGAATAAGAGAAAGTTTTTTTAGAAAAAAAAAAATTAAATTAAAATGAAAAATGTCAGAACAATTTTATGGAACATGACATCCAAAAAAGTTTTAGTATTTTTTTTCTGAAAACTACATTCAAAATTGAAAATTTTAAAAAAATGTCGCATTTAGTCAAATTTAAAAAAATTATTTGAAAGCAGGAACATTTTTGGATTGTGTGAAAAAATTTGAAAAAATACTGAGAAATGTTTTAGTGGGATAGAAAAAGATAAAAAAGTTTCAGCCAAATGAAGGGGTCGGGTCAGTGTTGCCAGAATATGTTTTAGTTATGTACCAAATTTGTCTAAGATGTACCACATTCTATAAAAATGTACAGGATTTTGCAGTGACGGTTTGGTGCATTAAAGAGCAAAAAAGGCTTAATAGAAAATAAATACAAACAAGGAAGACCCACCAAATATATTTTACATGTCATAAAACATACGCTGACACTTCATTTGAAAGCTAATTTTATTAGTAATTTAATGCACAATATAACAAAACATAATTTAATGAAACATATGTACTTAAATAGAGGGAATCAAAATAGATCTGAAAAGGTCCAGATGGGGGAGGCCACATATGGCCCACAGTCCTAATTAAATCTAAATAGAGGGCGCTTGAATCAAAAGCAACCTAATTAATAGTCATATTGTTGAATTATATATAAAATCATCTTTCAAATGATGTGTTACTTGCTATTTAGATAATAGCGAGGTTGGATTTCTGGGTATGAATTTTATATTACAATTTGTCCCCTTTTCAATAAAAGTTGATGTGTTTTTTTTTATTTTGAAAAACTACCGAGTTTCTAAGTTTCTGGAGGAGCCAAGTTATCGATCATTCTGTATTCAATATGACAAGACAAACTAAATAATAATTGAACATTTATTTTAAGTATGGATTTACCTAATGAGCTAAACTAAAAAAATACTTACCAATTAAAGTAACAGTTGAATTAACTGTCAGAAAATATGTAAAATCCACTGGTGTCCATTGAAATACATTTTGAACATAGAGGTAAAGAACATTAGTTTCACCTAAAAAAATATGTTTATAATATTAGTATTATTGTTATTACAATAGGTGGTGGGTTGTCTCAGTGCTTAGAGTCATGACTTTGAGATCGGGCATCAGGTTCGAATCCTGCCGGTGGCAGTGATTTTTATTTAATTTAATAAATTAAATATTAATTCTAATGCATAGGTAGAATTGCTCACTCGACCATTCACTGTTGGGTTCTAATTAGCGGTGCTGTTCCTTAAGTGGCGCTGGGAAACAGAACAAATCCTACACAACACGAGGCTAATAACCTAATTATTTTCCGAGGACATCAAATTAAGAAATAGTATATTGTGACACTAATGCTTTAAAGGCAATTATGCAATGTATTATACAATCATTTTAATTGAAAAATGCATATTAATAATTTCTTTTCATTTTATCGAGTGGGTAGGTAAATGTCATTTGATATTTCATTTAATTATTAAAATAATTTTTCTGTTCATGTTACTTGATTTAGGTAAACTTGTAAAGAATTTCATTAATTTGACAATTCAAAAGAAAATCTGACAATCTAATTTTATTTATTGAAGCGGTTACCTAGCAACCTTTATACGCACGGCGTGCGATAAAAGCCCGATTAGGCAATATTAGGCATGCTTTTGGGTTTAATAACAATAATAATAATAATATCCCTAATTCACCCCCTTACAGTGAATTTTAACCCCAAAAGCTGAGTTTGTGCGGAGAAAAGGACGACTATTATTATTATTTGCCGTGGCGCTCCGGGGCGACTTAAAGATGATTGATGGTGCCATTTGACTTACAGGTGAGGAAAACCTCACCCACCATCATTTGTTTGAGATGATTTATGATACATGAATACTAAAATAGTATATTATGACACTAATGCATAATCGAGCCTTTAAAGCATGAGCAACGAGTTTAAGGCCACGACGCGTAGCGGACTGGCCTTAACGTTGCACTCATTTTTTTTCTTCATTTCTCATCTCTTTCAATTTCTCTTTAGTTTGTTTTCACTTTGGGATGTGGGTGTGTATTTAATAATTGCATAGGAGGAATTGGGGATTAGATATTTTCATATTTCCAAAATTGCATTTCAGTTTTCGGATCTAAGCCGATTTTTTCACGTTTCTTTGTCACTGCTTAATTTATTTTCCAATAGTGAAAATTTGAAATTAGTAATTATTAATTATTTTTCTTATTAATGAAAGAACATATTTAATTAATAATTTTCATTTGTTTGTCTAGACATATAGTCATTTAAAAAATGTTTACTTGCTAATCAGGTGGATACCACAGGTGTATAGTCGAATATCACGATATTTTCTTAATTTTATTATTGTCAAATCATTTCGATTCCGATTTTTGAATTTTTACACTACTCTTATCAGATAATAAGTTAAATAGTAAATAAAATTATTACGGGGACATAAATAATTAAGTAATATTTAAAATAGTTAATAGAAAAATTCTTGTAAATTTTGTATTTCGGTAATTTACTTTTTTAAACGTTGATAAATCATGTCAATGAATTATCGTCAGTCGTGTAGGGTTCTGGTTTCTTTAACAACCATATTCTGTTTTGTGTCAAAATTTTACAAAATATACAAAAAAATGCAAAAAATAATTCTCTGAAATTTGAAAATTTATAGTTTATGCTTCTTTTTGCTAAAAAAGATGAAGGTGTATTTATAATTAGAGATGGGCGATTATCAAAAAAAATAATCGATTAATCAAAATAATCGATTGATCAAAAATAATATATTAAGCGAATAATCGATTATTTCGCCCACCCCTAAGGATGACACATCATTGAAAAGGTAATTTGATATAGAATTCGGTAATAAGACTATTCATTGCGGTTCTTTTGATTTTAGCGTCCTCTAGCTTGATAAAAAACTGTTACGTATTGTAAAATGTTACAATTCATTTAAAGGCTAATTTTATTAGTAATTTTATGCACCACAAAACATTCTAAAAATCTTCACATTGCACTTGCAGCAAAATAAAGTTAACAATGACTAATTTTCAAACTTTCGCAAGAGCAATATGAAATTATTTAGATTAAAGTTATATGGTGCATTGAATTAGTAATAAAATTAGCTTTCAAATTGATTTTACAATACATAACAGTTTTTTATCAAGCTAGAAGGTGCTAAAATCAAAAGTAACGCAATTAATAGTCTTATTGCCGAATTCTCCATCAAATTACCTTTTCAATGATGTGTCACCATAGGTTCTTTTTCATTTTTCATTTTCTTAAAGTCCAATAAATACTGCCAAATAACAGGGTGGACAGTTTTGAGTGGCCCACTCTATATAATCAATTATTTCGATCATTCTAATACAGTGTGAGCCAAAAAGCTCAAAACAAAGGAGAACATTGATAAAAGTTTCTGTAAAAAAAAGAAACTGACGATGTCCAGTTTTGGATTAGATATACAGTACCACAAAAAAGTACAAGTGTTAAAATATAATATATCAGATTTAAAGTGTGGCAATAAATAGTTATTATTATTATTTGTATTGATAATCTATTGGGCAACTATTTAAAAAAAATCAACCTTTTGGATAAGCGATTTTTTTTAATGTCGATTACTCGAATGGTAAAATTCAAATTTTGATTATCCGATTAATCGAAAATAATTAAAAAATAATCGATTAATCTAAAATAATCGATTAATCGAAAAGACTCGATTAATCGAAAATAATCGATTAATCGAAAATAACTCGAAACTAATCGAATAGGCGATTAATCGAAAATAATTGATTAATAAAAAATAATCGAAAATAATCAATTAGCGATTAAAAAAAATGGACTAATCAATTAATAATTGATTAATAATCGATTAATAGATTATTTTGCCCACCCCTATTTATAATAAATATGCTTTACCATCAAATGCTGATCGATGAAGAATAACTAACAGCAATAAAAATCTCATATTTTTTAATTCTTGCGTTTTCTTGAAGATAATCTTAAACGTATCTAAAGCATGTTTAGGACTTAGAACATCAGCAAATAGATTAATTTTTTTATTCTTCTGAGGATTTGTTGATTCTTTTACCCATAACATGCCATACATTAAAGCAGACACTAACATCATTGATGATAGGCACAATACACCGTGATAGCCTATTTGTAGGAACAAAATACCCGAAATTGCGTTAGCCACTGGCACAACTACACTTATCACTAAAGTTGTCAATCCAATTCTAAAAGTCCTCGACTCTACGCTACTTATATCAGCTACGTAGGCAGTGGTCGACATCGTCAACAAACTTTGTGTTCCAAAAAACGAAGGCACTATTTTCTGGAATACTCCTTGGACTTCTATAGGCCAAGATGTCATGTTCAACACGCAAAAGATGCATCCAATGTTTCCTAGAAGGTCTCCGATAATTGGAATTATGAAGAATGGTTTCCTTAGTTTGTGTCTATCGCTGTAAGATCCTAAGAAGAGAATAAGAAGTAATGGCATGAAGCTTTGGACAGGTTGCTGCCAAGAATGCATTTTACCAATAATTACCTGAAATAAAATGTTTCATTAAAAAAATAAAATGTATTAGTTTGTGCAACAAGAGTGGATATGGATAACTCATTCGAGCTATACAATATATTTTTTTACGACCCACTAAGTAATAAAATCATTTAAAAAATAAATTTTGAGGTTATTATGATAAAATAACTTTTTTAAACACAATGATTTGAATTTATGATTTTTGTTAGGTTACAAAATACATTTTAAAAAATTGACCTCACGCGGGATATGACCCCGGGACTTTCGAACGGAACCGAACATTCACACTGTTAGGCTAATATCTTGTACATTTTTAATGGCTTATAATATTTGTATTTGGATTGGTTTTATTAAAATTTAAGCTTTCTTTGTAAATATAAATGAATATACAATACGTTAACCGACAGGCAAAATAAAGATGATACTCTTAATTATATTTGGACGTAACCGCGAAATAGTGAGTAATTGGTTTAACCACGTCCTTTCGATGATAAGTATGGAATATTGCAGTCCGCACTTGGCGATGTATTATTCTATTTCTCTCTATTTAATAGCATTGTGTTTCTATGCCGTTCTCCTGGAGTCAGGATTGAAAAGTTGACAGATTGCATAGTGATAGTGGATAGGCATTATCATTTATCGATTCTTCACAAGAATCACTCATTTTTAATTATATTTTATCTCATTAACAAAAATATCCTGACAATTATGACTAACAGAATTGTCGTTAATTTAAAATAATAATAGAAAATTCCAGATCCTAAATAATGAGCTGTGATAGGAGGATTTTATATCCTGGGATCGATATAAAATTGTATCGCCTACTTATTAATTCTGTATTTTGTGCACAATAGTAGTTTAGGCAAGAAGAATAGCCATAGGTCATAGCCGTAGGCGGAGTGCTCAATTGTCTGAATGCGATGCGGACAATCCACTCAAGTTGTACAGTATATTTTTTATACGATCACCCACTAACAAAAATCTAAAAATTTTTAAAATTATTTTGGGTTATTAAGATAATATAACTAGTTTAAAAATAATTTATGAGTTGTACTACACTGCACCGCAAAATTAACCGGACACTAGGTGTATTTTAAATAAAATTAAAAAGTATTAGAAAAACTTAAATTCCAATAATTTTTTTATTGTATATTCAATAACAAACCCTAAAATAAAAAACAAGTTCCAAAATATTGATTAATTCAACAACAAATAAAAATTTATAAAATTTTTGTATTCCGGAGTACACAACGGGTATTTTTCTGATTGAAATCATAAAATAATTCTAAGATTTGGATATCAAAATCGAGTATTCCCTCCTCGAGCTCGAATAACAGCTCTCATCCTTTCTGGACCAAAGCAGCAATCTCGTTTTGCGGTATTTGTTCCCACTCATTTACCAACGCCTGTTCTAACGCTACCACAGTTTCAAACCCGCCATAATTTTGTCTAAGTCTTCTTCCCAAGTTGTCCCACAAATGCTCTATGGGATTAAGGTCTGGGCTTCTAGGAGGCCAGGCTAGTATCTGAATACCAACATCTGTAAAGTATTGCATAGTTACCCTGGTTTTGTGCGGTCGAGCATTATCTTGCATTAGAAGAAAAGTTTCACCTACAAAATACATATAAGGTACCACATGTTCTTCCAGACATTCCCTAATGTACCTATCAGCATTAAGGCCAGCTCCCCCTAACATAACAAGATCTGTATGTCCTTCCAAAGAAATACCGCCCCATACAATTGCATCTCCACCACCAAACTGTACTCTAGGAGAGAAACAACATTGGGCATAGGCCTCCTCCATACTCTTTGGCGACCATCAGGTGAATATCTCGTAAAACGAGACTCATCTGTAAAAAGAAAGTTCTTCCATATCCCAATCTGCATGAGCACGAGATAATTCTAAGCGTTGTCTTCGATGAGCTGCATCCAGTAAAGGGCCTGTGGCAGGTACATAAGACGATAAATTTTGTTCGCTTAATCTTCTGAGTACAATATCAGGTGAAACTACGTTTCCAGTCTCCTGGGCAAAGCTGTATCAGTAAGTGTCTGCACTCGAAGCACTTGAAGTCTCAGAAATCGATCTTCAACGGCGTTTGTTACCCTTGGTCTTCCCTGTCCAGGTCTTCTAGAGTAAGAACCAGTTTCTCTAAATCTTCGTAAAGCATCAGATATTGTACTTCGCGGAACGACCAGCATTTCTTCGATATAACGAATAGAACGACCAAGGCAACAGCTTGCGCTACTTGATCTGGCCTCATTTTAAATTATTCTTGATAAAATCACTTTTCTTTCCCGAAAAAGCAGACAACCACACACCAAAAAGGCATACAACCAATTTAACAAGCAATATTTTGTAAGTAAATATTTGATTATCGAGAACGCCTTAACAAAAACATTCTATTCAGCCACAAAAAATGACAAACTTTTAAAAAACGAATGGATAAAGGCAACTTATATTTTGATAAATTTATTTAATTATTATACAGGGCAACTCAACAAAACTAAAAGGAGAAAACTTTAAAATTTCACGTGTCCGGTTAATTTTGCGGTGCAGTGTAATTTATATAATAAAATAAACTTTAAAAAAATATTTAATTAGTCTCCAATCCTAGAAATGAAGCCGGGACCTCTGCCCTAGTCTCTGCTCCATCGCTACATATAATAGTTATTACTCGTAATTAAATTGATTTTATATAGTTTATTTGTAAATATAGAAGAAAAAAAAAATAGAAATGCTATTAGTTGTCGATTCTACACAAGAATAACTAATTTTAATGTATATTTAACCTTAATAACTAAAAAATATACTGATAATTATTTTGACAGAATTATTACGTATTCAAAATTTAAAAAAATAATAGTAGCCGGGTGACCAAAATATGAATTGTGATTGGTGGATTTAATTTTTTTCAGTGTTCTTACTAGGTAGAATGGATATGAAATATATTCGTTCAGTTGAACCCAATGAATGACATACTTTTTCGTTTTGTAGTATGTGCGTAGAATAGCTAATATCTATATGGGTATAGAAAAAGATAATACATATATATGTGGGTGTAGAGAAAATATTTTTCTTCCTATTAATTTTTAATTACCTAATATAAAAACTAACATATCAAATAATTTAGAAACCTAGACATTTTTTAATGCACTAAAAGCGACTTAGTTCAGGATAATTAGTTCTGTATATAAATAATTTACAAATATATAGAATTCGCACTCTGAAAATAAAATATACGGTTTTTAGTAAAAAATACAACTTGTGTATTAAAACGAAACGTTGGTAATTCCAAATAGAGTTATTTTTATTCTCTAATAGATCGCTATGTTTTTTTGTACCTGTTATTAGATATATTAATTACAAAATTACGAGAACAGCATGATATAACCTTCAGTAATTTATTTAATTTTTATTGTTTGTTTTTTGTTTGAAACCGTTCAAATTTTCAAGATCTGCTTTTATAAATCTTAATATATTTGATACGGTGGCTTATTTTTATATTATCTATCTAGTCGTAAAAGAAATCTCCTAGAATTTTGAAACAAAAAAAAAACAAAATTCTAAATAATTACTTTCAACATTTATACACAATCGAACGTTTTTCCAGCTGCTGCAATCCTACAGAAAAAAATATTTTGGAAAGTTATCAAAATACCTACTCATGCTTAAAAAAAATCACAAGGTTTTAAGTCTGGGAATACGGTGGATATGGCAGCTTGGTACATCCATATTCTTCGTTTATGCTTTGAGCTGAACTCTCCTTATGTACCCTGCAAATGTCATGAAAAAACATATCTCTTGTTTCCAATAATGCGCTCGTTTTTCCCTATAAACCTCAGTTTTAATAATTGTAATACCTTTCACCACGTACTCAACCAGTAAAACTTCGACATTCCAAAAAATCATTGCCATTAATTACAGTTTTGGATTTATTACTATCCATCTCTAAATTCCAGTGCAGTGCTGCCTGGAACTCTAATGCAGCTATACCCCGAACTTCGATTGTTCTATTTTTATAATAATCTATTTCTATCTATTCAATAGCATACTGAGCTAGTTTTGGAAGGTTATCGTATTATGACGCGAAAGCCGTCTCTGTTCCTTGTTTACTCCTTGCCCGCGGTATGAAGTATATAGATACAAACGCACCGCTTCGAGAAGCTACCCGATATATCCCTTTGCGACGTATGAGTCATAGAGAGGCCGTTTTCGATCATTCTGGAAAGCCGATAGAGTTCTGGTACAGAGCGGGCTTTATATAAATAGCGCGAGTTTGTGGACGGACAAGAAGATTCAATTTAAGTGTTGGATAGAAATGATAAATTGTAATAAATAAATTGGAATTGTGAGTTATAATAGTGTTTAAGTATTATATAAATTAATTAGTACGTTATAAATAAATTGTAAATAAAGTGTTTTAAATAAATTAAACAAACGTTACAGTACTGTATACCGGCTGTAATGTTTTGTTGTTGATAATAAAAGAACAAAACAGAACATAAATTTTAAAGGAATCAAAAGAGGTTAACGGCTATATGCATGTATCTTTTAGATCAACAAAGAAAACTTGTATTTCGTGCAAAAATTCTTTATTTTTAATTGCAAAGCGCTTTTGGCATTAAGCCATATTCAGTGGTTTTTGTCAGTCGTCATCCTGTCGTGTATTCAAATATTAAATGTTTGAGAGTCGCTGTCACCTCAGCAGCCTCCAAATTTGGTAATTTTTACTAACATGGCTTAATAAAGTTGATGAAATAATTTAATTTGTAAGAAATAATTTTTAATAAAATGAGAACGATGATTTAGCAAGTTGGCACCCTCAAACGTTTAATGTTTGAATACACGATGACGAATACTATTATTGTATATTCCTTGACTGACAATAAGCATTGAAGATGGCGTAATGCCGAAAGCGCTTTGCAATTTTAAATAAAATAATTTTTGCACGAAATACCAGTTTGCTGAAAACATAAATGTATCCATCAAACATTTTGTGCGTACACCCGGTATATTAAAAAATAAAAAAATGAAAAATAACTACCTGAATATTATTGTTTTCTTCTGAATACCTCCTGTGATGTCCTGTGAGAATAGCATTGCAGACAGTATCGTTGTATCTCAAATTGACCCTACAAGCTTTTTCTAATTCCAAATTATCTAAAGCCGGTTTCGAAAGGCAAATTGCAAGTTGGTATATTCCTACTAAGGGCTCTACTGTTAATATTTCTGCAACTTTCTTGAGGGTCTTTCTTAAATTGTTATCGCTTTTTTCAACTTTTGAGTTCGTTCCAGTTTCATTATGTTTTTCTATGTTTTCTTCAAATTCGCTATCTATATATCGCCAACCGTCTTGAACCGTCATTGTTGAATTAACTGCAAATAAAATTTTGAATGAAATCACGCAGGCGATTAATAATAATAATTTATACCGTCGCGTTGTCATAGAAAATGTTTGGTATTCACGCAAAGAAACGGCAAAATATTTTTTTATATCGCGCGCTAAATAATATAGTCATACACACAGCCTATTTATTTATATATACTGCTCAACAATTGAACTGGATTATTCCGATTGTCTTAAAATTAAAATTTAAGAAGGTAAATTAATCGCACTGTATACTATTTATAGCCCACAATTGAACTGGTCAACAGTATTCTCAGACATTACAATTGGCTTATAAGTTGCAAAAAAATTGGAGCTATCCAAATATTTAAAATTTCTCAAAATATCCACTTCAATTGTTGAGCAGTGTATTTACTTAGGTATACTCAATAAAATATACTCATTACAACAGTAGTATTACATTTCAGGCAACGATTAAACACGCGAATAGAACGAGTATACATGATAATAAAAAACATTTGATAAATAACCCAAAACAAGAATGTTTTCAATACAAGTGAACTACGAGGGTGAATCAATAAGTACCCGTGTACGAAGGCAGGTGGCGTTACTGAGGGAAGTTGGTACTACTGTCGTGTACTGTCATCTGTCACACGACACCATACTAAATCACTTCCGATTCTGACGCCGTGGTATCAACACTGAAATGGCGACGTCAGAGTCGGCAGTCATGTGTGAATGTTTCCATCAAAATCCTTAACAAGAACAGTCATCGTGAAGTGAACATTGTCTGATGTGATCAGTTATTAAGAAGTAGGAATAGTGTGACAAAATTTTTCGAATCTGAAAATTACAAATTGTCACATGGTGTGATGTGCATCCTGTGACGAAAAAATAAATTTCCTTTAAAATATCCACCTATAACACGGAAAACTCCAATACAATTACCCTAGGCCGAATAGCCCTGGCAGCTGAGGCCTATAAAAATTGAATTGAATAAGAAGAAGACCATACTAAATTTCAAACTGATTCATAGGTTGGTTTTTATTTGGCAGCCACTTGCCACTTGTACCTCCGAGCAGTAGTAATTGCTCGGAGACTTGTACCATACGTGTTTCGCATTAATCGATGAAATGGAAAAATAACAATATCGATCCGTAATTCGCTTTTTATTTTTGGATGGAAAAACATGCGATGAAATAAAAGCAAAGTTGGATGCTGTCTATGGGGACCCTTCACCATCTATGACAACCGTAAGATATTGGTTCAGCGAATTTAAATGTGGTTGTACATCTGTTTTTGATGAGGCGCGACCAGGGTAGCTATTCACTAAGTCATGGGAGCGCTCCCATGGGAGTGTTCCCATATATTTTGCTCTCTTACTCTTAGGTGGGTATATCGTGCTTACTCCGACCTAACTACGCATGTACCTGGGCTAAAAGTGAGTAAGCACGATATACCCACCTAAGAGTAAGAGAGCAAAATATATGGGAACACTCCCATGGGAGCGCTCCCATGACTTAGTGAATAGCTATCCAGGTCGCTCGGCAGACGTTGTTACCGAGGAAATCGTTAAAAACGTCCAAGACATGATTGTCGCAGATCGCCGAACGAAAGTGCGAGAAGTAGCAGAGGCCGTCGGCGTATCATACGGAACAGCAATTAATATTTTGCATGATAAGTTAAACATGAGAAAGGTATCGGCCCGATGGGTGCTGCGATTGCTTACGGTGGACAATAAGCGGATACGGCTGTCAATGTCGAAACACTGTTTGGATCTCTTTAATCGAAATTCGCAGGAGTTTTTGCGTCGAGTTGTCACCGTTGATGAAACCTGGATACATTATTATTCGCCAGAGTCCAAGCAATGGATTTTTCGGGGTGAATCTGTTTCCAAGAAAGCAAAGACGGTCCCATCGGCCGGAAAGATCATGGCCACGATTTTTTGGGATTCCAAAGGTATAATCCTCATCGACTTTTTGCAGAAAGCAAGTACGATCACAGGGCAGTACTATAGTGAATTATTGGACCGATTCGATGCAAGATTGAAGGAGACACGGCCTCATTTGGCTAAGAAAAAAGTCCTGTTTCATCACGATAACGCACCAGCACATTCATCAAGAATTGTCACGGTCAAATTGCAAGATCTGCAGTACAAATTGTAAGAACTGCAGTACAAATTGCTGCCGTAACCACCGTACTCGCCGGACTTGGCTCCATGCGGCTTTTTTCTATTCTCCAACATGAAAACGTGGCTCTGACGAGAAGGTTATCGTGGAGACTGAAGCGTATTTTGCGGAGTTCGAGAAATCATATTTTTTGGAGGGGTTAAATAAATGGCAGAAACGTTGGGAAAAGTGTATAGCACTAAAAGGAGATTACGTTGAGAAATAGAAATAATTTTTTTTGAAAAATGTGCCTTTTCCTTTTTAACACGGGTACTTTTTGATCCACCCTCGTAATATGAGTTTATTTCAGTAATATAACGATCACCTCGGATCGTTTATACATATAACTTTAGACCAATTAATTTCACGTCAAAACTAAAAGCATAATGAGATAAATATTTCATAAAATATACTTCAGCGACGTAGAATTGATATATCAACAAGATTCATTTATTTTAGGTTGGTTTTTAAACAGATTTAAATGTTTCCTGGCTCACTGTGAAAAGGTACGCCATTTGGGTACACACATAACAGTTAAAAATTTCTAAAAAAATATTTTCGATATCAATAAAATTAAAAGAAAGATTAATTCATAGATTTATGAAACTGTAGCAGATATATAAACACAATTTACATTTCCTTGAATCGATAAACGTAAACATCATAATTATTTTTGATGACTTGATTTTGTTAAACAAACGGACAAACGTTGAGTAAGTATAAAATAAATTCAAACCTACCGGCATGTTAAAATTAAACATATGGAAAATGAAAAAAATTGCAATTAACTACCTTTTAACCACCAATAACACTATTATAATTTCATTTATTGAACAAAATGCTTCATAAATTATTTATGCGGGTGCTCATGGATCACTACCCACTACTGCCTTTGCAATTTATTGTTAAACAACGGTATGAATAACAAGAACAAACCGTTTTGTTTCACGATCACTAACAGTAACAGATAAAATCGCACTCAAAGTTTATATAATCATGCATTTTTCTGTTTTTATTACTAGTTATTATAAAGGAAACCAATTCAATTGTTTTTAATAAACAATTAGTAGATGTAGGTATGTACATCAAATGAATTGATTAGGCGATTTGATTTTGATTTAAAAAATCGTAACTAAAAATTTCAATTATTATTTTTGATAAAATATGAATCTTGTGTTCTTGAAATGTTATAAGTACATTCTCTTACTAAGAAATCTACTTGTGTAATTTCTTATGGGGGTTTTAAAAAACAGAGGTCATAGAAATATAGTGAACAAGGCAACGCAGGAACGAGGTCTTCATAAGAAAGATTTTTAGTTTATATAAGTACCTACTTATGTATCCGATCTATTAAACCTATAATTTAGAGACACTTAGGTGTTGTAGTTTATAGGATTTGTTTGACAATTTTCATTAGGGGCCTGCAACGTGGAATATATTTTTTTATTAAAAATAGTAGGTGTGGGTAGATAACAATACACTTTCATTTTATATTTATATTGATACGTAGCACCCTGCAGTAGCCTGCGGCTATTATATGAAACGTACAAATGGAAAAAGAAGCCGCCATAACTACAAGTAAAAGAAGATAGAATAGTCCAGAAATTTCTGGAAATGTCATTACCCGTCAAGAATATTCTAGACGACAGTTCGAGAAGGGCCAAGCAAGCTATATAAGGATGATCCTGACGTCAGTTTTCAGTTATTGTTAAAGTTGAATTGAGTTATTGTAAAGTTGAATTGAAATAAATTGTGATACTAAAAACCAGTGTAACAATATTAATTAGGTCCCCCTTGTACTGGGGGATACAGCCCTTACACTCAAGCTGCCACAGTGATTTATTGTTCTTCAGCTTTTCTCTCATTTCGGAATTACTAAATATACAAACAAACTTAAACAATGTAGAGGCACCTGAGCATTTTGTATCCTTTAAAAACCCTTTTTTTAATTGTAATTTATGCTCCGTATAATATTAGGGACGTCAGAATTTTGGAAAAAATTTTGGTACACTAAAAAATACTTATTTTATAGTAAGTTTCTAAAAAAAAAAAAATTACGGAAAATCTACAAATTTCTTAGAAAAATTGAATCAAATATTGAAATTTTATAGGTTCTATACTTGCCATATACAGGGTGATTTCGAAGTATTGTAATTCCTTTTAGTAGGGGTTTAATTAGACATCTCTAGGTCTAAAAGTCGTATTTCAAACTTGGATCAAAATGTTAAAAAATATTCATAAAAAATACTTACAATTCCTCAAAACTTCTTAAACCAACTTAACATACAGCACTTAGTGTATCCGGGCGGCGCGGTTTGGTGATATTTGAGTATAGCGAGACAAGTCCTTGTTTTGCACTTTTTTGGAAAAAGTATAGACGAAAAGTGATTAGACATCGATGTTTACGGTAAAATTTTATCATAATAGTAATTTGTGCAACAGGAGTGGCTATGATGGCCATATCGCACGAATACGAAGTTTGAATCTGAGTTAGATACGAACAATCCACTCGAGTTGTACAGTATGTTTTTTATATGACCCACTAACGAAAATCTACAAATATTAAAAATTATTTTAGGCTATTAAGATAAAATAACTAATTTAAAAATAATTTATTACTTTTACTAATTTATAAAATAAACAATTACAGTCAAATGTCCCAATCTCAGCTCCATCGCCACACCTAATATTTTAGTTTTATTATTCGTAAATAAATTGATTTTATATAGTTTTATTAAAATTTATTTGTAAATATAGAAGAAATAAAAATAGAAATACTAATATTTATCAATTTTACACAAGAATAACTCATTTTAAAGGATATTTACAGTACGACAAGATTGAGATGGCAAGGCAGAATT